TCGCCACTAATCTCCTCTCTCGCGTGTAATTTCTCAGCGACGCCTTGGCGCTCCTACCACTTACCACGCGCCCACCCAATTCATGCTCCTTTCGGACTGAGATGACAATATTGTGGTCATGTTTGAGCCTCTGAGGAGCCATTTCCACCTCTTTTGGTGAAATTAATGCAGAGCTGAAGCTTCGAGAACGATGGATCACAATGCCGTTTCTCTTTTCTCGCTCGGCTGGCTTGCTTGTCGCAGAGGATCCACGCTCACTATGGCTCGTTTGTTCTCCAGATGGTAGAATTGGTCTCGCATCCTGCACTAAAATCCTTCCCTCGACCAGCAAACGGTCTCATGGTTCAACCGACCCAACGTGCCAGCTAGAAATCCGCTAGCCCTACGAGGACCCAAGCACTTGTGCTCGTGCTCGTACGCACAGTACTCGGTAGTAGTAGTACAATCGCTTCTTGCCCACGATATGATCGCCCTTATCAGTCTATCGGCGCCGGGCGCTTTATTCGTACACGGCAGATGGCCTGCCACTGATGAAATTTCCCAGTAACAACAACCGACCCGGTGATTATCAGCCCAATGCAAACATTCGTCAGCGTGTGTGGGGATTTCGTCAATTGTGGCTTTGGTTGACTTCTCGATTTATTCTCCGTCTGGTTGGTTTGTGCCTTTGCGTCGGTACATGTAGACAATATTTGGACACAAGCGCGATTCCTTCATGGCCAGCCGGCTGACTGCTGGGCTAGCTGATCAAGCTTCATTCCCTATCCCATCTCAGAAAACTTGCCCCGAGTGCCTGAGCCAAGTGTCAAAGGGAGAGTACCCCTTCACCTTGCCGGTAGGCCGGTACAGGGAGCCCTCACGAATGTTCTGGTGGGTTTCGAACGTGACACCTGGCCCCAAAAAAAACGTGGAAACCCCTCTGCCAGCTCCAGGGCGACAGAAATCGACCTCGGTGGATGTTTAAGGCTGGAACAGGAGTGTGCGGCTAATGGAAAACCCTCTTAGATTTCCTTTAAATAGCAGTCCCCCGCAATACCAAGCAACAGGTCGCAGGTTTTGCACTCTGACACTTTCTCACTGAGGGATGGAGCCGGTGAAACTTGAACGGTTGACACAGAGATGTGACCACCAGCTAAACCGATGCCGGCCGGCACGATGGTGTTGGCGGGAGCATCCACCAAGCGGTGTCTAGAGGCATCGGCCGAGGCCAACAGACAAGGTATCCCATGTGCATCTTGAAGGAATACCGCTTAAAAGCACAGGTGGCTGAATCCGTTTAGTCCGATTATGCCTATAAAAAGACATCGCCCAGACTCAAAAAGGATGCCGGAGCATATCGGCAATGCTCGTGGTGCTACCCAAGTTTTCCGTTTGAGAACGAGGATATGATGCAGGATTCAAGTCTTTTGCAGCAAGTCTTCTGCACCAGTTCTTGAGTCACCATCAGGTTCTGGTGAGCTACAGGAACCGTTGGTTTGACAGACAGACCTGATAGGCGAGCTCTATCACTGGTGCCTCAGGCCATTGCGACCCCCAGACGCTTGAAGCCAGCTGAACCAAGCCTGACAAGCTAGGGTCTGCATATAAGCCCGAACCTGCGTCGTCTGCTGATTCAATGAGCTCTGTACCGAGTTGTTGCACGGCGCATTCCCTCAGGGAAATAAATCTTCAGCTTGCTGATTTCATTTGTCATTGACTGCAGGGGCGCACGGCCGGCATATCGCGTACACTTGTACCTCGTATCTGTCAGTGATTTGCGTCCAACCTCTCACTTTTGAGCTTGGCGCTCCGAGCCCTAGCAATGGCAAGTCCGTTGCCAAATGAGGCATGCACATGACCACTTTGACATCTGCCTTTCCCCAGACTTGCTTTTCTTAAGAGTGAATCGGGATCGAAAACCCGACACACTACCGAGTACGACGTACCTTGTCCTGGATCCTGGTATGTTCAACGAAAAACGAAGGCCTTCTTTCGGGCTCCAATATGGTGCTAATAGTCTTGTTTCCGTCGTATCGCTATCTTTCTGCCTTCTAGTTGTTATCAGTGGAGGGAGCTCAGCTTCGGCAGGCTGTTGTTCATGTGACTCCTCTCGATATCACACTTTGTCTGGAGAAACTTTTAGGGACACACTCCAAGGCAAATGTCCAAAGGGTTGTTGAAGGCGGTACGAGTTCGCATTGGTAATCAACGCTGCTCCTATTGAGTTTGGTGGACCACTTGCTCGCAACCACTGAATTGATCACATTCCCTCAGCCTTCCATCAGAGTTTGAGGTTAAACACGGGCCTCCCAAGGCTTTCAATGCAGGGGAGTAAAACAATTCAAATCATGAATCATTTTGTAGGAATACAGATAATGCGCTGTTGTCAAAGCTCTGTATTGTTCCAGATCCTTTGGTCGAGTATCCATAGTGGCTGAACTCCACAGTCCATGAGGAAGAACAGTAGTTCGCAGCCTACATGGCGGCTCGCTAATTCCTCAGGCATGAAAAATATTTGAAGGAGGGCTTCGACAGGCGTGGACTGCATTCCAAGTCGTTCTACCAGAATCGGAGGAGCCATATCGTCACTGCTGTACGAAGTATTCATTGGTTTGTTGGTGCCAGATCTTCCCGCGCTTCTGCTAAGTAGATCCCCTGCAACCCAAACTCGTCTCTGCAAAGCTCCCAGCCACCTGATATTCCGGGTTCCCACTCAAAACGCAGAAAAAAGTTTCATGATATCTGAGTTTTTCCCAGCCATCTGCTTTATTATTTTCAATGGACGCAAAGGCTGGCACCAGGGAGTCGGCATGGGGCTCCTGCACGTCGAGCCAAGAATTGCTTGCTCGCACGACCTGGGTTTGAGACATGGAGTGAGCGCTCGGCATCGCGAGTCGGATCGACTGCTTTCTTCCTAATGAGTCTGGCAAGTCTCATGCCAGTCATAGGCCCGCTAGGGCAAGAATAGAGGACTCTGCTTGGTCAGGCCTCCGCGGCATGAGGGGGCTTGGAGGAGTTTCTTTTGCGCCGTCCAGCTCACCGGCCTGACTGTATTTGCAATGTTCAAGGCATGGCAACGCCAGCGTCAAAACAAGTCTGTGCATGTCCTGGTTGCCATTGACAGGGGCGTTTGTGTGGAAGAACTCAGGTGACGGGTAATAAATGTGACGCCCGGTTCATAGTGGCGGATGAAGTCAAATTCTGGACACGCAATTGTGGTATTGCGTCAGAACGTTGAGAAAGATCATAGTGAGCAGCAGCTGCGCGAGTCTCAGCAGGCATGAAGTAGCTTCACTGCAATTTCAGCACATTCCCATGTCCGTCTGTATCCCTATTTGCCCTCCAAACGCCTTCTTCGACCTCACCAGTATCTGCGAACCACTCTCTCTTCCAGATCTCTGCTCGAGCCTTGACTCTTTCCAGGATCTCTTCGGCACCTGCCCAGCCACTGGCACGGTGCCCGCTACTCACGCTCACGGCAATGCTCTCTTCTTCAACCTTGACCTCGCCCAGGCGGTGGGTGATGACCACCTTCTCTAGCCCATGCTTTTTCTGCACGTCCTCGGCAATAGCGTAGAGAGACTTGAGGGCCAGGGAAGGATACGCAGAATATGAGAGGCGAGAGACTGGGCGATGGTCGAAGTTGTTGCGGGTGGTGCCCAGGAACAGAACATTCGCGCCCGCGGTAGGGGAACGGGTGAATCGCAAGTAGGATGGGATATCGAGAGGGTCATAGACGAGAGAGATATAGATGGTGTCAGAGGAGAGGGTTTGGGGAAAGTTAGATGGGTCGAGGACAGAGGTTGTCGCAGTACTAGCAGACGAGGTCTGCGTCGAGGACGCATCGGTCCCGTTGGTCAAGGGCGCTGGGATGTCTGCAGACATGGTTCTTCCGGTATGAGGCGAGGTTTTCCTGAAGAGCGGGAAGCAACTGTTCTCTGTCAATGCTCATCAACTTCACTGATATCTGATGTTCAATTAGTGCACTAGTTGTGGAATCATGTTGATATGTGGTGTGTCAAGTCTTTGAACGCCTCTCAAGTTACATGCGGTCAAAAGTTCTGGCTGATAGCCGGGAGTGGCATATTCTCCAATATCCAAGTGTTTTTCTCGGCTGCGCCGCCGATACGTCATATCGGTTCAATAGGTCAGCAGCTTTTCATCCCACCACTTCAAATCACCACCAGGCACCTCGCTCTTTCACGACTTGACTCACACGTGTGTTTCCCACACCTGTACCCCGTGTATGCGAGTCAGCAACATGAGAGACCAATCAAGGTAGCTCCGTCAACGTCTCCCTGTGCTGTGAGTTTCTCCCGTCCCTTGCCAGCGAATAGCTGATGTTAGACTACCCGTGACCACCCAACCACACCCTCGCGTCAATGTGAGGCGACTGCGCCATGTCCTTTCATTCGCTACCAAAAGAATGCAACTTCGCATCCCGGCCAAAACCCTCCCCCACACACAAGAGGGCAAGGAAAATCCAAAGCAAACAAAATAATTCCGAATCTTGCAAAAAACCACGATTTGGGCCCTCTTCAATGGAGCCACGTCTATGTCTCACCGCCTGCCATTTATTCCCTTGTTTTCCACTCATACCGATCAAATCGAGGTGTTTGTGTGTCTAAGACCTCGCGTGCATACGGATTGTCCCAAACAAGAAATCAGAGTTGCCTAATGAAGAACTTCATGACCCAGGGACAAGAATGAAGTGGCTGGTAAGCAATGGGATTGGTCGTTGAGTATATGCAAGATGGGAGACGGCGTCATCTTGATTCTCTGTCTTGTCAGGGCCAGATAGTGGACATGGAACCAACATGCGGTCCTCATACACATGTATTTGTCATTTCCCATTTGCTCTTGTTCGATTGCTCTTTTATTTCTGGTGATACATCTCTCTACTTCCGATCATGAACATGGAGGTACAGTCTTGCAGAAGTGGAGTTTTTGTTACAACATTACCCTCTCGCATCGCCATGCTGTGCAGACTTCAACACTAGACACACCCATCTCTCAGTTCATTAGTTACCACTAGGAGCCACCTCTTTCTTCTCAAGGTAGGGCAGCGGTGTCGTATCAATCGGCTTCCTCTCTCTTCTCCAATCCCTGATGTGCTGGAGTACAATGGCCGCCGCACTTTCCGGCGTGTCTTGCCTTCCAATACACTCGACAAAGTCACCTTCGGGATCCATCACGTAAAAGTATATGCTGTGGTCCACCAAGTAATCTTCTTCGCCCGGCTTCAGCTCTGGCGGCGTGGAGAAATACACCCGATATTGTTTGCACACGTCCTTGGTCTGTTGCCATGTACCAACCAAACCGAGGATAGCAGGGTGGAATTCGGCCAAGTATGCTTTGAGGACATCGGGAGTGTCGCGGTTAGGATCGCACGAGATGAAAATCGGCCGTACTGTGTTTGGGGCTCTCTCTTGGATAATTTCGAGGGCTTCGCCCATCTTGTCAAGCTCGTCGGGGCAGATGTCGGGACAGTGGCTGAAGCCGAAATATATCTACCAGCAAAAACATTCGTGTCAGTCTCAGGAGAACTTCAAACATTGACGCGGAAGTGCGGACATACGAGTGAATATTTGCCCAATAAATCTTTGTCTGTGAAATCATTGCCATCGACATCCTTCAATGCGAACGGGCCGCCGACCTTGGGCTTCCCGTAGCCTTTGCTCATCTCGACGATCCTCTTGCGTTCCAACCGTTTCTTCTCGAACTGGAAATAAAATATCATGCCTGCGCCGACGCCGACGAAGAGCGCCGCTGATCTGAATGAGAATGGCTGCACATGGCAAGCGTCAGAGGAAGGCACGTACCCCGGATAAAGATACGTACGCCTGTGCGATGGTACAATCTGTCCCCCATTCTTAATCTCGAGCTTGAGGAGGAAAAAGGCCGTGTCTGAGGACATTGAGACGGCAGGCCATGTCGTCGTGGTTGCTGCGACTGGAAAGACGATGGCTTAACTCGGGCGTGCACCGTCTGCAGGTGAATCGATCTGCTTTGACTGGAGGCCAGCGGGGTGGCTAGCCTCTGGACAGCTCTATGCAAGGGAGGCATACGGCCAGGCATTGGATTGACGAGCTGACAGCAAAATACAAGAACTGCGTTGGTGATGAGTGGACTGACTAAAGCAACTTTCTGTGGCACATGGCATGATGGGGTTCAAGCACGGCACCCTACTCGCCTACTTGTAAGCGGCGGAGTGGAAGAGTCGGAAGCGCAGTTGGCGCACACTCACGTGACACCACATAAAATTAACATAAACTTACCATTTGCGTGTCTTGGCTCCCTTTCCAAAGACCGCCACAAGCTCGGAGCAACAGAGTGATATGTTCGGTATATGTCACACTGACCAGCATCAGGTGAAGCCTCAAAATAAAGATTAGACGCGAAGTCCTAGGCCACCACCCCAGCACGACCCGACCTCCACGCCTACACTATCCCACACCGCGCCCCAGCCTCAGGTCGAATAGGACCTACCAAAGAGCATCTTCCCATCCTGCTCTTCTTACACGAGTGATTTAGACAGGATCCCAATGTCACTTATGGTCACTTGTCAGGTCAAATGTTCCGGGCATTACGCCACTCTGGGAACCAGATACAGCGAGTGATGGAAGAAGACTCGATGAACACATATCCTCACATACACGGATTCCCTCCATGGTCATTCCCACCCTGTCCGGTGGTTGTGTCGTGCATACGGTCATTCTAACTCTGTACCGTTGGCCTTCCTTCCCGGATTGCGACATCTGGCACGATGGGATGCTTGTTCTCATCCAGTCCCGCTACGGGCGGCGGCACATACTCCTTCCTCCCGGCCTTGTGGACACGACCATTGATCATAATGACATTCAACTTGCTGTGATCCTGGAGGATGTCAATGTCGTCAATCGGATTGCCGTCAACTAGGATGCAGTCCGCGTAATTGCCTTCCTTGATCTGGCCCATCTCATCGGCTCGCATCATGACCTTGGCCACGCCGTAGGTCGCGGCGATAATGGACTCGTGAGCAGTAAACCCCATCAAGTTCTTGAAATGGGCCAGGTCGCGAGCATATGTTCCGTGAGGAGTCCATGCAAATCCATAGTCACTGACGAGTAGCAGCTTAGCGGTCGTGCGAGCAGATGGTGGATCGAGAGAGTGAGAGGAGCATACTTACCCGCCAGGAAGGACTACGATGCCTCTCCGATGCATCTCGCGAAGTCCTCGCAATGCGATCTCAAGCTCCTGATCATTGCCTTTACGTCAGTATACCTGACTTGAAGCAGCTGGCAATTATGGGGACTCGCCTTTTTATAGCCCACTTGCTCGGCCTTCTCATGGGAATAACCGAATGCCGCGGCGTCATTCAACGTTGCAACGAGCCAATTAATTGCTGGGGCCACGACATGCTTGGTCCGTGCCTCCTCCAGCATGTCCATGCCCTCCTCGTCGATATAAGATCCATGATAAATGACGTCCACCCCATGCTGAAACAGTGCTGTGAGCTTATGTCTCGACTATTGCGGTAGGCGAAAGATGGGACCGGACGACTGACCTTGACACACATCTTTACAGAGTCTCTTGCTCTTGCGTGTGCACAGATGGATTTACCTGCTTTGTGTGCTTCTTCCACGCAGATAGCTGTCTCTTCGTCTGTGAAATAGCAGTCTTGAGCTGATCGTACTTCGCAGATCTACATTTCCGGTCAGCAACGGTGAGCATAAAGCAGCCTGGGCCTCTGGAAGCCGACCTCTTCTCCGGACATTACGAGTTTGATGTTGTCAACCCCAATGCCAACGTGATGTTTAATCACTTCCCTCATCTCCTCAGGAGTGTCTGCAAAAGCAGTGATTGCCGCTTCCAGGTCGCCGTCACGCTTGGCCATTTCCTTTCCGTTGGCGAGAGACCGTGGTCCGGGAATGTCGCCTGCGTAGATAGCATCCCGAATCGCGACGTCGAGACGCTCCTTGGCAGATGCAGCACCATAGCACCTTTTCCAAGACGTCAGTGATCCCTCTCACCCTCCACACAGAGATTCCGGTCGGAAATCTTACATGGTATAGCCGGAATCCAGGTAGCATTTTGCACTCCGGGCGGTCAAGAGAGTGTGCTCCTCAACATTCAAGCCGCCCAAGGAAGCGAGATCGCCACCGTTCCAGGAGAAGTGGGTGTGCGAGTCACCCAGGCCTGGCATCAATGTCCTTCCCTTGCCCTGAAACACTCGAACATCTGGATCTTGCAGCAACTGCTCCTTGTTGGCGACATTGCCGACTGCTTTCAAACGTTCCCCTGGAAAGGCAAAGTCAGCAACGCGGACATGAGAAGAATTCAGACGAGACCGAGCCGCGGAGAAAGAAGTCATGTTGCCAGGGACGGGTAATCTCTCGCTCACCTTGGATGAAGACATCGCCACGGTAAGGCGGCTTTCCCGTGCATTCCAAGATGCTGACATCTAGGAAAAGGATCTTGGAGTCCGGATCTGTGCCCAGGATCTCGTACTTGGGGGGGTTCACACTCTCATTGAATTTTATGGCATCAATATAGGCGACGTTGCGTGGGGGCCCATCGTAAGGCTCGGGTTGGTACGCGGGGGACGTCCATGGAACGTCTTCCACGATTCTTGCTGGAGCCATGCCGGGCAGTTTCAAGAAGAAGGATCAAAAGAGGTGTTTTGACAACGTCTAACCTCGTCTCTGGTTTCTTCACGTTTGAAAATTCACATATGATGGTTCTCTCCAAGCTATGAAATGTTTTTGAGATGTCGGTACTGATCGAGAAATAGTCGGGCGAAAGGGGAGAGGAGGGAAGTAATGGGCACCTCTATCTGACCCTGGCTCAACTTCGCACCTGCATGCATGCTTGGAGTGGTGGCATTCTCCCAGTGTTCGCATTGCAAGTCGAGGGTCTTTTGCCCCAACGGGAGACAGACTGCAAGGATTGTCTCTCTCCCCTCTTCTCACCTCAAACAGGTTATGCCCAAAGGGAAATGGGATGTGAGGGAAACTTGACAATCCCGTCCGTGCCGGATCCTTCTATCCAATGCACCCCGCAAGTTTAGGGCCCCCGCGCTATTCGTCCACAGGCATCCACGTTACATGTGAACACCTCATTGTTGCAGAAAGAGGGGTTCCAAGTCCCCCTCCCCTAACCACAGGTAGGTCGGCGTGATTCGACATACAGTACAAGTACCCGGCCGGGAAGGTCCTTGTACTGGAGACTGCGAGCGTGCGAGCCCCTGCTTGAGGCCCCAGTGACCCCTCTATTGCACTTATGCTCACGACTCAAACGTTCGTCTGTGGGCGAGTAAGGATGGTACGGGAATACACGGGGATTGACGGTCTCTCGCTAAACACGGGGAAGATATTACAAACATACCTAGGGATTTTTGGTCTCACGCCCGTCGCTCGATAGGGAAAGGGAACGAACGGATGGGTGTTGCAGGCAGGCAAGCAAGCACGCGCATGTTTGTCAACCGTGAAGGGGGAACGATTCCTTATCTAGTTATCTTGATTGCGTTCTTGGGCTGGTCAAGTTCGAAACAGGTAATCACCCAACAATAAACAGCACCCACAGATATGGTGTGGATGCAAGCGGCGCGGAGAGGTCGATTCGGACCGACGAGACCTCCTCAACAAGACGATGGTGAGGCGACCGTCAATGCCAATGCGAAAGATGTTGTCGACGGCGGCGGCAGCGACTACGACGAGAATGGAGAGAGACGATTCCCCTTCGCGCCAGAGTCATTACCCGACGACGCCCTCCCTTTCATCCCCAAGGAACTGGTCCTCGAATGTACCCAGCGGTCGAAACCACAAGATCAAGACAGAACCCAGGATGACGCACAAAGAGGTCTCGACGACGACCAGGGAAGAGATGAAGAAAATCGCTCCAACCCCGCCGAGCGCTCCGGCCGCCCCGAGCGCTGGATCGTCATCGACAACATCGTCTTCGACTGCCGCGACTTCCTCGCACACCACCCGGGCGGCGAACAGGTCATCCTCAGCTTCGTCGGCGAGGACTGTTCGTGGCAGTTCTGGCGGCTGCACGGCAAAACCGTCATGGAGCAGTACGGCCGGGCACTCCGGGTCGGGAGGACCGAGGGCGTCAAAAACCGCTTCGTCGAGCCCGTCAGGTATGTCGGTTTGTCGGGGTTGGGGGATGATGGGTGGTGAACACACGGGGAGATTAAAGAGAGGGGGTTTTTTTTTTTTTTTTTGGTTGATGGGGAGAAGGGCACAGCGGACGAGTGAATGGGTTTTGAGTCTCATAGAGAAAGAGAGAAGAGATCCGGGTTCCTGGTCCTGGGCATGGGCTCTCTCCTTCTGGATCTGGATCTGGTTCTGAATGGACTTTCTTTTTTTTTTTTTTTGTACATACTTCGTTCATATACAGTACATATTTTTCGCGGCAGCGAGTCAGTCCAGAGCAAAGAATCTAAACCGACTTCATCTCATATCTGCTGTGATTGTGCGTCAAAGCCAAACTTTGGGGAATATTCGGATTCTCTCAATGGGGGCCTTGGAGAGAGAGAGAGAGAGAGATGAGAAGAAAACCAACAAGTTATGTCTATGTCAATGTGTATTCCCTACTGCTCTTGCTCCACGAGGGGAGCCTTCAAAGTCACGACGATACTTGTAGCTACCCACCCAAGAACGCTATGTCTGTTGCTCGACAAGTTCTACAAGTAGATGAGATGAGATGGAAGAGAGTAGAGTATAGGATGGCGATATGGCGATAAACTTCCTTGGCGAACTCGACCCCATGGGGTCAAAACTCTCGTAGGACCTCTACGGGACTACCTCGTGCTGTGCGTGCAGGAGTGATAAATAATAGAGGAAGAAAGTGTGTATGTGTGGACATTAAATGGTTGGTGCATTTGGAAACTTTTGAGGGGGAGATCGACATGACAAAGAGGAGAGGGCGGCGAAAGGCGGATGAAGGCGGCATGACGGGTAATGATAGACATGGACCATTCCATGGTGGTGGTGGTGGTGGTGGTGGTGACCGGGGCATCCAATGGAAAGGGTGTAATAGTAAAGACAGACTTTCTTCATCTCTCCTCGTCGGCTTCTCACGCCGGTAAAGTGGCAGAGTGGCAGCGTGGCAGCGTACATATCCGGTGGAAGGATGACTTTAGCCAGCTTCTCTTCAGTCTCCCTGGGAATCTTTCACAGCCTCTTGTCACGGAGTGAACCAGGCAAAGCAATAGATCCCGGTCTCAAATTGGCCATGGAGATTGTCTGACTGCTTCAAACCCTTCAGTAACCCAAATTTATTACCCTCCTTCTTTGGCAGAGCCGATAAGTAGACTTTCTCGTCCGGAGTTGAACCATGGGTGCATCAGCAACACCTGGTGGTGGCGGGGTTTCTCCCAGCAAGAGCTTGACCAACTATGCATCGTATATCCCCGAGGGAAGCAGAAGGCCGCGAATTGGACATCTTGACCTGGACTCCAACACCGTCACACCTCTCTCTTACATCTCCGGCACACCGATAAGGAGTCTTTACGAGGTGATTGCCGTGGGCGAAGACGCCATCATCCAAGCCGGAGAGCCGTTCCCGCGGAGCAAGGCGAGATTGTTACCCCCGATTTATGGCCGGGATATTCTTGCCGTTGGGAAGAACTATGCAGTGAGGACTGACTTGTCGGATATACTGAGTTGCTCGTGACTGATGGATGTTTCTTCAGGCCCATGCCAAAGAGTTCAATGCTTCCGGGTAAGGTGGCCTTGTGAGAGAGTTCGGAAGGTATCGAATAACGGGCTGACCATCTTGAGCCTTCCAGCTATGACAGCTCTGACAAGGTCGATATGCCAACCCATCCCGTCATCTTCACCAAGCGGTGGACATCTGCTATCGCGGATGGGGACGAGATATACCCCCATCCAGGCTTCACCGAGTCGGTGGACTATGAAGGCGAGATCGGGGTCATCGTAGGCAAGGCTGGATTCAAGATTGACGCAAAGGATGCCCTCGAGCATGTCTGGGGGTTTACCATTATCAATGATGTGACGGCTCGCGAACGGCAGCGGGACCATAAGCAGTTTTACCTGGGGAAATCGTGAGTGGTTATCCGCACCTTGCAGGAGACGGGGGTAGCCAGGGTCACCATCCTACTCAAGACCCTCGCAATTTCAGCTAATAGTGCTTCCAGACCCGATACCTTTGCGCCAATGGGTCCGATCGCGGTCCCAAAGGAGCATCTTCCGAAGGTTCTTACTGTCCAAACTGTCGTGAATGGCGAGAAGCGACAGGAAGCGACAACCGACGACTTGATCTTCAGCATCCCGACATTGATCGAGACACTGTCCGCGGCGCAGACATTACAACCTGGAGATGTGTTGGCGACTGGAACCCCGGCCGGTGTTGGATTTGGCTTTGATCCCAAGGTGTGGCTGCACCCTGGCGACGAGGTCAAGATCTCTGTAACAGGCCTCGGGACCTTGACAAACAAAATTGCGAGTCCAGAGTCGAGGAATAGCATCCTCAACCACATTGTCTCGCCTGCCGTGCCCGTTGTGAATGACCGGACGGCTGAGGGCCGTGGACTCAGCTCTGTTGGCTCGAAGCAGCTGTTCTACCAGCGAAAAGGCGGTGATGATGCTGGGCGGCCCATCTATTTCATTCATGGTCTGGGCGGCACTTCCGAATATTTCGGACCACTGATGACAAGGCTGGGGAACTCCTGGACATATCACCTGGCAGATCTCGAGGGGCACGGGCTATCGCCCACATCCGCAACGAGCAAGCTGAGCATCGCTTCTTTTGCCTCAGATGCGTATCAGCTTTGCTCCCGGGCAGGTATCACCTCTGAGTCTGGCCTCACCGTGGTCGCACATTCGATGGGCTGCTTGGTTGCGATGAAACTGGCCCTGGATCACCCGGATTTGGTCAAGACGCTCATCCTGCAAGGGCCCGGCCCTTCACCGCTCCCAGAAGCCGCCAGCAAAGCCACATACGCCAGGGCTGCCCTTGCTCGGGAAAAGGGTATGCTGGGGGTGGTGGATGCGGTCGTGGGCGCAGGCACATCCGATTACAGCAAGGCACATAATCCTCTCGCAATCGCCGCCGCTCGAGTCTCCTTGTTGGGACAAGACGCCGAAGGATATGCAAAGGCCTGTACTGCACTGGCAGACTCGCACGCCGACACGTTGGACATATCAGCGTTGAAGGTGAGGGTGTTGATCATCACGGGAGAGGAGGATAAAGTGTCGCCGCCGGAAATGTGCAAGAGGATGAAGGAACAAATGCCCAACTGCGAGGATGTTGTTGTGCTTCCGCAGGTCGCGCATTGGCACTTGTTTGAAGCAACCGAGAGTGTTTGTTCGGCTGTCGCCGACTTCCTGGGTAAGTAATTAACATCCACAAGCCGGCGCATTTCGGGATCATTCGAGTCGGGATATCGAAGCTAGAAAGAAGAAAATTGTGTAGAAGACTTTTAGACTTACATACAGTATGTACTCTGGTTCTCTAGATAGAGTTGCTTTTCTGCCTTTGAGGTTGGAGACAAGTCGGGTGTTGCCGTCGATCCTGTGGGTAGCTAGAGGTCCTTTGTGCTCAACGGTGGTGCTTGTAGACGATAAGCACGGATGTGGCTGAATCTAGTGGTACCTAGTAGTACCTAGTAGTTGTGATGCCCGTAAGGATTTCCCAAAACAACCCGGGACTTTGCTGGGGAGCAGGAAAAGGGGTGTAGCTCAGTACCGTTGATGCCCTCCTGGGACAAGTCTTTGGGGGGCTTGGGGGGTCCGGGGTGTCATTGGGGCCTAAGTGAAGCCCACCAGCCTCACTATCCCTGCCCTCTAGACGCCCCCAGGACCCTTCCCCCATTCTTCCCGAATAATCCCTTCATCCCTTATGCCCTTCTAATGCCCACCAGTGCCTAGAAATCTTCTACCCGATGGACCGTTCTTATGCCTAGTGATCCTTATGTTTGTACCTACAAGTGCTTGTACAATTAGGCATTAGTCTCACTATCTCCCCCTCCCCCCTGTCGCCCCCATGTTACACCTCAATGGACCCGGTGCCCGGCCCCGGATTTCTTTTCTCGGTGCTTAACTGGACAAAACATTCATCCACGTTGCTGACCTTGACACGTCCATCCTGCTTCATCCTTCATCCTTCGTCGTTCTAACCTTCTAACCTTTCACTTGGTCGCATATGCTGACTCTCATCGCAGCCACAAACTGCTGTATCAACCATTGAAAGTACCGTCTCGTGTTGATATTGAGCCTTGCTCTCTCGTCCCTCAACTCAAAAGAGCTGCGGATTTGCTTTTCCGTGTTACATGGCGCCTCAAGTCGACAAACGCCAACCTCGGGTGCCTCTGAGCTGCGAAAACTGTCGGAAACGAAAGATCAAATGTTCGGGCGAAAGACCCTTTTGTGACACATGCGCCCGTCGTGGCTTCAGCCATACCTGCTTCTATCTGCGGCAGAATGTGCAAACCCCTGCAGGGACCAGCTCCGATGAGGTGCTCCAGAGAGTGAGAAGAGTCGAAAATCTCCTCGAGAGACAAGTCTACCTCCTCGAGCAGCGGCTTGAACCTTCACCAAAATCGAATTCGTCCAACCAAGATACTTTGTCCCAACATCAATCGTCGTCCGTGAACTCGTCGCCCTGGACCGAGATCGAGGCAACTCCTTCTGAGACTGCCCCGGCAACAAATGTCGGTACGATCCTGGTGTCCGAGGGAGGTTATGAAAGATTTATTCCCGGGCTCGCTTCTTCAGATGCCGAGTCGGTCAATGAACTGATTCAATCTGCTTCTGCTCCACCAATGTCATCGAGTTTCCCCTTCTCCGCCGAGGCACTCGCCACACGAAGAGCGCTGTTGGACACCCTACCGCCTGGACGACAGTGTGACGAACTGAAGGATATATTCTTCGAAGTGTTCTCGCCGGTGAGTGTCACTTAAGCTTCTTAGTATCTCTCCAGTCGTCCACCTCGCCCCCTCAAGGCAGATCTGCCAGAGTCTTAAGAGCCTTAGGAGCAATACCCTACTGGCTCAAGGATCTGAGACTTGTAAAGTGCTGTTGGCACTCAAAGAGAGCCATGTTTTCTCCTCCTTGTCACAAACATGGTAGGTACGGGCAGATATGGTCTTGTTGAATGGTACGAGAACAAAAAAACAACAACCTTACACTCACCAACGAATGCCCTCCCGCACCAATGCACGAGAAACTACCCTTCCGACGATGCTGACTCAGTCTCAAACAGCTCTTTCACATACTCCATGACCCATCATTCCATGCCGAGTACGCTCACTTTCGCCAATACCGAGGAGATGTGTCCCTCTCGTTTCTTGCCTTGGTGTTCGTGATTCTCTCCATCTCTGTTACTGCACTAGACTCGGATCATCCACTGCTCGCAGACCTCGGAATGGAAGCGACGGCGTCAGCAAATATCAAAAGCTTAGCGACAAAATACCGAGCCGCCGCCATGGGATGCCTCTCAGCGGACCATTTTATGTGGCGACACAACTTGCAGACTGTGCAAGCCTTGGTCCTTTTGATATACGCACTTTCACATGCTCATGGCCCTTCATGGGCCTTGTTGGGGGCTACCTTCAATATTTGCGTATCGATCGGGTGCCACATCGACCCGTCTCAACTAAACCTGGACCCAGTGAGAAGTGAACAGCGACGCCGGTGTTGGGCTGGCCTCATGTTACTGTATACCATTCAAAACACTTGTCTGGGGAACATTGCCCCGATGAAGGTCATAGCCAACGTCCGTCTTCCTGCCGACGTGGACGATGACCACATCACCATGTACGACAATCCGCTGTTGCACACAGATGAAACCCAACCCAAACCCCTGAGCAAAATGTCGTACATCCTCTTCAAATTCAAACTATATCGGTTGGCGTCCGATATAACAAACTTCACCCGGGAAAACGGGCAGTTGAGCGGCCTGTTCGAGCTCGACGCAAAGATCTCGAGGGAGGAGCACGAACACGACGCACGATTCGCCGACCCTCAGCGGCTTCCAGTTTACCACCTGGCTCATCTATACATCATCAAAAACTATACGAATCACCTGCGACTCATCCTCCATCGACCGTATCTTCCACCACATTCTTCGGCGGCGGACAGCACATTGTACGAGTACCCGGAACAAATGCTGCAGAGCCGGCAGTATTGTAAGATGTCGGCTATGAAGATCATTGACAACCACGAGGACCTCTGCTGTAACGACAGGTTGAAGCCTTATCGCTGGTTCGTGTACGGTCTGGGTGGCTACCAGACGTTTCTGGCGGCGTCGACGCTTGTGGTGCTGCTTGGGTCGGAGGACGACTCGGTCGCTTCAGACCGCGCGGATGTCATCTACGCTCTTCGAAAATGTCAAGCACGGTTCGAGCAGCTGTCTCCGCGCAGCGACATCTCGGCCAAAGCGGCCCGGATCCTGCGCCGCACGCTTGGTCCCGTCACGAGTACCAACGGTGGTGGTGGAGGTCTCCCTCAAGAAACCCAAAGACTGTACCATCAATCCTCGAGCATTAGCGACGAGTCCAAGGTCGTGTACAGTATGAGCCACAGACACCAAATGTCCAGCGCTTCTCCCGGTAGCATCCATGACCACCACCACCAGCAACAGCAGCAGCACACATCAATCCCGCCTGGTCCTGCTGGATACAGCCAGACCGGCTTCACCAGCGGTGGCTTTCCCAGTGGTGCCAACGAGGCCGTCACGACAAAAATGGAACCACCACCACCACCACCGCCACCACCGCCAACGTCACAGCACCAACACCATCTCCAGTACCAGCACGAGCTCCAGCACCAGCACCAGCACCACCATCAGCAACAGCAACAGCCTCCCCCTCATCCTCACTCCTTCTTCCCCTGCCCACAACCGCTCTACGAGCTGATGAGTCTCCCCGCGGAGCAGTGGCTGGGCGGCCCCTCCGCGCTGGCCTGGGACTGGAGCAGCTGGGTCGACGTGCCCGAGGCCTCGATCGCGGGATCCGACATGTTCATGGACACTTCGGCTTCGGGCGTCATGATGTGATGCTATCTTGTGTCCTTTGTTATATTTATAGGAAGACATGGACGTTATGGATATAGATATGAAATGTAAATAACCCCTGTGCGAGCGCATGGTTGGTTGGTGCTAATTAAACCCCCCGTTTCACTTCACTCCAATTCCACTACTCCTGCTCTACTTTCCTCCTCTGGTGCCCGTCGTGTCTCTCTGATCAAGAGAATGACATGTCATGTCATGTAATTTATGCACGGTGCACTGTTGGTTGGCAAGATGGGATGTCTCTCAACGACCACGAAAGCCACGACCGGACGGATGAGAACTTCTACGACGCGGGTTTGAGGGAAAGGGGACAGGGACAGGGACAGGGACATGCCGTCGTTCGATAAAATACCTATATAGGTAACTGAGGACTTTTAGACTGATTTGATATTACGGCGCGATACCCATCGCATGGACCGCTGGATTCAGAGGCACCACCAGCACCGCTTCACATTATGTACTTTTCTTTACCCCAGAGCCTTCTCCAGCCTGTTCCTGACGGCCAACCACCAGTTCGCTTGCTGCTCGACCTCGTCTCTTTGTTTGATGGCCCGGATGGTCTCGATTGGCCGCTGCGATTTGACCTGTTCCTCGGTGAAGAAATTACCATGGAGGCCATAGGGTACTCTCTGCGTCAGGTATATCCGCGCGACCAACGTCTTCATGTCTCGGGCATCAATGATCCACAGCTCACTTTTGGCGTCGGGACGACATTCGCCTGATGAGTTCAGCTGTGATTCGTCAAAGACATAGGTCAACAGCCAGCCATCATCTTCCTGAGTGCCGTTTTCACGTGGCACAAAGTGTGGCTCCTGTGCGAACCAGCCTTGCGGAAGGCGAAAAATCGAGATTGGGTCATCCTCCTCCCGAGATTGTAAGATCGTGTTGATACACCTTGTATCAACACAGTCAAGTACACCCGGGGTATGTGAATAAGTCTTGCCTCGCTTGATGAGCGTCTCCACATCTGCCTTGACCAAGCAGTCGATCTTCGCAGCACGGCCAAGGGCGACTCCAAAGGTGCCTATGGAAGTCGAACAACCAAAGACATATCTAACCTGGCTCATTGTGCTGTCTTTCCTAATATTGGGAAATTCGAACGGGATAGCACTTAATGCGAACTCATGTGTTATGTGCCCTGGCTGTGCCATTGAGAACTGATAGTAGTGGAGTCGGCACTGTTCTTCACTATCAGGCCCATTGAGCATTTGTTGAGGAGCAGGAATATTGCCTGCATCAAAAATGACCGACGCCGAAGTCAGTCGACATGCGAGCATATTGACAGCAGTTGTCCGCAGTTGTCCCGTTACTTTGTCAAGCACCTGATCGTCCCACGTGTTCGCAGTATGGAAGATGCAGCATGCTTTTGTCTCAAACCAGACAATCTGCTGGGGCAGGTATCGAGGAAAGATGCCGAATCGAGAATGAGACGTTGCGTCGTAGGTAACAACAGGCTTATTCTTTACCAAGTTCAATGGATCCAGCGACAGAGGCAAGTCCATGATGACAGTGTGGTGTGCCGACACTCCAAAATCATGCATCATCTTTGCCGACGAAATCCCCGGAACTGGGGCATTCAGAAGCCTGATTGGTCTCTCGAGCGGCGAAGTAGGGACGGCGGGCGAGAAGGTCGCAGGGATAATCGAGTAATGTACATATGGAGGGACAAAAGTCGAGTGGAAGAGGACCAGCTCTCCCGTCTTCGGGTCGACACGAGGATGGGCGGTGGTCCATTCTTTCATGAATCGCAGTAACCCATCTCCCCCAAATCCCGAGCCGTCCTCTCCTCCCAGCTCCCCTTCTGCTCTCTTCCCGTTGAACCAGCCAACAGTTTCGAGGCCCGGAAGAACGATTCTGATTGGGGGGCCGGATTCGCAGGTGGCAAGAGCGCGACCATCATGGAATAAAACACCCGTGTTGGCCACGCTGATCTTCTTAATGGCTTGGACTGAGCCAGGAAGTCGTGATAATAAGACATATAAGATGCTGCGGAAGATAAGGGCGATGAGCTTGTACAATGAGGTCAATGGATTGACCAATGCTGCTATGCTCGGCAGGATCGGATGGCGCAGGTGTTTTGAGGATATTGTGGACAGATAGATGTCGGTCAAGATGTATTGGTTGACAAATTCTGGTTGCACACCGTTGGCAGTTCGTGTGAACGCGACACCGCTGAGCATACCATCACCGTCAAACCAGTGCGCATCCCGGCCCAAGTCCTCGTTTGCCACTGGGTTGCCGCCATTTCGCACGTATTCACCTCCAAATAGCTCTTCTGGTATGCTCCCAGAATATGAGCATGGTACTAGACTCTGGGCCTTCTGCAAAGGAGCAAAGTTGCCACTAAGGTAGGGATGCGGATGGCTTCTCTTGAAATCTCGAGAGGACTTCGCGCTCGAGGGCGAATAGGATGGAGGCTTTCTGAGTGTATCTGGTGCGACCACGGAGGAAAGCGAGTTGGTCATACTCGAGACAAGATGGAGGGACCCAGCAGTGGTGGAGATCCTCGACACAGCCTGAAGCCGAATCGTTCCGCAATGTGTCGGTTTGCTACTAAACCTTTAAGAGGGGATCTTTATCAAAGAGCGAATGCTTCCACAAGTCATGCAAGGTCGACGTCTCTTGACCGAAGCCGTTGGATGTGACGGGGTCCGAGACGCCCCTCAGGATCAAGTTCAAACATGCATCGGATCACGCAACCAGCGAGAAGAGAAGTTCGATTCACATGTCAGCACCAGGGGGGCCTTGCAAGTGAGGAGATAAGTTAGTGGCCTTGCTAAGCTCACATGATGAAGTCGTCGCAGGACAAGTAGGGGAGGAAGCATTGATCTCAATGCCAGCATGTCTCCTAAATACATCCAACCAGAGGAAAGCAAAGGAGGGGAAAACAGCCCAGCGAAGACAAAACTGAAGTCAGCCGAGCAGGTGAAAGCATCGAAGCTGCAGGTCAACGATGCGGAGGAAATCATGGCGTCATTGAGCACCGGCTGGTGGCAGCAGTGTCATTTGAGCTAGTAGAAAGAGCCCAGACGCTAAATGATGATAGCTACCCCTGGTCAGTACCATGAACAGAATGTTAGCCGAGAACCCGCTTACCTCTTTGGTGGTTCGACTCTGGCTGCTTTTGCCGGAAGCTGCACGCCGTGGCCCGTCAGCCTCGTGTCCCTGTGGCTTGACCCCCCACCACCATCGCCCATCACGACCTTCATCGTCCGCAGCTTTCATCCCCAACTTGGAATTGTGCGCGTCATGATATCCCAGAAATTTCATGGCTTCCCGTCAGACCTCTGCACAAGTCCACACAGCCATGCCTGCATGCTTTTCGGCTATCCATATACTTTGCCTCAAAATCCCAACCGTTCCTCCGCTCCTGGCGTTGAAAACGAACGGCTGATTGGTATAACATGGCGACTGCCGCGGCCGGAAGCTTTTACTGAGACAGGACTTTTTGAACTTCTTTCACTGGCGCTGAAGGCCTTCAATTGACCATCAGAACTCTGTCCTGATGTACGATTATGCACTGGTGTATGTGGCTGTCTGCTTCTGACTCCCCTTTCCCCTCCAAGCATGTTCTAACAAGTGCCTCTGCCGCAATAGTCATGTTGTTTACACAATCCCTCTTGCAATAGCCTTGTCTATTGCTCTAGGACCTCTGTTGACACGACGGGATATCTACAAGATATGCTTCCTTCAACTTGTCGCCGTCACATATACAATTCCTTGGTGGGTGTAGGCTCGACGACTTCTGTTCTTCAGAGATGCTGACTGGCCAAGGGATTCATACCTGATTAGAACCAGGATTTGGAGTATGTCATTTCTATTCCTATATCCCTGCTGGTTTCTGACATAATACTAACTTGTGCTAGCATATCCGCAACATGTTGTTATAGGGCCGACTCTATTTGATATTCCTGCCGAAGAGGTCTTCTTCTTTGGCATCCAGACTTACATCGTAGACATCCCCCGGGTTTGTGAGCAGTCAAGATCGCTAATTTTGAATAGTCAACTTGTCTCCAAATACTCCTCAGCAAGCCGGTGCTCACTGCAATTTATTTGCATAATGAAGCTGACTCACTGGACCCTGTTGGCAAAAGTCTCTTGATTTGGAAACGAGCAGGTCAGCTCGTTTTTAGCTTGGGTTTGGTGGTTCCAACCCTGCTCCGAGAAAGCAATGCCGAAGGCCATTACATGCGACTGATCCTGATTTGGGCTTGCCCGGTAATGTTGATGCTTTGGACATTTGCCTACCAGCTACTTCTCACGTTGCCATGGACTACAACCTGGTTACCTATCGCCGCGCCGACTTTATATCTGTGGGTCGTCGACACATTGGCTCTCCGCCGAGGCACCTGGAGTATCGAATCAGGCACAAAGCTCGGCATTCAGGTCTGGCCTCATTTGGAATTAGAAGAAGCCATCTTCTTCCTTCTGACAAATACCCTTATAGTGTGGGGGGCGACTGCGTTTGACAACGCCGTGGCTATTCTCGACTCCTTTCCGGGGGATTTCCCCACGGTCCCCGGCATCCCTCCTCCGACCTTGATGTTCAAAGCTCTATTTCTGGCCACTTCAAAATATGACACTGCGCGTCTCCACGGCTTGCGAAATGCACTCACAGTTCTTGCTAAGAAAAGCCGATCATTCTACCTGGCGTCGGGGGTCTTTGTGGGTCGTCTGAGAATCGACCTGATACTCCTCTACGCGTTTTGCAGAGTGGCTGATGATCTGATTGACGACGCGCCTTCTGCAGCTGAGGCAAATAAATGGGTGCAATATTTTACCAACTTCCTTGATGTTGCGTACTCACCGAAAAAGGACGAGAACCGGTTACAGCAGGCTCTAGACCCATTCCCGCCCAAGGCACGGTCTATCTTACGACTTCTTCCAACGGACAAGTTGCCCTCGGCGCCGCTCTACTCGCTTCTAGATGGCTTCCGGATCGACCAGAAATTCTTTGATCCAGAATCTAGGCGCAATCCTCCCATTGCCACTTTTGCTGACCTTGAACGATATGCAAGCTGTGTCGCGGGTACGGTCGGTGAGCTCTGTTTGAACCTTGTCTACTATCATGACCCCGATCAAGGAACACAGACAGATACAAGACAACAGTGCCTCACTGCTGGTGCAAAAATGGGCCGAGCCCTGCAATACATCAACATTGCCCGAGATGTCAAGACAGACGCCGATGCCGGACGATGCTACATTCCTAGCGAGTGGCTTGATAATTCAACGCAAGGTTTAGCCTTATCTCGAGCCGACCAAATTGCGCTCCATAGACGGACAATCTTGGACTTTGCATTCGCCATCTACGCTGAGAATAGAGATGCAATCGAGGCGCTGCCCTATTATGCGCGAGGTGGCATCCGTGTCGCGGTCGAGAGCTACATGGAAATTGGCAGGATGATGCGCGAGCGAATGCAACAGGGCAGGCCTTTAGATTTTGCTGGTGGTGGCAAGAAGGGACGATCTAGCGTCCCCAAGCCGAGGAGGATATGGGTTGGATGGAAGACAATGATGGGGAGTAGGGGTGCTGTGTGATAGAGGGACTTTGCCTGATCACTTCTACCCTCAATCTTCATAGCTGTGTTTTGTTGCGAGTCTCCCTCTGGTCCTGTTCGGGGGTCTCACCAAGGGATCGTTTGGCTGCAGCTAGCGTGCGGGGCCTGCGCGTCGACATCAGAGCCAGATCTTCCTTGACCTTGGACATTGTAAACTCCCCTGCGTTAATCCATTACCAATTTCTTCGTGACTACAGCCGTGACCTGCTCACACCTTGGATAAGATCGCAGACGCCAATGGAGTTGATTCCCGTGCTTCAGAATGGACTGTGGACCGAACCCGCCCGGAAATGTTCACATGCATGTGTCTTGAATCCAAAGTCATGTTGTCATTGACTCTGACGGCCTCGTGCCAACAGAGGATACAACATGTCTTTCTAGTAGGCCTCTACCTGCCACTCGATCTCTGAATATTCATAGCAGTTGTGACGAACAAGTGCTGGGATATGGACAAGCCCAAGAGCGTTGTCATCGTAGGTGAGCTTGTTGTGAGACTGGATTTTGTTGTCGGCCTTGGTTCATTTTGCTGATCCCGAGACTACATAATACAGGCGCAGGTGCCGGCGGTATTTCCAGCGCAGCCAGGCTTGCCAAAGCTGGGTTCCGGGTGACCGTGCTCGAAAAGAACGACCACACTGGCGGACGCTGCAGCCTGATACACGATGGCGGCGGGCACCGCTTCGACCAAGGCCCGTCTCTCCTCCTCCTGCCCGACCTGTTCGCGGAAGCCTTCGCCGACCTAGATACATCCCTCGAGGCCGAAGGAGTCGAGTTGCTCAAGTGCGAGCCCAACTACAACGTCTGGTTCGGCGACGGGGAGTGCATCGAGCTGTCCACGGACGTGGCGCGGATGAAGAAAACAATCGAGCGGTGGGAAGGCAAAGAAGGCTTCGAGAGATACCTCGCCTGGATGAAGGAGGCCCACGTCCACTACGAGGCCAGCGTCGTCCATGTGCTGCGGAAGAACTTCTCCACCATCTGGGCAATGGCCCGTCCGAGCTTCCTGCCCTACCTCATGGCGCTCCACCCCTTCGAAAGCATCTGGAACCGGGCGGCGCGCTATTTTCTGACGGAGCGGCTGAGGAGAGCCTTCACTTTCGGGAGTATGTACATGGGCATGAGTCCCTTTGAAGCCCCCGGCACCTATAGCCTGCTCCAGTATACGGAACTGGCTGAAGGCATATGGTCAGTGTCCAGTGAGAGAACCATGATTATAAACTTGTGCATTAACGAGAGCAAAGGTATCCCAGGGGCGGGTTCCATCGAGTCTTGGATGCTTTGGTCAAAGTTGGACAACGTCGCGGGGTCGAGTACAGACTGTCGACACCCGTTGCCCGAGTAAACGTGGACGGATATTCACAGCGTGCGACGGGCGTCACGCTGGCCTCTGGAGAGGTCGTGAACGCCGATATTGTCTTGGTCAATGCTGATCTCGTCTATGCCTACAACGAATTGCTACCTCCTTCTCGGCAAGCTACAACAATATCAAAGAAACCGGCTTCTTGCTCCAGCATCTCATTCTACTGTAAGCTCCCCACTTCGCGACTCTTCCACATCGTGCTAAGTTGTCCAGGGTCAATGGACAAGATGGTCCCTGAACTCCACACACACAACGTCTTCCTCGCCGACGACTACCAAGACAGCTTCGACGACATCTTCAAGCGACAGCAAATTCCCAAAGAACCTTCATTCTACGTCAATGTGCCTTCACGGGTCGACCCGAGTGCCGCCCCTCAAGACCGAGACAGCGTGGTGGTGCTTGTCCCATGTGGTCACCTACTGGAGGGCGAGGCTGATCGAGGGCTAAACCCCCACAGCGCACAAGATTGGCAGGCCATGGTTGCGAAAGCTCGGCATGCAGTCTTTGAGACGATTCGTCTCCGGACGGGGGCGGATCTTCAATCTCATGTCGCTCACGAGATAGTTAATACGCCGAGCACGTGGAAAGACAGATTCAATCTAGATAGGGGAGCCATTCTTGGATTGAGCCACTCATTCTTCAATGTGTTGAGCTTCAGACCAGGCACGAAGCATACGACAATAGCTGGCGTGTATTTCGTGGGAGCCAGCACTCACCCGGGCACAGGTGTGCCCATTGTTCTCGCTGGTAGCAAGATCACCACTGAACAAATCCTTGATGACCTTGGTATGATCAAGCCATGGTCTCCAGGAAACCACAAGAGAAGGGTTGTGAGTGAACTGGATAAACTGGGAACGCGTCCTCTGGATCTCGTGAACAGTCTTCTTGGTCTGTTACTTGTGGTGTTGGTGATGCTTGTGCTCTTGATGAAGTGATAATATGTCTGAAGGGCTTGGTCAGTGATAGACGTCAGCGAAAAGGTGAACATACAAACCACTAGTTCTTCCATTTTCTTCAACCATTCTCAAGTTCTACTTTCTTCGTATCCACCTCCTTGTCAAGGTCTTCTCTCTGCAGCCTCGCGTCATTGTGGCGGCTCTTCTGTTCAGCCACGGAATGCAAAACGGCAAGAAGGACCCATCCCATTTAGCTGGATCTGGCAGCTCTGCCGCATTGGACGTTGCGGATAATCCTCCGGAATGACTTGGTGTGTAGTCAGCACTTCTATGACATCATCGCTCTGGTACCACTGCTGCTCTCATCCACTCACATCACCTCACACAAGAATCCTGGCGGTGGGCGTCGATCATCAAGGAATCACCGGAGAATTCCATCGAATCACTGGCGTCAGAGCAGCTCTAGGTCTCCCAAACGTTTTTGCGGTAGAGCCTTGCTCCCAGCATTTCCGACACAAAATACCTCTGACTAAACCTCTACAGGATGACTGGTTCACAAGGCGACCATTCTCGTCTGAGGTAGTGAGATGGCCTTGCTAAGAGCCCCTTGTCCTTTTTCTGTCGACGTCTCACGATGGACCACCAATGCCGGATGAGCCTAATGCCAGCTGTCTTCGCAATTTTCTCCGGTTCGCCACAGGATTGGAAGTCCGACCTCCTGATCGAGTCCAGTCCCAGCTCCCATCCCAAGTCAAGGCGGTCTGCACTAGCCATCAGCCTGCATTTGCTCCCAAAGGGTCGAAGCCGACGACATCCGAGCGCCAAATGGTTTGTCGGAGTGGTCGAATGACTGTCACGGTAGCCTCAACAAATCTCAGACCACCACGACTGCAGCCCCGGGTGTCTGGACTAACCTGCGTTGACCACGGCGTCCACTCATTGTTGAACGCGATGTTGCCGATGCCAACAGAAAGATGAGCTAATGCGTGGGTCGCTTGGTGACAGTCACCTGTTTGGGACATGAAAACAAAGAGCCTACCAGAGACATCCCAGAGCCTTGCAGCCCAAGGGGCAGATGACCCTCCCCAGATGAGGAAATCTTGTAGCGCAGCTTACTTGATACGTTCTGCCAGAAGATTCCCTCGCTGCCCGGCTCCTACGGCAGCGTCAAGTCCATGGAGAAACTCTCGAGGAATCGCCGGGAATGCTTGTTTTCAACAATGCAGCATACCGCTTTCTGTTGACTGAGCGAAGCGAATCGACGTCACGTTGCTGCCATCCGTGAGAGTCCGTATCTCAGAGGCACAAAGACCTTGATCTATTAAACCCCTCTTTCACCCCGAGATGACAGCTCTATCCTCACTTCAACCAGCACAGTCAAGACATCAGAGGCCAATAGTCCTTTCGCAAAGTCAGTCCCAGCACTTTTTGATCGAAGCCACGACAACCTCCCGCACCAATTACCATTCTCAAGATGGGTAACGGCGTCTTCCGACACAATGGTTTCACCAACACGGTGACTACCAACAACCACATCACCTCCCGTGGTAGTGATTGGTATTGGACTGTCTGTGCGGTCATGACTGTCTCAACCCTCGCCTTCATGGCCCTGTCCTTCTTCAAGCAGCGATCTCAGCGCCTGTTCTACTACCTCGCTGCGGGCCTCACCCTGGTCCCAGCCATTTCGTACTTCTGCATGGGATCCAACTTGGGCTGGACTGCCATCTTGGTTGAATGGGTTCGCAGCGACCCCAAGGTTCACGGCGACATGCGCCAGATCTTCTATGTCCGCTATATCGATTACTTCATCACCATTCCTATCTTGTTCACCTTGTTGTTGTTGAGCTGCGGTCTCCCCACCTCGACCCTCCTGTACACCCTGCTCATGGGCGAGGTCTGGGTCATCATGGCTCTTGTTGGCGCCCTTGTTCACAGCGAATACAAGTGGGGTATGTATTGAAGCGGGATTCGGTATTGGTTACTCAGTCGCTAATTCTGCATGTAACAGGTTTCTTCACCTTCGGAGCTGTTGCACTGTTCTTCGTCGGTTTCGCCATCATCTACGAAGGACGTGCCTATGCCCGCACTCTCGGACAAGACATCCTCCGTGTCTACACTGTCTGCTCCGCCTGGGTCGTTTCTCTCTGGATCGTCTACCCCATCATCTGGGGTGTCTCGGAGGGTGGTAACGTCATCGCTCCCGACTCTGAGGCTATCTCTTATGGTGTCTTGGATATCCTGATCAAGCGTAAGTTGTTCACTTGTCAACTACTCATTCTTTGCGGACGCTGACGATGCCTGCCAATAGCTGTCACCGCTGCTTTCCTCATCTGGGGCATGCGCAATGTCGATATGGAGCGTCTAGGCATTCACATCCGCGATGTCAACTCCACACCCGGCGCTGCTGCTCACTCGGAGAAGGCTGCTGAGGCTGCTGCCGCTGGCGAGGGTGTTGCTCCCGCCCCGGCTCCCGAAGCGAGCGCCGTGTAAAGGGCCGATCATCCCGCAGCATCAGGCCATCGAGCCCAATCTTCGATATATTCGACGGACAACTTACCGGCTGTGCCTGAATGCGGCTACCAGGGGTTGAGAAACCCCTCTCAACTGTCAAGCCAAGAGGTCCATGCGAAGTACTCTTTTTGCTGGACTTCCAACACGATACCCAACCCTACCAATCAAACAAACCCGGTAATGCGACATGTCACTCGTTACACAAGATGAACAAAGGAGATTTTCTTTTACGACCAAGTCACTATTAAACACTAATTCACGGAGTCGGAGAATGCAGAAAGAAGGGAGAGGGGAGAAGGGGGCAAAGTGTCTGATTTATCACGTCGCGACGATACCCAAGATACCATGTACAAGCAGCTCGGCCGCCATTGGGAGGTTAATTAACCTTACGAGAACGAGTAGTATAGTACTTATTTTGACGTACTAATAATATCGATACCATTAGCAATGTCAATGTCAATGTCAATAGAGAATTTCATGGTAATACCAAAAGCTACTCTACACTTGCACCTTGTCTGATTTGGAAGTTTCGTCTACAAGGAACTACTTACGAGTACTCGGTACAGACAAGAACTGGCAAAAGTACGGTGCAATAGTACCGAGTCGAGTCCCTCCATCAGTTACCTATGTACTTACCTACAGGTAGGGTGCATGGTTCATGTAGATGTTTGACACCTCGTGACCTGCGTGCCTACCTACCTAGTACCTACCTTCGTGCCTTTGTACATTCATACCCTCCAACTAAATACCTAGTACCTAGCGAGCTGTGTAGGTACCGTGATACTCTTACCCAAGTCATTAGTCATACAAATACTCGTTCGAGTCGATGACTCGGTTTAGTCTAAACCCCGCTCTCCTTGTACGCTGGGCACTTACTTTTCTTCGAATTCCATCCAACGGAAAGAAAAGACGAAGGGGAAAAAAAAATCTCTCATCCGTGATCCATGGCTGCTTGTTCTTTCGTGTGTGTGAGTCGTGGTGGTGTGTGGGTTGGTTGGGACTTGGTAAAAGAAAGGCCCCGGGAGGTGCCCACACCACCAACAGTATTCTATCCCATCCCATCCCGTCCCCGAACCAGTCAGGTTTCGTCGTCAACCACCATCAGGCTGTGAGGGTCGGGTATGCTCGGCAAGAAAACAATTACTATGAGTAAGAGTGGAATATCTTCTCCGGGCTGGGCTCGAAAATTCTGCAGGCGGGCCAAGAAAGAGACAGAGAGAGAGAGAGACGCACACAAACAAGATTCGGCGCGACTGCGACTTCGTCAAGGAGGACTCGATACTCGAAACTCGAAGAGTTAAAATGACGCGGTATCGAGTAATTTTCCCCAGAGAAAGCTTTTTCCCAGCCAGCGTGCCAGGTCCACAATAGACATTAATGACACGCGCCCGCACAAGTAGGTATACCGACCAAGAGTCGAGACCCTACCAAGCACGAGATACAGCGCGCCGAGAACACTACTAATCTTTTGCTCCAAACTCTTCACTCCCCTTATCATTTGTGTGGATACGAATTGCCTCTGGAGGGCTTGGGTCCAAGCACACCAAGTTACTCGTGAGGTAGTGGAGCACATAGCAAAAATCCTTTTTTCCTCGCTTCACGTCTTGCTTAGCCCATTCAGTCTTAGCACAAAGGCTCTCGGAGATTTTTTTCTGCAAAGACTCGGTACGTGTGCTTGATGTGTACTCGGCAAGAGTATGAGGTGCAGTATCAAGTACCGCGTCGTGTGTGGGAGCAATCGTAAAAAGGAGACTTTCGACTTCATGGTTGTTAAGAGAAAGTCAGCACCTGTGGTTGGTCAATATGGTCGATACCTTCAGTGTTAGTCACCAATAACTCTGGAAGGTGAGTCCCTCCTCAACAGGGCGCAGTGGAAAGGAGAAGCCAGGCCGTGCACGGTAGCTTCGCAGGAGTTTGGGCAGTGTGCACGAGCGTGTTACCCAAAGGATCGACTCAAAGTAAACAGACTTCCTTGGACGGACGGTTGGCCCCAGAAGGAAGGACGGAAAGAGGCCTATCTCGCTTTCAATCGATAGTTCGTCACTGAGATACACAATCAAGGACAAACCACACCGTCTTTGACGCCATCTGTTGACGATCTGGAGAAGCTTGCAGCGTAGCTTACCGTGTCGTTGACCATGTTCCCGCACAAGTCGAGATTGTGGAAAGACCGTTGTTGCTGAAATCCTACCCCAGAGCAGACGAGATTTGCTACCATATTGTTCTGCAGATCATCTTCGTGTGTCTCCACAAAGTATTGCAGCATTCGATATTAGTATGGGGTTATCCAAAACCGCATTCAGTCCTGAGGGTGTGTTCACTGGATCCAACTCCACCTTCTGAAGTTGTAGGTACGAGTAACAGTACGGAGAAGGTACTCGTATGTCAGCCGGCCTTCGTCTTCAACAACTTGTCGGACGCTTGCCGTAGACGAAGGAACTGGCCAAGGATGGCCCAGTGTTCTCCGCGATCTCGAGAACGGTAAGGGCGGAGAGCCACTGATATCGGCCTCGCGCCGTCGAGGTTGTGGCCCGTTTGCACAGAATTTTTGCTCGTTGCGATAAAAGTGGTACACCCAGCGACCATCAACCCCCACCCTCTTGCTGAGAAGTCTCCATCTATGTAGGTCTGGGATGCACACCGTAGGCGAAGTTGGCATCTGGTTTCTGCTTGGAGAAATAAAATCAGCCTGGTTATGGTCACAGCAACACACAGTCGCCAAACCGACCGCTTTGTGCACACCGCAAATCTCAAGCTGCTCTTACCACGACCAACCAGAAACCGTCATCGGCAGTCATCCGGAGGGTTGCAGATGAGGTCGTGTAATCTGAGGCGGCGAGAGGCCCTGGTAGCTCGCCGTGAAGACGGTTCCTGGCACGTTGGCAACACCAGCGGTAGGTCAAACACAGGTAAAGCACTCTGGCCAGCTCCAGGTTAAATTGCACAGTTCCCGTTGGCGGCTACAAATGAGGAAAAGAGTAGTCGACCAGAAGAAACCGCGTCAATTCGGTGCAGGGCCGAACCGACAGTGACCAAAGCCGCAGCCAGTGAGAGGCCTCGTAGATCGTGAAATGACCTGATAACGTTGATGTCAGGGGCGCAGGAAAGAGACAAGAGGGCGAATGGGCGACGGAGCGCAATGTGGATGTCGAGGTCGCTGTTTCATCATTTCCTTCGCAGATGGAGCGATTCTCTTGCTGGGTTGGCGCAGGCAAGCAGCAGATGGGCTGCTTTAAAATGAATCTAACCTGACGCTGGTGCTACCCTTAGGCGGTCCTTTAAAGGCTCTTAGGGGGGGCCTCGGGAAATTTGGCATGGCTAGCATTGGCTGGCAGCTGCGTGCAGTGGAGGATAGGCCCGCAATGGGTCCGTAGTCGCACAGGCACAAGCCCAGGAACCAAGCTTGGCGCGCCCGGGCTCAACCACTCAGGGGTTGCAGTTTCATCTGTTGTCAACCCTTGTGTCCACCACTCTATCCTCTTATCCACCGCTTCTCCACGATCGTCGAAGCCTCATCCCAACTCAAATCAGCCAGACGACCATTCAAAGTTTGCTGAGCTGTCTCTGTTGACACCAGCGCTTTACTCTAACTCGGCCCACGACCGCGACGCAATTTTACCCGATTTTTTGCGATGCTCCCGCTGCCACGCCAGCGCAACCCCATGCCCTCGCCCAGCCCATCAGATATGCTTTTGGCCGCCACATATACTCGTCTTCTTCCCTGCTCGTCTCCATATGTCGCACCTCTCTTTCCTCCCCCAGTGCGAGAATCCAGGATAGCATATTGCTGTCGTCCGAGCATCTGAGCTCCCTCTCAGTTCCCATCACGCTCACTCACCTCCCTTCGAGCAGCGCTCGCTCAGCCCGCCTTGCGCGATACCATTCTAGGACCAAAACAGCACATTGACCGACCACGGCAGGTCATCACACAATCACTGAGACTTATCACGACACTCGAGATCGGACTCTGACAATCGGAAGTCGCTCCGGCGCATCGAGAAACAAATCGCCGCACTACACAAAACCTCAATACGATACCCAAAGCAAAATGCGCATCAGCTCAGCCATCGCAGCAGTTGCGCTGTTGCTAGCGCCAGCAGCTCTTGCTGATCTACCGCCTGGAGACTGGTCGGGGGAGACCACTGTCACAATTACGCAGTCGCTCTCAACCACTCTTACCGTTACCAAATATCTGACATATGCGAATGCTACAACGACGAGCAGTTCCAGCAGCTACACTATCAGACCAACAGGCTGGAATGTCACTTCAACTACCACAACCGGGGCAAGTACCATCAATATTCCGACTTTGACTGCCCCAACTAGCTCAACATCCGGCATCTCACCGCCCATTGCAAGTGCAACTGGCGCAGCGAGCGCTCAAGAAATCAATCTAGCAGTGGCCGCTATGGCGGGCGCCGCAGCCCTCCTCTTGGGCTCATTATAGCCACAGTCTTTTGATATTGATCAACATGTCGAGCATGAAGCGGCATCTTGTTGATACTTTCTTTTCCTCATGTTTTGACTGAGTCAATGTTTTACGTTGCGAGCACCAGCATGCTCGCTTACACTTGTCTGGATAACAACAATTTCATCTCTGAGAGAGTTTGAAGCACATTGCGGAGGACCGATTGTCGGAATCTTTGATTGTACCGCAGCCGGTACTTTCACGAATTACCTATGTGTTGAAGTTGCAAAGTGGGAGATCACACTATCCACGCCCGGGGCGCAGATGAGTCGGACTGTCAGCTATTGTGCAGCACTGGTTTCAAGCATGAGTGTTGGACAACGAAGGCTCTGTTTACATACCAAGTGAATGAAGACCGGGGCGAAATGGTTCTTGGGATAGGGGATGCAATTGGGGGAAGGGGCAGGTCTACGATGACGACGGACACGATGTGAAGTGCAAGTCCCACACCTTTTCGAAAACATGCAAGAGAGTCGCGGTCTCCTTTTTACGAGATGGTGGTGAACACTCGTCTGGGAAGCTTTTTGGCCCACCGCTGCATCTGTACAGATAGCCAGTTCGCGCATTCTTGTAATTGAACTAAGAAACGTCACAGAACACAGCCGGTCTCGCTATGTCGTGGGAAGCGCGATTATCTTGCCCGATTCTGATATTAATTTGTTCCTTTTTCCGAGTTTGGCGATGGAAAGGGGAGGGGGTAAGAAGGATGCACGAGGCACGAAACATGCTGCCGGCTACGTTCATCTCCCGTGATCGACAAGCGCGCAAGACAACCGCCATGTCTCGCGCAGATCTCTACTCGGTGTACTCGGTACTCTTGTTCAATAATCAAAGCCACCGCCTTGAGTACTTGTACGCGTACAAGTAGAGCCACGCGATGAAGGTGGGGAGGTGTTTGTACATATGAGAACAGGACATACGTGGCTTGTCAGTGTTGTTGCTGTCAGTCTGCCAGTCGAATCAATTACTTGCTTGACATGATTGACGTCCTCTTGTACTCAATACTATTCGCGCTGTGTCGAGTAGTGGTTCTAATATGTTGTTTTAGGGTCGTCGTGCAAGTGTGGAGCGATACTAATGGGGGGGTGGCTTTCTCTAGGGACGATAGATAGAGGAGGGGGATGTACTCGGCACCCAGCTCGGTACTCCGTACTGTTCAATTGTGATCATGATGTGGGTGGGCACGGGTGGCTAATCAAGGTGGTGGCTGGTGAGCTGGTGGACTGGTGGACTGGTGGCTGTGTGATGCCCGTCATCCCGGACGCGTCCTTGATCCTTGAGCCTTCGGATACATACCTTCCTCATCCCATCAGTCGGCGAGTCGTAGCTGAGGTAAAAGGCCATCGACACGAAGGTTTAGTCAAGTAAATCTCGACACTGCCCTTCACTGTTCGAGTTGGGACAAATGTTTACACGGCGCGCATTCTCATTCAGACTTGTCGAATGTCTTCTGGGTTTGCGGCTATTGGTGCCCTGCATTCGCTAGGTGGAACAACATCCCGAGGAACTTGCAAGTCTATCAACGTTCTCGGGGATAGATATTCATGAGTCTCTCTGCCCATCCACGATACCTCTAACGAGTGTCCCGGGATTTGAACCATACGCCGCGTACAAAACTGAAAATGCTGGATCAAAGGTTTTCTAAAGTGCTCGAGTCGTTGAGCCTGGATCTGTCTCTGTCTCGAGCGAACTACCGTGCAGAATTCAGTCTCCGTCCAGTAGTTAAACCAAGTACCGAGGAGTCTCTGAGATACCTGCCATGGAGTATTTGTAACACGTGACCAGGCGTTTCCTCCTCATACCCAACTAGGTAGGTTTGTCGCTCTCATTGGTTCGCTCTCTTTAGCGAGACCTCGGGGCCCCTCCATCCAGCTCAAGCAAGACATGTGAGTTCCTTCCCAAAACGCGTCTTGCTCTGACGCGCTCTTTGGGTCGTTCAACAACTCCACGTGGTCACTCACTCGTGTCTTTCCCACCAACGTCAACGAAACCTGGCTGCTTGTATCTACGGTCTTTGCCGGCTATCTTCTGCGTCTTCACCAGAGCTGTCTTGAAGATCCTCTTTGGTACCCCAAAAGACTTCTTGCTCTACTAGACGTCTCTCGCTGGACGACCCACTGTGCTGCGAGCATTCTCTGCGAAAACGCGATTCTCCACGAATGGACGAACCCGAACTCCCTCCTCTTTCGTGGTCCACTCGGGCAACAGTAGCACACGCTCGCTCTCGCCTCGCACCACCTCTCTCTCGAAAGCGAACTCATTCCGACCGGGAAGACGAGCCAGCCATTTCTAGCGATCCCGCTCTATTCTCCAGCGATGAGACAGCACCTGGCGCCGAAAACTATGCTTTAGGCAAGAGGAAGAAGCGTACATTCAAGGGGTCGTGGTGGGATTGTCACCCAGCTGAGCCTGGAACCAGAGATGGTCTGAGGGAAAGACGCCAATTTAAGAGAAATTTCGACTCGGGAATCTTCATGGGCAGTGAGAGTGACGATCTTCTCTCAAGTGATGCGATCACGATAGAAGAGGAGTTTTTGAGAGACCAGCGAGAAGATAAAGACAACAGTAAACAGACGGAGTCGTTCTCGTCCTGGCCAGCGCAAAGTGAACCAAACAACCTGAGAAGAAAGCTCGCTCCCGGAATTATGGTTGAGATTCCTAAGGAGCACGAAGAGGTTTGCAAGATTATCCGGCAGTGTCTCGACCATGGAAAAGAGAATGTGGACCTATCGTAAGTGGCCCAGGTCGGCAGAGCGAAAGAAACACTGGTGCTGATAAACAGATAGATCCATGTCTCTGTCAACTTTACCCGCCGATATCACGTCACTCCAGACACTCAGCAAACAAGATGAGCTAACTCCGGGCATGCTGCATATTGGCACTAACCTTGAACCCCAATTACGACTGTTTTTGGGCAACAACTCCTTTACAAAAGTGCCAAGTCCTATTTTCACCCTTCACAACCTGCGCGTCTTATCTCTCCGCAACAATGGTCTCACCTATATACCAAGTGCGATAGGGGAGTTGGTCAATCTCCAGTCTCTAAACATTGCAGGAAATCAGCTGTCTGAGCTGCCCACGGAGATTCTTGACCTAGCCACTGAACACAAGTTGCGAGAGCTGAGGATAAACCCAAACCCATGGTACATGGCTGATGGAGCGACGGTCGCCGAGCCTCTTGACAGGCTAATCCTATGGCCTGGGCCATATCTATCATTTCGCAGGACCCATTATCACATCGTTGCAAAAAGCAAGCATTGGCCATCGGAATTTCCCCAGATCCCGACACTCACTGAACTAGCTCTTCGCCAATTGTCTAGATACGACCCTTTGGGCGACATGGACTTTATTGCCTATATGCCACCGAACACGCCTGAAACTGTGTTGAACCAGCTTCAACAGCTCCAAAAGCAACCCCAACGTCGGTGTACTGCGTGCAAAAAGGTCATTGTGTTGGCACGGGAAGAATGGCTGGAGTATTGGAGCATTGAGTGTGGTGACGCGAATGATGAGAGGAAGTCCCCGCATCCGGACTTTTCGCGGACTAGTGAACTGACGCCCTTTCGAAGGCTACGGTGCTGGGATTGCTCCAAAAGCTCAAGACTGAGCGATGCGGCTTGGGATGAGAAGTCGTAATCCTTTCTCGAGGTTCTTTTCGCACCAAAGCTGTCTTTGTGTGCCAAAACTTGAAGCATTCTGCGAGCCTGTAAAATGGATGTGGACTTACAGGGATGAAGGTCTCTATGGACAGTTTACCTTGGCCGGACAAGGCTGGGTGAGCAAGCCCGGCCGGGGGAGCGAACAGTCTTTCACACGCATGTTTGGGCAATCTTTGGCTTGGTCACGTGGCAGACTCCTTGCTACAGGGGACCAAGGACCAAATCCTGCGTGGGCTATCACCTATGGACTCTACCGCGTCTGGTGGCATTCTCCAAGGTCCTTTGGATGGTGCTCTTGGGGGACGGGCTGGTCCGCAGGGAGGGATGAGAAGGCGAAAAGCATAGAAAGAGAACAGAATCCAGAGCAAAGACACGAACAGAACCCACTTGTTTAATGCCTAGTAGTACTCATTCTTTTTCTTTGGAGAGTTGGTGGTTTTTTATCTGAATGTGGGCGAGATTGGAGACAATGTGAGAAAGAGAGGAGAGAAAGGAAGGAGGGAGGGAGGCAGGGCGGAAGGAAGAGAGAATGGGTATGTGGCACGGCGTATGGCATATGGCATACGGCATACGGCATACGGCATAGCATGGACATCAACGAAAAAAATCCATCGGGGATAGATAGTTCGCTGAAAAGGGGGGATTGCTGGATACTTCCATCTTCGTTGCTTCTCCCTCTGCTCACCTACCAAAGACTAGATGAGATGAGACGAGACGAGATGGAGACGAAATGCAAATGCAAATGCAAATGCAACGCAACGCAACGAAATGAGATCAGGATCATACGAGGGCTACTTCACTTTTCCTTGCTTCGCCAAATCACCGGCGGGCCACTGACTAAACTGCATTTGTACATACGTTGTAGACGCGAAGATCCATCCATCCATCCGTGTCCCGGGAAAGAAAGCTTCCGCGTGAGTCCTCTTTGCAAGGCGCGCTTGATTTTGACGCTCCGTAGTAGATCGTCTGCTTCATGATCCGGGTCGGTAGGTGAAGAGCAGTAGCAATGTCAATGTCATCCCCATCGCATCAAATATCTCTAGGTCGACTGATTGATTTGCTTGCTTGCTTGCTGTGAGATGTCGTCCGTCGTCGTCGTCTCTCCTCTGTTCTCATTTCTGACCGTCGCCGTGCCCGTAAGCCTGGTTCCGAAACGGGTTTTTGTCGCTGTAGGCGTGGTCGACCATTTTGCAGTCGGCGATGATCCGCCGCTCAATCTCGGCCTTCCAGTTATCCGTGGTGCACCTTTTCCGCTCGGCCAAGTGCTTCGCCGTGTCTCCCGGGTTGGTGCTCAGGCTCTCTCGCGACTTTGGGTCGTCAAAGTAGATGTCTTCGATCCGGGAATCGAGCTCGCCGGCGGTGGCACTGGCGCCTTTGCTGTCCCCGAGGTCGATCCTGCCAGACATGGGCGAGGGCGATTTGGGGGATCGGACGAGCGCTGCCTTGACCTTCTTGATCGGAGAAATTCTCTCCTTGGACTGGGACATCTTTCCGGCTGTTGGTATTGGTGGATTCAAGAAATTGTTCAAGCAAGTCGCAGGACAAATTCAAAGGGTTTGTCAGGCTCGGGCTGACGATACGAATGGCAGTGATAGTGACAGTGACAGACGGTGATTCATATCTCGTGCATCACCAGGCCCTCAAGTATGGATCTCACCTAAACTTGACCGGTGGTGAATCCGTCTCAAGCACAAACTGAAGTGACGGTTCCCTGATTCCGTTGACCCGCGGAGCGGTTTAACGTGCTGCTGAAGACCAGCTTGAAATATGACAGGCTTTGAAGAGCAAGTCCCAATCGCTGGTGGTCGACAGTGTGACGATCCTGCAAAATATAAGTGAGGCTTGTCCCCGCCGTCTTGCGGGATGGGCTTGTCAGGCTGAGTGGCTCGAGACCGCGAGACAAGCACTATAGCTGTGGGCGAGAAGAAAAATGGGTGATGGTCTTTGAGGAGCAAGAGTCAGGGAGGTGGTCAATCAAGTGAGGGTGGAAGGAGATGCTGCTCCAGCACACTCAAGAAGTCGTCAACATATGCTCATGAGCACTGGTTCCAAACACAAGTACTCTCGTCGTTCAGCAATATTGCCATTACCTCGGTATCGATCCTGTCGACTCCAGGTATAAAGGCCATGATGCGTTGTCATAGATCTAGATGTTGTGGAACATGTCACAAGCGTGCTGGGTTGACAAGTTGAAGCCCAGGTGCGATTGTCACATCTGCCAGAAAGACCACATTAGTGCTCGAAATGGTATTCAAGCTGTCTGCATTCGTTGACCGACGCGGTCTCTGGGTATCTCGAATCGTAACATCGTAATGTTAAGGAAAGCCATGGGTCCAGGTATGACGGTACAAACTCAGCGTTCGAAAAAGCCACCGTCACTCATATCATCATCCTGGTCACTGTCCAGATCCGCTGGATCAATGATACCATCGTCATCGAGCCAGGACGGCTTCGTCTCTTGCAGTTGGTTTCCATGTGCACTGCGCATTTCAGCCTCTTGCTTTCCACCAATTGCAGCCAGCTCCTTTTGAAGTTGCTTGTCGGTGGTCAGCTTGCCATCGCGTAGGGCTTCCAGTTTGGCCTCCCCTTCGTCCATCAGCTTCTCGACCTTATACCACATTGGTGGTTTAGCACCGGATGCAGATCGGACGACATTGCTCAGTTGATCGGCGAGTTGGAGGATCTCACTTCGCTGATTTGCGTCATATGTCGCCATCTCTGTCTTATTTATTTTTGGTCTATCCTGCCTTTCTTTTTTGCCCTCCTGAACAAACAGGCTGATGTACTTCTCTCCCAACGGTGCGTACTTGGTGTAATTAATGTCCACCTCGGCAATGTGAATCAGTTTCTCAAGTTCAGTGTTGTAAGCTTGTTCAGAGTCTCGTTGCCTCAACAACTGCTTCAGTGCTCTTTCCGCCTTCTTTCGCTCCATGAAGCGGACAAAATGGTAGCGTTGTAGATTCTTCCGAGCATTTTGTGTGAGGAGTGCTTTTCTTTGGTCAAAGAGCAAAGCAGCTAGTTCACGCTCCTTCTCTTGTCGCACAGTACCAGGCAGGTCTTGTTGTGAGGTCAACAACCGGCGCAGAGAGTGTATCCTGGTTGAGGGATTTGTGGATCGTTCATGTTTTGTTTTCGAGACCGCAGACCGGACGGGGGGGAGATTGGGTGGATGACGTCGTGGGGAGGTCTGTCTGGGGTCGCTGCGCCGTTGCGTCTCGCGGGTTCGATCTTGTCGTGGGCGATAGGAATCATACTCAGCACGAGCTGGTCTGTAAGAAGACCCAGCCGAGGGGCGTGGAGGTCGCTGTTTCCCCATGGTCCAGATTCAGCATCTCAGAAGCAGCTTGTATGCGGCGTTTGAGTATCAGGGTGCCGAATCATCAAGAGTTACAGGTTATATTGAAACGACGGGAAAAGCGTGTTTGTGGCAGAAAGTGAATTTCCTCAGCAAAAAGTTCTGCCGCTCTTCACCGCTTTGAGGATCGCGTGCCTGGGCTTTAATTCGATCTAAACCCTTTTAGGCAAGTGATTCGACTACACGAATCGTACCTCGTAGAGCAACCCAAACTACCACCACCATGCACTCTGAACACCCAGAACATTCCCCACGAATCGAAACGAGACTCTTTCTGGAGCGGATACAATGGGTAAATAGACTTTGAAGGCGGAAGCCTACGCCGTCAACAACGACGAGATGGAAGCCGCCATCCGCTTCTCCCAGAACTCATTCCCTGCAGACCCGCAGAGATTCTTGTACGTCGATGTCGTTGGGAGATCATTCAAATTGTGCAACGTCACAAAACAGAGCAAAAGGGTCTTCGAATATGAAGCCATTCATACTACGACCAAAGTCCCGGCATTTCGGGCCTTTGACTGGCATCCCGTCAATGAGGATCTGGTTGTGGTCGGTCAAGCGGGAGGAGAGGCCACTCTTTTGAATATCGCCGAGGGTCAGCAGGACTCATTGGCTTTTCAAGTGAGGAGCCAGCGCTTGTGCAATGCCGTGGCTCTCAACAGTCAAAATCTTCTGGCCGCAGGGCTGGACAAAGTGAGGACTGATTTTTGTCTCAATATATGGGATTTCAACCAGGGGCTACCTACAGCAGGATCAATGGGCTTTTCCAAGAATCATTCAGAGCCCCTTCATAAGCTGGCAAGCGGGGAGCCCATCACTAGTTTGAAGTTCTTTCAGGACGACCCTTCACTCCTGGTGGCTGGGGTTAAAGGTCAATTTGTCAGATTGTATGATTTGCGAGAGCCGTCCATCGGAAATGGGTTGCAATTTGCTACCCGGTGTGTCCATAACCTGGCTATCGACTGGCTTGATCAGAACTACTTTGCTTCTTGCTATCCAACAAACGACCCATCGATCTGTGTTTGGGACCGGAGAATGATCAGCCGCCTCAACACGCCACAAATGGGCTTCACTGGGGGGTCTCATAGTGAAAATCGCCAACCCGAGCTGTCACTAGAGCTAAAGAGCGTCGTCGAAAGTCCAGGGACAGTTTGGAGCGTGAGATTTTCCAAAGCTGAGCGAGGATGCTTGGGCGTTCTCTCTAGTACTGGACATCTGAAAGTCTACAAATTGGGCAAAGATTTCTCTTCACAGACCTACAGGGTCGAAAATGACGGACGCCAGGATCTCTCATGGGAGACCAGCACACCTCAGGAAATCTTTCTCGAGCGAGCTCAAGACCTCGAGAGGCCATATGCAAGTGCCGCTGCTCCCAAGAACGAGAAACCCAGGGTTGTGTCCTTTGACTTCACGACAGCTACAACCAATATGAGGCAATCCAAGATCTTGACACTTGACGGACGTGGCGAGGTCAAGCTCATATCCCCCAGCCCTCCTCCAGGCCCGTCGCCCCTCTGCTCCGCTGGGTATCTATGCAAAGGCAGTCATTTCATCGAACAGGTAACCACTTCCACTCCTGAACCAGGAACTGCAATCGACCAAGTCCGTCGCCGGGCTCAGCCCCGGAACATTCTCAGACAGACCTTTAAGCAATCACGACAGAACAAGACAATTGCAGAAACTAAACGAATGTCGAGTCTTGATGATCAGGCATGGCACGCCGACTTAGGTTTCTATGAAAGGGATGTGCCATTAGCAGACCTTGTGACATTGACCTCAATTCAACGGTTGCGGTGCGAAGCAGGTTATCTTCTCAACCCCTCCCAAAATAAGGCCATTGTCTCAGACTCCCACTGGCTACAATCATTCTGGGCTTGGGTGGAACGAGCTGCGAAAATATCGAGAAATGGCAACATGGCACACGATAATTTCGATCTTTCTTATATCGGCGTTTATGGTCTCTGGATGGAAGACATCGATCCCAAGCATCGAATGCTCGGTCAGAGCCCTAACACACTCGGCAAAACGATTGAGAATCTGGTGCACCGTTTGAATATACCTGGCATCAGCAAAATGACGACCGAATATACCGCCAACAGGCAGCTCTGCCTCTATTCAGCCGGCTTAGCCTGGTCTTCTGACGAGCTCAAGTCGATCGTCAAACGGCTGGTGATGAAAAATCAGCATACAAAGGCGGCAGCCTTGGCTCTGTTTGCGATGGACCGCAAGTTGGCGTACAAGGCACTCCGCGATAAAACTGCTAATCAGTCCCACAAAATGCTGGCCATGGCAATCGCCGGGTCATTCAAGAAAGCCCGAAATGAAGACGCTGGAGCAAGTAGTCCGGGAGAGTCGGATGCCCAGGATGATTGGGCTGACACGATTTCATCCCTTGCCGACGAGTTGACGGATCCCTATGCGCGAGCGATCCTAGCATATGTCAAAACCGGGGATTGGTCGAATGTAGTTGCCGAAGAATCCCTTCCTCTCAAATACCGCGTTTGCATTGCTTTGCGACACTACGACGATTCGAGACTGACAAAGTACATCTCTGATACGACCAAGGAAGCATTGGCAGCAGGAGACATTGAGGGTGTTGTGCTAACAGGCACGGCAACGCAGGCCGCTTTCGACCTCATGAGCGGCTACGTTCAGCGCTTCGGTGATTTACAAACAGCGGTATTGGCACTTTGCTCGACCATTCCACGATACTTGGATGACGAGACTGTGCTTCGTAAGTTCAATGGCTGGAAAGATGCTTACAGGCACATGATGAACAGTTGGAATCTGAAGTTTGACCGAGTGCGGTTCGATATAGCCTGCCATAATGCCGCTAGAGACGAGGGGGGAAGACCGCTGATACCCCCGGCAAAACAGCAAGTACGTCTCGTCTGCAGCTTTTGCGCACAGAGCATTGCACATTTGGCGGGCGCGGATGGCGAAAATGTGTCTGGCCACAAGGTTATGGATACAGCTCGGCACCCGCTGACCAAGGAGAAGGCGGCGGCTGTTGGTATAGTGTGTCCCAAGTGCGAACGACATTTGCCACGTTGTGGTGTCTGCGACCTCTGGCTTGGAGAGCCTGATGGATCCTATCTGCCGTGGTACGGGTCGCAATCACTATCGAAGCATGACGCCGGCAAGGCTAGTCTTGATCTCAGTGCCAGCGTTGCGGGAAGTGTGCAGACAACATTGGGACCTGACACCACCCTGGGACCCAACATCAAGGGCAGCTCCCCTCGACAGAAACACTCGGTACCAGTGAACTCCAAGGTTTCAACGAGTGAGTCGTCGACAAAGACGACCGTCCCTACTTCCCCAGCACCCAACAAGACAGTGGATTCAGTTCCCGAAATTATGGTGGCTGCGCCAGAAGGTTCAGGCCACGGGCAAGGGCCTGATGGCGAGATGAAGAAGGTAGAGGCCGCGCGGAAGTGGGATAGCACCATGTCTCGATTCACGGTGATGTGTCTGAAGTGTTCACATGGGTGTCACGCTGCACATGCACGAATGTGGTTCGAAAGGCATCGTGTGTGTCCGGTTTCGGACTGTCCATGTCTCTGCAATGAGTGAGGTATACACTGCTGACACTCACCCAACAACCGTGGTTATGAGAGAGGTCATGGAGGGAGCCAAGGCTCTTATACCAACACAACCATCTAAGCCTCATCCTGCTTCCAGAAGGCTATATGCTGCTGAGAAAGATGTTCTACTTGCAGGACCAGATGAGTGGGGACCAGGTCGAGATTGGCATCTCTTTTCGCTCCACCAGCATCAGAAAACAGCCGTTGAGTCGTTCATCTTGGTGACAGCGTCAGGCCTGCCATCTTATGTCACGTGTATCGGCTTGGCTCTGCTTCAGCCCAATTCGGAACGGCGCAACAAGCTCTAGCATATAAAAAACTTCCACCGCTACCAAAGACCACGACTACTCACCCAACACTCTCGCCAGCATCTCAGACCGCGTCTATAATGATGGCCACCCGCACCAGAATATCAATGAATGTCGCATCGGCCAGGAATGGAGTGGGATACTTCTTCGCCATCGTCTTTGTGGCCCTTTCTCTCCTCGCGGTGTACATGCTCCGTGTAGCATCCATCATGTCGGGCGTGGCCGACAAAATGGAATATATCACCACAAACAGCCAATTCACGGAACACTCGATGGAACTACGCACCACGTACACCGGGATCGCACCTTTGGACAAAGGTCTCTCGTTCCTGGTGGCGGCTTTTATGAATGGCGCGGCCGGATGGGACAGGGGGTTCCTCGTGTTCATGATGTATTTCCTGTTCTCTTTCTTCCCTATTGTATCCATCTGGGCGATCGAGAGTTGCAGGGAGAGGAACGGCCTTGCTCTGACGAGATTGTGAGTTTTCCTTTCTTCAGACTTTTCTCCCAACAATTCATTTTTCTGGGGCTGGGTTGAAGTTGAACCCACAATAACTAACAGAGTTGAAAACCACAGTACCAGTATATATGCGCTATTCTACCAAACGGTTGGGGGAGCCATCATCATCCCGATCTACTACCTGGCATACCTTTACGACACATCCTCAAATCAATACTGGGCCAAAATACGACGTGTCCCATTGCCATATGCTAAAGCACTGCCTCCTGCGGTGATAATTGGATATCTGATCCCCACGGTCCTGATGTTCCTGCCTTACTCGACGGCGCACAACCTGTGGACGACCCAGGCCATGGTGGCTTTCTGGCAGCCATGCCCCTGGTACGTCAACGCCCTGCTCTGGCTGTTGCCGACATTTTATTCAGGCCGCCGCGCCGCCTCTCAGCCTTCAAACGCTCAAGCCCACCAAACCACTAAGCCGAAACCAGACTACGCTCCCGGGCACGACGACGTCAAATATCTCAATCGGGTCTACCTGGTCTCCTTCGCCGTCGCTGCACTGTCGCACGTCGCCGTCGCCGTCACGTGCCTTGTATCCTCGGACCCAGAGCATTCCTTCCAACACATGTTTTTGCCTCCGTCGTCATCGACATCGTCCTCGTCGACGATGGCGGAGTCAGACACCCAACAACTCTCATTGGTCCAGGGCATGCATGCCATCTTCCAAGCAGACTACTGGATCATCTTCGTGGCCTCCCTGGTCTGGGCGTACCTGGCAATCTGGGACCTGAAACGTCTGGGGTTGACGAGGGACGTCAATCTCGCCACGGCGCTCCTGGCGATGCTGCTGGGTTGTGTGCTCGTGGGGCCTGCCGCGACGGTCGCTATGGTCTGGTGGTGGAGGGAGGGCGTCTTGGTCGCAGCGGAGCGAGCGTAGTACTCCTAGCTAGGGAGGTAGGTTTGAACATACTTGTAGCCAAATGAGGGAGGGTGCAGAGCGGAGCTTCACGTAAAAAAAAGCCGAAATGACTAGTGGTCTCACATTGACAACATGACAATGTTCTCGGAAGGCGGTATGCTATGGAATGAGAATCATCGTCTGTGTGTCTGCTTATCCGCATGGAAATCGAAATGCTTAAGCGGCTTTACGCCTTCTCGTCCCCAACCAATAAATAGAGGTTGTCGTTCTTCTCGTTTCTTCCCTTGCCTTTTACCTGCAGCTATCCCCGGCCGATTACCTTACCTGCTTTTACTCCTGCTTCCCATGTGTAGGTTGGTATGTAGAAGAATGAAGTATGTGGCCCAGCTGGCAATGTCACACGTGACAAGACGTCGGTGAAGGGGGTCATGGCTCGGGGCATCGTATTGCGTATTCGCATTCGGCGCAGTTTCAGACAGGCGCCGCCTGAAATGTATGATGCAACGACTCATACCAAGACTCAGGAACGAGCAAACTTTGTGGACACGTTTATGAAAAGAAAGGCTTGAAGAAAAGGCCTCCTCCAAGGACGTGGATGCTGCTTGTACCCTCATTGTCGGCCTTGACAGAATTTCTACGGATTATCTGTTGTTTCTGTCGACATGTCGGGCTTTCCATTCTCCTTCCTCGTGCCTCAGGCAAATGTTTCCTACTACACGGTGCCCCTTGCCTGGCTACTGAGCTTCTCTCCGCACGTCTACGCCATCGTACGCTACAACACTCACGACCAGCCTTCTGGGTCTGAGGCCCCAAAGTTCAATACCGCGTCACCGCGAACCTTCCTCACTACGCTCCAGTCGCACCCGCACCTGTCCCAAGAGACCAAGGACCGCATCTTCCGTGCCGAGGCGGCATCTCTTAATGGCTTCGAGAATCTGGGCTGGTTTGCAGCTGGCGTCGTGGCGGCGAATGGCGCAGGCGTTGATGTTGGCTGGGCCAACGCGCTGAGCATGTGGTATCTCTTCAGCCGGGCGGTGTACAACCTCGCTTATATCCGTGGTGTCGACGGGAGGGTCAGAGGGATCTGGTTTTATGGAAGCGTTGCGTGAGTCTTTTTTTTCTCGTTTCCTGGCGTCCCCCTTCCTCCGATCTACCATGCATGCGAGAGAGGGTCGGTTTGATTTGTGTTATGCTGGAGATGATGACTTTTTTCCAGGGCAACCATCACCTTGTTCATCAAAGCTGGCAATGCCGTCAGGAGGGTGGCTATGTGAAAGATGTTGGAACAGCAGCGGGTGATACTGGATGATTGGAAAACGTTCTGGTCTTTGGAGGGTGTTAAACCATAGGTTGAACGCTGACATGGTCAAATATCGAGCATCTCAACTCAATGTTCAACCATCAAACCATTCGTGCTATTTCCATCTCAGTAGTGGGATTCACAGCGACACCCTTGAACAGGCTTGGGAGAAAGACACGAGCAGAACGTTCGATCGTCAAGCTAGTTCCTGCAACGCGTCTCGTCATTCTATTCTGGCAGGTCCGATCTCAATCCTTCAGAGAATTTTCACCAGCAGTGGAAGCTCGCAGGTCAGCTCGCGCTGCAGCTTGCCTGATCAGTCGTCCGCAAGTCCGATCAAGAGGCATATAAAAGAGTTGGACGAGAGGTGATGGAGCGGGACGGAAAACGGACAAGGGGAATTCGCCGTCCTGCGCTATACTTATGACACCTAGAGCTTAGTCGTATACGGCGGGCAGATGTGTGGGTAGACTGGCTTGGCTGGCCGCTCACAGTGGAACCCTGGGTGCTGGGTGCCTAGGTGCCTAGCCACCCATCCCGCATTGTCACCAAGATCTTGTTTAGGCGACTCGGTTGAACCCCCAATTAGTCCCCACTAGTAGCTCCCAAGAGGCCCTGGAGGATTTTCCGCCGCATGTGGGACAAATTCTCGATGAATATAGCATCATTGAGATCCATTCTCCACGTTTAACCTCTTCAACCCTCCAAGGGAGAATTCCGCAGAGGGAGTTACCGCATTCGCCGTCGACGACAACTGCACTCAGCTACCAGTATGCTCTTGACCACGCGTCATGTCCGACCAAGGCCGGATTCCTGGATTGGATTCCTCAATTCCTGGCTGGGCACATCACCCCATGTCATGACCACTCGTGATTCCTCCCTGGTCTTTGACAACTGCTTGATAAAGCGATTTGACCGACCTTAAAACCCATGGCGTCCCTTGCCTCTTTGTTCGAGTTTGACACTCACCTTGGCTTTGTCCTCTGCAAGAACCCATTTGAGCTGTGTTCAGCACTGGCCGTCTCGCCACGCATACAAAGAGGTCGATGACAATGAATCCTGACCATGCTCGCTCACAGTCCCCGGCGAGGTTCCCAGCCTCTAGAACTGCCTCCCTTTCCTGTCAGTTGTAAGTTCAAGTCTCCATCAGCTCCATTGTCTCTTTCCATGTCTTCAGACTCTGACTTTTGGCTCGTGGCAGCGCCTTGTCCCAATTTCGACGATGTGCCGACCATCCGGGTTGCTACTCATGAAGTCCCTCTTCCAGCATACTGGCGTATTCTAAGTCTTTTAGAGGATGGCAAGCGAGAAGAAGAGATTGTCCAAGTCCTTGTACACCACACAGGCACCAAAGCGCGGAGGATTATTACAGAGGTCGTGAATAGTGTAGTGGAGAACCAGCGGCTAATAACCGGGCCACCCAGGCCATCAGGGAGACTGAGCGTTGTGTTCAAGAAGCCCCGGAGAATAAGTGACTACCGAGCCACTCGGATGGAAGCGCGGCGGGAACTTCAAGCGGCTGAGGAGAAACTAGAGACGGCAAAGCAGAAAGAAAAGAAAGTCCTCAATGAAGTGCTCGTTCTTTCACAACACATGGAAGACTTGAAGGATAGGAAAATGAGTCCAGATGAACGACGAAAGACCACAAGTGCGATCGAACAGCAAATCGAATACGTTCTCCAGAAACACCACGACGTTGAGGCCGAGATTGCCTTTGCTAAACGACTCACTCTCATTCACAAGGCGTCCCTGGCTTGATGCTTCCGGTGCCACGATGCTGGGTCCGTGTTGCACCCCTTCGCCTGAGCCTCGTCATTCCAGCCTTGCCACATGTCCCAGTGTCGCAGGACAAAGTGATGATGATGTGACGCCTACTAGCTACCACTGCTTGAGACAGTAACCCGAGGAGATGCCCGTCAAAGTTTCAATCCGCGTTGCCACAATGATCTAGAGTCGAGAACCACACATGAAGCCTCCTAGCGAAATATTTCACGAGAGGTGAGAGAAGACGGAGGCATGATGCTGCGTGCCAGCCATATCCCAATCACTCTATTGTCGCAGTGTCCCGACATGAAACCAAACTGAGCCACTACTCGGCAGACCGTAATGGCACAGACAGATATCCTCCAAACTCCTTCGCGAAGTCCACAGACACGCGGGCGTGTACACGGCCTTGCCGATCGATGAACCGGGCGTTGTCCTCGAGCGGCACAACAGCGCCGTGCCAAATGTTTGGGTGGATGTATAGTCCCTTGCCTCCGTCACAGCGAAATGCGACAAACTTGTCCGGCGTTACATCGTCGCCTGGCAGAGCAAGGGGGACGACGAAACTCTGGCCATCAATGGGGAAAAATAACTGGCCGCCGTCTGGATGGTAGTTCGCTCGCCAGATCATCGCCCGTTCACGAGGTCGCGCTGGACCGGTGGTCGCAGCCTCTTCAGGATACTGGCTCCAGGCAAAAAGATAGCTATCCCCAACAGCATTATTGCGCGCATAGAGCGTGTCGCCTTTCCACCAGAACTCAAAGAGTCCTTCAGTTAGACCTCCCTGGTCTCCTGAATTGGCATCCACCGCCCGCCATCCTTGAGCCGGCCAACGCACGATCTCAATGCGATGCTTCTCGGGCACATCGACGATTTCCCCATATCCTTTGACGGACTCGGACGTTGCCAGGACAAGGGGCGTTTCGAATAGTTTGCGGACTCCAGTGGTCGGGACGTAAGCTATTTCTCCAGGGTCAAAGACCTGACCATGGACGTCGGTTTCAGCTTTGGTTTTTGCGTTACTGATAGTTTCGTTCGCTGTGACGGCCATACTGCCCACTTCTCCTGTGCGTCCTATGCGTTGTTACTCTTGGAAGCCTTTTGGCCTTCAGTGAAAACTGTTGGAGGAAATGACTTGTGCAGAATTGTAAGCAGCAGTCATTGACAAGGCGTCTCTTCTGTCGAACAATCTATATCGAAACTGGTTCAGTCTGAGCTTTGCTCTGATGCCGATTCATCGGCACGAACCGCGACATTGACCATTGGACTCCGCGACCAGCCGCCAATGGCAGTTTTTCCCTTCAATTTTGTCAATAACGTGGACCGTTGTTCATGCCGAAGACCAATGCGCTAGGTTTTTCCATTGTGCCAGCTAGCCTTCTCCAATGGGGCACTGCTAGGCTGTCAAATATATACTAAGCTCCTTTTCACAATGTCGACCTATTCGAAGCGGGCCCGCCCTTGTTGTGCCCTTACCCAAATAGCACTTCAACTGCTAGCACTCGAGCAGAACAAACCTTGCTCTGGCAAAATTGGATCAGCCCGCGCGGTCTACTCTGTGGTTAGCCATGTCCAGTGAATGAGGAACCAAACGGGCAGGGGCAGAGGCAGTTTGATAAGGTAGGTATTGGGTATGTTCCGTCTTGCGAAAGATTTGGGTCTAGGCAACATATACATACAATTCGACCAAGTCTTGTCTTTAGGTGTGTTGATCAATCAAGCATTCATTATAAGCTAACCTTGTCCAAGGGCTGTGGACACAATTCGCGACTTTGATCAAACTCTCTCGAGCAAGATTGAAATCTCCAAGATCCCCATAGATGCATCATTACCCGAGCATCCCCGAGGTAGTAAAGGAATCCACAAGGCTGTCAGCTGTGCCGTTGGCCACGCAGGCTGATGTCGGACAATGACCTCCGGCTGACGAATGGGGGGATTGACCTATTGAAGCTCCCAGCTCTATCTATATCTACTGGTACTCTTAACTGGATAGCAAAACCTGGAGAAAGGGAGAAGGTGTGGGGGGATGCCCTCGGCCAGAAACCTGGAGACTCTCTTTTCTTCCTCTCTCTCGCTCTCCACAGCTTCTGCGGGGATTTCTTTTTGGTCGCATTTGTCGTTGAGCCTGGTTGAAAGTATACTTGCGCTTGGGTGTATCGCAATCCCCATCCCTTTGCGCTCAATCTCCCTCTTCGCTTGTGTGGCCGATGGCAGCCATCAAGATGGATGTGACCAGCTACTCAGCGTCGCCTGTGACACTGGATTTGGCCTCACAGCAAGACTCCCGCTCGGGGAGCCCGAGGAGAAATGGCGGCTCTTCCATGTCGGGTCGAGTGGCGAAGAAACACAAGTCTGTCACTCCTCTGGCGTGCAACCATTGCAGGCTGAAGAAAGTCAAGGTGTGTGTTTGATTGCCCATGTATTGCAGGATTTCCCAGTTCCTTGGTGTTGAATCTGACCAGTATCAAAACAAGTGCGTGATGGACCTCGGGGGCTGCCAAAAGTGCAACAGGCTCAATATCCCCTGTGTCTGGCCCAGCGAAGACAAACGGAAATGGTGAGTTTTTATCAGCGCCCATCGGCTCTTTGATGTCGTGTACCAAGTCACCCCCTTTCTCAGTCCGACGTCCAAGAATCACATCCGGGAACTGTATCAGCGGATCGCTGAGCTCGAATCAGCTCTCGAAGCAGCCAAAGCGACGCAAAACTCCATCCCCCCGAATCGACATCAAGTGTCGAGTCCACGCTCTCCTTTGGCGTATTCAGCTCCATCGGCGCCAATTCCACCCCAGGAGGAAGATAACCTGATTTCACGCCTCTGTGGACGCCAGTGGAAACTCAACAGCGACGAGGAAGGTCAATATAAATTCTTCGGCCCGACCTCCAGTCTGCACCTGACCGAAAGCGTGTCGTCGTCGTTGCTCGGGCCGTGGTGTCAGAGGAGTGTGACGGCCGATGTTGGTCCCGATGATCCAATCGACCCAGAGACCCAGTCGCATCTGTTGGAGAATTACTGGAAGTACCAGCACACGGTGCTCCAGGTGTTTGATCGCGAAGTGTTCCTCGATGGGATGAAGTCGAGACAGACCAAGTATGTCAGTAAGGCACTGCTGTATTGCGTCTACGCCTGTGCCGCGCGGATATCGGATCGCCCGTCGGTGCGAGCGATGGTGATCCCCTCGTCCGACGACATGGACGACAAGGAACCGTTCCTCGTGGCGACGGCGGCCAGGCTCGTGGACCAAGAGCTCAAACGACCGCAGATCACAACCATTCAAGCCCTGCTCCTCCTCTCTGTCATTCATTGTTCTTTGAGCAAGGACACCAAAGGCTGGTTGTTGACGGGTGAGTAACTCTGCGAGATGGCGCCTGTACCAACTATTAACCACTACCGCTACAGGAGATGCGTGTCGACTTGCGATCGATCTGGGCCTTCACAGAACTGGAGACCAGCTTGCATCCACCAACCTGTCACCGAGGGACATGAAGGTACGGCAGATCACCTATTGGGGTTGTCTAGTCTTTGATAGGTGAGCCACCGTCTCTACTAGTCTGTTACGATTCCATCTCTCAATCGACCTGACACTCTTATCAAAGACTCTGGGCACTCTACCTCGGCCGCCCATCGTGTCTGAAATGCGAAGATGCTGAACTCCGATACAATTCTCTGATTCTTCATGATGCTTCGTGGGAGAAGCGGATTGCCTTTGCCTGGGTGACTCTTCTCCTGACGGTGGGGAGGATATGCGATGCCCTGTAAGCCGAGTCAATCTCAATCTCAATCCAGCAATGACACATCCACTTACTGACGGGAACGTTTAGGAACGAAGAACAGTGCGACAAGGAGACGCTGCACGCCCTCGACGAGCAGCTTCAAGACTGGTACCAAAATCTCGACCCGGAGTTGCAGTACTGCGAAGAAGCCCATGCGTCGGTCCTGCTGCTTCAGTAAGGCACACGAGACCATTCCTTTTCTCCCAAACATGGGACAGACTGCTGACTGACACTTGGTGACAGCATGCAATACTACTCGTGCAAGATCCACCTGCACCGCCCGACGGCGAACTTTGGTGTGCGGGTGTCAGAAATAGACGACGTCGACGCCCAGCGCTACCGGTCCCGCCAGATCTGCATCGACAATGCGAAAAACATCGCCACAGCGCTGCAGGACTATCGCAACGTGTACGCGGACGCGTCGACGCTGAGCGGCGTCGCGTTACACGTCATCGCCACGGCGTCGACCATCTTGATCGCCGACATCGCCGAGAAACGCTCAGCCGCCGATGCGGCCTTTCAATTCTCGGCCCTCAAGACGTGCGTGCGCACCCTGGGCGAGCTGGAGAAGACGTACATTGTGGCACGGCGGGTGCGCCGCATCATCCAGCTCGTCATGCGACTGTGCCATTTTGAGAGCGAGTACGTCGATTTCCAGCAACAGGCAAACGCCAACGCCAACGAGATGGCCGCCAGGAATCCTGTCAGTGGCCTGTTCAACGTGTTGCACGAGGCCGGGGCGTCTTTCCAGTCTCCCCTGTCGTCGACAAACGACGACAACAACAACAACACGGGCCTGCCGTTGGCGACACTGTCGGCGTATAGTCCCCTGTGCATTGACGAGTTGCTCCCGATATCCTCGCAGTTTGATATCATGTACAGTCTAGAATCGCTGTAGGATTACCAAACAGACAACAGAGTGTTTTTCACCCTTTGGGTGGGCTGGCCAAAGTGTTTGATCTCGAGAGCACTAGGTATGTATGTACATATGGATACCTGTTCGTTATTCCCACGAAGCTATTAATGTATTGAGCATGACCCATGTCATGACCCATGTACGCGCGGCGGCATGTATGTATGTCGCTTTCACTCCGCACTCGGTACATTCGTATTGTCATCGTACCAATATTTAGGTACCTGGGTACCTAAGGAATCCGTTAGTGGGAGGGCAGAGGGCACGGTGATCATTCCCCGAGTCTTATTTGTACCGTCCTGTTCCCTCTTGCGCATATTATATGGCTGGCCCAGCGCCTGGCTGGAATGATTTAGACCTCGGGCGATAACATACCTATCTACCTACAAGTAATTTGTTTACCAGCCCTCAGCGAAGCCACACGGCGAGAGAAGAAACCATACACACACGCACCCCCCTTCTTTTTTTGAACTTGCCGGCGCCCTTTCTCCACGCAACGATCTTCTCGAGGTTTTACACAGTCCACCAAAAAAAAAAAAAAATGCCTCCCACGGAAATCCCCGAATCCTCGATCCCCCTCCTGTCCAAGTTCCTGCTCAAGGGCAAAAACATCGTCGTCACGGGCGGCTCGCGCGGGCTGGGCTTCAACTTTGCCCACGCGCTGGCGCAGGTGGGCGCCAACATCGCCGTCGTCGACATCAACGACGGGCCCTGGGTGTCGGAGAACCTGGCCAAGTTGACCCCCTTGGGCGGCAGGTATCAGTACTACCAGGCCGACGTGGTCGATTACCAGGGCCTGAGGGAGACGGTGGATCGGATCCAGCGCGATTTTGGGAGCGTGGATGGATGGTTCGTCTTCGCTCCCCTTGCTTTTTCTCTTCTGTGTTTTGAGTTTTCCATGTTTGGTTTTGTGGTCACGTCAGGTCAGGTCACGAAAGAGACGAGACATTCCCCGCTGTGAGTGTGGGGGGGAGGTGGAAGGGAGAAAGGTGGAAAAGGGCTGACTGAGACTGATTGATTGATTCTGGTCATAGTATCGCCGCCGCGGGCATCATTCGTGACAAACCTTTCCTGGAGCACACGGAGAAGGATTTTAAGGATACCATGGATGTCAATGTACAGTTATATTCCTTCCTTTCTTTTCTCCCCGTCCTTCCCCCATTCCACAGACCCAAACTTTCTCCTTCTCCAACGCAACGGGGAAGAGACCATACCCTACCGACACCTACCTACCTACCTTAATAACCTGGTGTGTGTGTCCACGCAGGTAAACGGCGTCTTCTTCACGGTCCAGCACTGTGCGGCCAAGATGGTCGAGCAAAAGACCGGAGGGAGCATCATCTGCATCGCCTCGACGGCGGGCCACCGGTCCCTGGCGCCGCAGGAGATCGCGGCCTACACGGCGTCCAAGTACGCGGTGCGCGGGATCGCCAAACAGGTCGCGCACGAGCTGGCAAAGTACAACATACGGGTCAATTCGATTAGTCCGGGGTGAGTTTTCCTCGGCCAGTCAGTCGCACAGCAGGGTGTCTCTCATATATGAGTACCTCGTGTGTGTGTGTGTGTGTGTGTGTGAGTGAGAGAGAGAGAGAGAGAGCATTTGAATGGACAACGCTGATCTACTTTTTTTTGGTGAAATGTACAGGACCATCCTCACCGACATGCTCGAGTCGGTCATGCGCCAGAACCCGACCCGGCGCCAGCTCTTCCTCGAGAGCAACGCCATGCACCGCCTCGCCACGGCCGACGAGCTGTCCGGCATCGTGCTGTACCTGATGAGCGAGGCGAGCAGTTTCGCCACGGGCCAGGACTTTTTGGTCGACGGCGGCATGGTCTAGATTCTCGGTCCAGGATCTAGCTAGATATAGAATATGGGCTTGCTGGGTAGCTTACAACCGAGTAGGAACAAACAAGATTCTCTCTCTCTTCCTCTCTGGTGTATGTGTGTCAAAATGGACAAATGCTCTGGGGTGACGTGTATTATGTTATTTGTAAAGGAACCCCGGTTACACCTCCTATCCAGCTACCTCATTTCTTTGTGTATTACTACCAGTAGTCCCTTTGGTGCATTTACATTCTATCCCTTCGGGTCGCACCCCCCTGACACCATTGCCCTTGCACACCATCACTAATGATACTTGTTCCTGCTCGCGTATTCCGTATTCTCGAGATACACCTCAATCTAGACAAACACTGTCAGCTTTTGTTCCCACTCCTATCCGCTCGGGTAGGGTTTACCTTGTTGTTCATCTTCTTGTCGACGTCCTTGCAGCACATGCACGCGATGATGCCGACAATGCCAAACGCCAACGACGCAAACGCCACCATTCTATAAACCCCCCCAACAAAGTCAGTATTCTTCATCACGTTTGCTTGCTTCCGGTCTTCGTGAGGGGTAAGATGACTTACCGGATACCGTGCACATGAGCCTGGTCTACAGCCGGTCCCACCGCCGCGACGACGGCTTGGCTGAACTCCTTCGACAGGGCCGGGGTGCCAATGGCGCTGAGCAGGTCGGGGATCTTCGACCGGGGCAGGCCGGCGGCAACGGCGGCGGCGGGAACGAGCCTGGCCATTGACTTGTTGGTTTCGTTGGTGAGGATTGTCGTATACACGGCCGCACCAACTGCAAAGGTAAGGAAACGGGTAAGCTTGTTGTCACATAGAAACACTGGCCAGTCTCTTCTTTTTGGTGGGAGGACAAAACATACTCGACCCGGCAGCAAATCGAAAAACGCCGGCGATGCCACCACTCAAGCCTAGATCCTTGTGCTCAACGCCCATCTGGGCCACCGCAATGGACAGGTAAATGGCCCAGCCGTAGCCGCACTGCGACAGGAAGATGAAGGCGATCATCAGGCCCTTATTCGTGGGCGACACCATGGCCAAGAGGGAGCCGAAGAGGACCATGATGAAGACCGACCCCGTCAACTGCCACTGCCAGTTCTTGATCCTGCCGCCAAAGACGGATAGCATCATGGCGCCGAGGGTGATGGCCAGCCCCTGCGGCAGGGACAGCACGATGGCGTAGTGCCAGTCAGTCCCGCCGTCGGTGTAGAAGGCGTTGATGATGGTCGGCCAGAGAATGCTCCCGGAGTAGTAGAACATGTTGACCACGGCCAGCGCGATCGCCGGCGCCGTGAAGTCGCGGCCCCGGGACGACGCGAAGACGTACGTCGGCGTCAACGGATGCTCGCTGCGCGAGAACGTCTCCCACAGCGCAAAGCAGACGATGAAGAAGAATCCAATCACCAACGGGGCGACGACGTGTGCATCGTCCGACGGCACGACCGTGGTATACACCATCCCGACCAGCGCGGGGACTGCACCCGCAACGAATAAGGCACCCCCTGGTATCCCACCATCAGTCAGTCACTCTGCTCGGGGGGGAAGGAGGAAGTCGGCCTTGTGGAAAAAAAAAAATCTTACCGACATAGTCAATTTTTGGTAGCACCTTCTTAACCGGTAATCCGTATCTGTTCGAGTATTGTCAGTGGCGTGGCCTCAGTGATTCAATGATCATGGCACCGTGGCCCTGGTGAGTACTCACGGATGGGCCGGAGGGAAATAGAGGAAGAGCAACCCCAAAAATGACAGAAACTGTGCAATTGCTGCGGCATAAAAGTTCCATCGCCACGAGTGCGAGTGGAAGCCGTACAGACCAGTAATCGGCGCAAGGATGACAGCCAGAAGCGTCGTCACGTCCGCTATCACGACGCCGATATGGCGCCATTTGTTCGGGAGCAATTCAGGCAGCGCAAATGCAGCCATCTAAGGAAATGCGTTGTTTCTCTGTTAGTCCCCAGGGTCGTCTCGTTCCGGTGTGAAACCCAGGGAGGAAGACATTACCTGGCAGTTCGCTCCACCGAAGCCTGATATGGCCATTCCTGCGATAACGGCATTGACATTCTTGGAGGAAGCAGTGACGATGTGGCCAACGGTGCAGATCTGAATCAGTCTTGAGTAGAAAATTCTCTCGATTGCGAAAATGCTCTTCGTTGCTCACCAGATTTCCAAGGGTCAAAAACCAACGTCGGCCGAGCATGTCGGTGTTTGCACCACTGCCTTCGTTAGTGTATCATTTCCCCCAGACTGGACCATCCGTGAGGGACACTGCGTACCACAGCATAAAGCAAACAGTGATGGATATCGTCCAGGACTGAGCCGTGTTAGCTGTTTACCCATCCATTGTTTAACGAGAGGTGACACTCACAGGGATGAACCAGATGTATTCAGACGGGGCGTCGAGCTCGCCGGCAATGAGGCCCCCGATGTTTGCCATGACTGGAATGGGCCAGAAGGACAGACCGTAGCCGCAGGACAGAATCTATCCAGCATGTCAAAGTCAGAGAGCGCGGGGGTCAGGTGTTTCGTCGAATACACGTACCCCCACGACAATCCATGTCTTGAACGTCACGACCGGCTCCTCTTCCTCGGAATTCACATCCTCAACCACGTCTGCAGACTCGATCTTGGTCTCGTGGTCGATGCCATGATGTTCTGTTGGGGGTCCAGAGTGGTCCTTCCCAAGGTCGATAGTCTTCTCTTCTGCCATGACGGTCTGCCCCGAATGACTAGGAACAGTGGTACCACGGGCGATGGTATGGTTCTCTCTCCATCGAGCAGAAGCTACGCGTGGGAGTATCGCAGGATCTTTACATATTAAATTGTAGTGTGGTCGGTATTCACTTGCCGAACAGGTCATTTGCCGCATGCACTATTCATTCGTGACGACTCAACGCTATACCAGAAGAGAGACAAGGGGAGGGAAAAGTGGAGGTTCCGGGGTAAAGACCATGTCGTTTGTTCGACTCCTTTGGCAGTGGGGGCGGCATGCCATGTGTGTGCTGGTTCAACGATCTTCGGTGAAAGATGACCGAGTCCCTGCAGGTCATTATTTCGAAGGGACCAGCTGCTGGATTGAGAAGAAGCGGTGACTTCTTGCCTGAGGGGGCCAGTCGTCTCTCACAGGTACAGCCAGGGGCAAGGATGCCGTCAAACTGACAGGAAGATGGGGACATCAGAAGTTGTGGCTCATACTGGACTTGGGAAGTTTGCAAGGATACGGAACATCTATCTGTATCATTGGAGTCGTTGGTGATGGGAAAATTCCAGGTTGCTAAGGCGCCCAACGTAGAGTTGGTGTCAAAGAATCTCGCTAATGCCCATCGCCAGACTAACCCGATTCGTCCAGAGTAGAGGGGGATTCACGCCCCACTTCCTTCTCCTCCTCGTATCCATCTCGCCATTGTACCAATGTGTGTTGCCCTTTATACACTTTGTTTAGTTCGCGGGTAGATCACAAGATACTCTATTATACATAGAGCCCGACGTATCCCCAGCACAGCCTACCAAGGACTTGTCGTGCTTTGAGTTTTGCTTGTTGTCGGCATGGCATGGGTATTGGTCTGTTGTTTATGGCCTCTGAGTATTGCGTATTGAGTAGCATCAAACGTTGGCTTTATATCTCGAGGCCCTCAAAACAGTCAATACCGCTGACTCCCGGTAGAAGGTCTGTTGCCGTTGTGCCACTATACTCTGATTGCCATTTCATCCCACGGCGGCCAACATGTCGCGAGCTGTTTCTGTTGCTATCACGAAGAAAGATTGTTTACCTAGCAATTCGGACCACGCCCTGTCTCTCGAGGGATAAGGGTGCAGGCAATGGAGATGAGCACGGCAATGGCCATCGAGTAGCAGTTACATAGTCTCGAACCGGATGAGCGAAGGCCCAGCATACGAAAATCTCAAGACATGGCCACACGCAATAATACGAGCCACCACAACCGAGGCTGAAACCCGTTATCAATGGGATCTCGACAAAGATTGAAAAAGGGGGAAAGCGAGCAGCTTCAGATCGAAATACGCACCTTTACTCGGTACTCCACCTGTTTTCCCCCAAGAAACTCCCCTCATCCTCCCCCTCCTCTTCGTTTGTGGCTGCGATACAAAACACATGCGGGGGAAATTGTCGACCCGGAGTTCAATTGCCGAATGCTTGTCCCAAGGGTTATAGGTGCAGGCCATGGTCGAAGGGGGTTCGAGGGAGGGGGCCAACAGGCAGTGTTCCCGTTCCCGTCCAGATCGATCTTTCAAAACGAAAACATCAATAAGGTCAGCCGCTCGAGCGTCGAAATTTGATCCGTAAACGGACATGTCTTCTCTAGAGGGAAAGAGGGTAAGGGCCCGACGCGAACACCATTGTTCTGAGCAGATCACGAGCTAAAAAAAAATGCGTGTCTACAGATTGCCGTCACAGGTGCGGCGAGTGGTATTGGACTGGCGACCGCCCAATTACTGGCCAGCCGCGGTGCCGTGCTATCGCTCTCGGATATCAACCAGGATAGCCTCCAGAAGGCCCTTGACTCCCTACCAGGCAAGGGTCATTTCATCACCGTTGTCGATGTCCGAGACAGCGCCAAGGTAACGGAATGGATCAAAAACACCGCGGAGCGTCTGGGTGGTTTGGATGGTGCGGCCAACGTCGCCGGCGTCGAACGAGAAGGTGGGCGCCATCTCGCTGACTCTCGGGACGAAGACTGGGATTTCGTCATGGGCATCAATGGTGCAGGGGTGTTTTACTCCATGAGGGCAGAGTTGCAGCAGATGTTGAAGGGTGGAGGCGGTTCAATCGTGAGTAATCTACACCTTGCTTGCACAGAGTGTTCTGCTTCGTTTGGACCTTGAGGATGTTGGGACTAAATCAATATCTCCAGGTAAACGTCGCCAGCGTTGCAGGATTTATCGGACTGGCTGATACGGGAATATACAACGCCAGCAAACATGCCGTCCGGGGCCTGACGAGAACAGCAGCTCGCGAGTATGGATCTCACAACATCCGAGTAAACGCGGTGGCCCCAGGTAATCCTTCCCACTTCTCTAGAGACTCAGTCTTTGAGTAGTTGGTTAACCGTTGCGAAAAACAGGCGTCATCAGGACCCCTTTGGTCAAAGCCATGGAGGAAACATTCAGAAATGGCACGGTCACAACCAAAATGCAAGCGATAGACCGACAGGCAGATCCAAAGGAGGTTGCAACGGTCATTGCCTTCTTGCTGAGCGACGACGCGAGCTTTGTGACGGGATCAACGTACAAAGTCGATGGGGGTTGGACTGCTTAGCCGTCCTAAGATTTATGTAGTCCTTGTTCTTTTTTCCATCGGTACAAATAATTGCTTCTTTTGCCTTCCCCGCAGGCTGAGAACAACTTGGTGCCCGTTCCAGACTTGGGGTTAATTACCCGGTCTGGTGTGTCGCAGATGGAGATGAACAGGATCCCTAGCAACTAGAAATCAACTTCCTATGTCCTGTTCGGGGCTGAAGATGTGGTACATAGCCTAGTGAATAAAATGTCTCAGGAAGAGTGATTTACGCAGAGGTGTATGTATCCCCCAAGTTATAGAGACGTGAGATAGTCGGATACTATTTACCCCTCGAGTCGTGCGGACAACAATGCAGAACGTAGATAACAGTACAGTGTCATCTCACGCTTGGGGTATCATCAATCTAACCTCGTCGTCGGTAAATGCTCTGGGCCAACCTCGTGATCTCGGCATTTGACGTCCGCGCTCTCTTTGTGGTATAAAGGGGTCCTGTTCTGTTCGTATTCTCCATCTCTCTCGGGGGTGCTGCCAACAATTGTACCACTTTCCTTCTTCCTTCTCGAAACATGGTCAACTATCCAGACTTCGACTCACTGCCACCAGTCGAGGGCCAGCCTCAAGGGAATGCCTGGGCATTCTGGGGCAAGGGCGATCAACTCGGAAGTGCGTTCCTCCTTTTCGCTCAGTCTTATTTTGCAGAGACAGTCCGAAGAAAGGAGAAGTCAAGTGGTGAGCTAACGTCCTCGTTTAGCATTAAACCTCCTGACTCCCGAGGTCATTCGAGATGCGTCCCGAGAAGTAAAAGCCGGGAAATCCATCCAGCTGGACCTGCGGCTGGACCACTTCGACTATGGGATCGCGGGCCGAGAGAGGTTTCAGCAGACGATTGTGGACTTCAAGGAGCGAAACAAGGGCGGTCAATACGAACTCGTCGGCCACGACGACGTGGTCAAGTTCAACACGCAGAGCAGTTCCCAGTGGGACGGTCTTCGTCATGTCGGCCTGCAAAACTCGGAAACCTACTATAACGGGATGAAACATCGGGAGATCGACGAGGATACCACAGGCAGGCTTGGTATTCACAGTGAGTCGTCCATTTCCACTCCATCCACCCCCTTTTTCTTTTCTTGATTCTCCTCTCCTTTCAGACAAAATCTAACCGGGGACATTGCAGACTGGGTCGAGAATGGCGGGATCGTGGGCAGAGGTGTCCTTCTGGATTACCACCGATGGCGGCAAGAAACGGGCAAACCCCCAGTCAAAATCGACTCTTCGTTTGCCATCACGGTGGACGAACTCGACGAGGTGGCCAAATACCAGAACCTCGAGCTGAAAGTGGGCGACATCTTGATCATCCGCTCCGGGTTCACGGCGTGGCACGATTCCACGCCCTCCAGCGAACGCGTCGAACCCTGGGACAGGGGCGAATTCATTGGGCTCGAGGCGTCCATGAAGTCTGTCAAGTGGCTGTGGAACCACCACTTCGCCGCCGTCGCAGGGGACTCGCTGGGATTCGAGGTGTGTCCCGCGCCGTTTGGGATCAAAGACAGAGTCTGTCTTCACGAATGGTTGTTGACGCACTGGGGGTGTCCGATCGGCGAGCTGTGGAATCTGGAGAAGTTGTCCAAGGTCTGCGCCGAGGTTGGACGGTGGTCGTTCTTCTTCACGAGTGCGCCGCTCCATGTGTTTGGTGGTGTTGGCACGACTCCAAATGCGATAGCTATCTTGTAAGACTCTCTCAATCGGTATGATGTCTCCGTGTCGTGTGTCCTGGCGCTCCATTCCACGTAATGCATCACAAGGCTGGCTGCCCCAGGGGTTTAAGCTGGACACGGGAAGGATCTTCACTCTTCGCCAATCTTGAGACTCACCCAAACAGAGGACGAATTCCGAGACCATGTCGTCTGTCATGATACATTCTGTAAGCCTGTCGTCTATACCTGTTTCCGCATCTCATTCATTCCACGGTCTTCATTCCAGCAGATTTCTTATACACCTCCTCCAGCCGGCCCACCAAGTCATAAAGATGAACGCTTCCCTCACCGTCACCCATCAGAATCCTCTCAATATCCTTGACCCTATTGCCGTCCAAGCCAATAACAACGGCCTTCTCGATCTTTCCATTGTCGGAGATTTTGATCCGACCTACGCGGTCATCGGACCAAACGATACGGAGCTGTCGTGCGTCCACCTCCAGGGCAGTAAGGGAGCATACGTTGAATTTTCCAGCGAGGTTCTCCTCTTCGTCGTCGTCTTCGTCATCAGATCCACGATCTGGGTCATTTTCTACGCTTTCGGGGGAGCCCAGACCCCCGTCAATGGGTTTATCGTTGTTGGCTTTCGCATCTTCTACTTGATCTTTAGAAGGTCTTGTGGGGAGCTCCGGAATCTCCAACTCCTCTTGTAGCCATTCTGTTGCGTCTCGCCTCAGTCGCCAGTTCACAAGATCATATCTGACCCGAGAAACGAGAGTGTGGAGATCTTGTTTCGTTGGTGTTGCCCCTTCGTAGACGTTGAGTCCAGAGTCGTCTGAACCACCGAATCCTTCTTCATCAGACCCAGGAAGATACTGCTTTTCATAGTGCTCCAAAGGCACCAGCGCCGGAATGGTGTGTCGGTGGATCCGCAACTCATTTCCTGTGTCTCTGGCCCGGACGCAGAATATATAATAAGGACTATCGAAAAGGCCTTTGCGATTGCAGATGTCAATCCTGATCCCGAGTAGCGGGTTCCGCGACTGCAATTCGGGGGAGGGATCGTGGAAAGGGAATGAGGTCACACCAAAAGCGAGCCGGTGGGCGTTCGTTTGGGAGTGCTGGTATAGGTCTTCCGGTTGTAGAGGATTGTGGTCGTTTGAGGATGCGTTCGAGGCTGGAGATTGATCTGAGAGGCGCGACTGGATTTTTGTTGATGCAAGCAAAGAAGCCGTCAGGAGTTTGCGCTGTTGGGTGAGTTTTTCAACTGCCAATATGTTAGGGGACATAAACCGAGTCGAGGTCACACTGTACGTACTTTCAGCTCTGACTTGGGCAATCTCATCGTCTGGAGAGTCGCTCATCATCACATCCATTGACGGTAGGGGAGGGGACGCAACCACAGCCATTTCTGTCTCGAGCCGTGATCTCAGTCTTCCTATGTGGTCGATGTTCAACACCACCAGACTTGCGACAAGCGAAGTTCAACCGAGGGGTCAGCATTCGACGCGTCCTGAGCTTATCAGACGCGTTCCAGGCCCTTATCTTAGCTACGGGGGAATACTCGCTAAGGGAATAGAGCTTTCACGTGTTCAGTCAGGGGTTCAATAGTATGCCGGCAATAAATAAAGTACCAGCAAAGAAATCTGGGGGGGCGGCCACCTTGCGCTTCGCTTGCTGCTACGATAAAAATGAGGACATCTCCTGCGCGAGACAGTCATGAACGTCAATCCTACATGATGCGTTGTTGTAAGGGGAGGGAGTCGTAGATGCAGAATCTCCCTTCTCCATCCATGATCTCACGTATCGCACGGAGCACTTCCAGAATCATCGTTGGTCATTCGCCGGTCTCGCCCCTGCGAAAGGACACAGCGTCCTTTTCTGTTCCTATCCACTCACCACCCACCCACGCTCTTTTTCTGCCGCATGGATGCCTGACTCGATTGCCGAACCATATACAATCCCAATCTTTTACGCTCGCTCCCACCCCGCCGAAAATCCCATCCTTCCAGTCCACAGTGCCGGTCCGATTAATCCCAGACAGTCCCAAGAGATCGAACTAGACGAATACCTGTCGGCACACCCAAATCAAACCCGACCAACACACGCCAGGCAAGACGAGGAAGGCGAAGAGACAGAGGAAGAGGAAGACTCCGAGACTGACGCATCCGAAAAAGACCACCTCGTGGTTGCGGAAGGGTCTGAATCACCTATGCAACGCAGGAAGTCCAAGAAGAACAAGGACAAGAGATCGTCATCTCGCCCAGATCTGCGCATCGAGGTCAATCAGAACGGCCACGCGAATGGCCACGCAAACGGTGACATGAATTCCCACATTGAGATGAGACGGAAACACGTCTCGAGCGATGACCCGACGAACAACACCAGCCGACTCATGAGCAGAAATGATTTTTCCCTCGACCATGAGCCGGCCCCTCCTCAAACGCCGCAGACCCCTAGTATGGTCAATACCAGCTTCGTCGACCTCCCTCCGAAAGACAAGAAGAACTTCCTCCTTCTCTGCCTCCTATATTTTCTCCAGGGGATCCCCATGGGGCTGGCTTCGGGCTCTGTCCCTTTTCTGTTAAAAAGCTATCTCTCATATGGACAGATTGGCATTTTCTCTCTGGCCATATACCCTTACTCTTTAAAACTGCTGTGGAGTCCGATTGTGGATGCAGTTTGGAGCAGGCGGTTTGGACGGAGAAAGAGCTGGATTACTCCTATTCAAACGATTTCAGGACTCTCAATGATTTACCTTGGAGGTCAGATCGATGAGATGATGAGAGCTACAGGCGACAATGACGGAGCTGGAGTCTGGAGCTTTACCGGCTGGTGGTTCCTTTTGGTCTTCATGTGTGCCACTCAGGACATCGCAGTGGACGGATGGGCCATTTCGCTGCTGTCAATTCAGAACATTTCATATGCCTCGACGGCACAGACGGTTGGCTTGACTGCTGGCTCATTCTTATCGCACACTGTTTTTCTCGCTCTACAGGCGCCAGACTTTGCCAACAGATGGTTCAGGACTGTTCCTCAGGAGTATGGTCTCTTCACCCTCGGAGGCTACATGACCTTTTGGGGCTGGGTCTATCTCATCGTAACGGTGGGTCTAGCCATCTTGAAACGAGAAGAGAAGAACAACGAGCGTGAAGGGATCATGGAGGTATACAGAACCATGTGGGCAGTGCTCAAACTGCCCAATGTCCTCACCATCATCGCTGTCCATCTTGTCAGCAAACTCGGCTTTGTGACCAATGACGCAGTAACGAATCTCAAGCTTCTCGACAAGGGCTTCGGGCAAGCAAACATGGCTCTTGTTGTGCTCATTGATTTCCCGTTCGAGTTGGGCTTGGGATATTACGCTGGGAAATGGTCCACCGAATACACACCGCTGAGGGTATGGTGCTGGGCTTATGCCGCACGGCTTCTCGCGGCTGTCTTTGGTCAGATTACGATCATGTTATATCCAACTGGGCCGGATGAGGCTGTGCCAGCGTGGTACATGCTGGTGGTGATTGCTGCACATGTTTCATCAACATTCATGAACACGGTCATGTTTGTTGCTTCGGCTGCGTTTCACGCTCGAATTGCAGATCCCACGATTGGCGGGACATATATGACATTATTGGCCACGTAAGTTGACTCGTCTCCATTTGACAGCAGGATTCTTTTGCTGATCTTTTGTTTAGTGTCTCGAATCTCGGCGGCACATTCCCCAAGTTTTTCATCCTCAAACTGGTCGACCTCTTCACAAAGGCGACGTGCATTCCACCTGCCGACCCTGATACGTTCCTCAAATCTCATCCCGATGCTACGCTCGTCACCAGCAGTTTCAGCTGTGCGCTCGAGGCAGACAAAAACACGTGCCTGAAGGGAGGTGGGACTTGCCTGATGCAGCGTGACGGCTACTACATCACGAATGTCATTTTTGTGATTGTTGGAGCGATATTGTTCTGGACTTATGTGGAGAGGAAAGCTCTTGCGCTGCAAGCGTTGCCGTTGCGCGCGTGGAGAGTAGGGGATCACTCGTCGTATCGCCGGGTGCCTTCAGGATGAATTTTTTGTATTTACATTCGTCATGTCGTTTTTATACAGAAATGATACCCATAGATTCGAAAAGTTTTCGACAATACAACACTGACAAGAGCTATTTCCAGACCGCGTTGCCCCCTTGAATACATTCCTTTTTGTCATAGGCCAGCAGCCACGAGGCTGCAAGACGCTGCACGTGATATAAAATTTCAAATGACAAATGGACTTGAGAGCAGGAGACCGGGACTCATGCGTTTGTACTGTCCTTTGCCTCGATCAATTTTAGGGGAAAGAGACAAAGCGTCTTCTTATATTTTGATGTCAACCTTTTATCAGTGATCATTAGATATTCTTTGAGGAACAGACTTCATTGGACGGTGTGGTGGTGCGTCAATAGTCTTTTCACTTGTTCTCGGGGGCGGGGGAAGATACTCGGTACATATGTCTAAGCTGGTGTGGTACTCTATTATTGCATACGAACGACAGCAGGGTGAGAGGAGTCAGTGAGAAAGGTCACGGTTTTGGATCTCTCGAACCAGTTATCCTCTAGGGGGGGGTGGTTTTCAGCCGTGCAGGAGAAAGGTCAAAATGGCCGAGGTGGAAGAGGACCGCCGGTCGACACTGGTGAGTCCCAGGAGGGCCAAGTCCCCCGATTCGACGCCGTCGCCCCGGGCCCATAGTCCACACTCGTCGTCGCCCAACACCACGGTGACGACACCGGACCAGTCGCCCGGCAACGACGATGATATCTGGGACACGTCGTCGGACCACGAACACGGCCCGCACGCGACGGCACTGACAGGAGGGGGATCGGATTTCCCGGCCCAGTCGTCAACAGACACGTCCAGCCACGGGCAAGGAGGAGCGGCGGGGATCAGGCGAGAAGTCATCCTGAGCGACGTCCCCTCGCTGCGTCGTCAGCACATGACGGACGGATACCGCGAGGGCCTCTCGGTGGGAAAGGCGCGGGTCATGCAGAGTGGCTTCGACGCGGGATACCCCCTGGGGGTGGAGGTCGGACTACGCGTGGGCAAAGTGCTGGGGATTCTGGAGGGCGTCGTCTCGGCCCTGACCACCAAGCCGGCGCGGTCGAGTGGTAAACTGGTCGGCGAAGCGGGGTCGGGTTCTTCTACAGCGACAGTCACAGTGACAAGTTCGAGCACTTCACCGCCAGGTATTCAAGCTCCGCAATATGGCGTCGTCGATCGAGATGAGCCCCAGACTCCCACATCTTCTAGTGCCGGCCCACGGGACGACGACCTGACTTTCGTCCGCAACCTGTATGCTCGGGCCCAAAGGGAGCTGAAGATTTCAGAACTGCTAAAGGGCCTGGACGATGAGAAGATCGCCGCGATTCCTGATGCCTCCACCATCAATCATACCAGTGACGGTGACAATGGAGGAGGGGTGGAGCACAAGCATGCTGAAAGAGCAGCAACAGCAGCACCACCATTGCCCATGGAGATCGAGGTCGTCCTTGTCAAGTGGGAACGAAGTGTGCTGGGCGCGCTGAGAAAGAATGATTGAAAGATGACGACGACGACGAGAACGACAAAGACAAAAACCCATATACCCACCCATCCATGCATGAATCGGCCACACCCACACCCGCACCCAACACGCCACGGACATCCAGGACCATTTATCAGACCGCCCAAAGAACCGCAGTCAGCTTTCACTCCCGTTTGCGCCAGGCAGTACCGCACAACACCACATCACACCACACCACAGGACAGGACCGTACGTACGACGACGCCGCACTCCCGAATCGAAAACGAGTTGTGGTAGCAGCAGGAGCAGGAGTAGGAGTGGGAGAGGGAGAGAGACATGACGGATCCGGACAGGCGACAACCGAGACTGGATAGACGGACGAGGTGCGAACAGACTAGACTCCACTAAACGAGACGAGACGAGACGTTGAAACTGCGTTGAAAAGGACAAGTTCGTCGAACGCACACACATACTGGTCATGGGAAACGGTAGCAACGGACGTAGTAGGGGAGGATGGAGGTGGTGGTTGGTGATGGCAGCAAATTTTTCTGTATCTCCTGGTCGAATTTCCACCGGCACAAGAATGCCTACGAGAGTACCGAGTAGATAGGGGTATTATCAAGCAAGGGACAATGAAACATGAAACATGATAGTGGTGAGGGATGATGTTTTGCATGTCCTTCATCTCTTCATCCATGCTCGATATGCTTGTTGGGTACGTGCTCCATATTCGTACAAGAAAAGCTCCTTCTCCATCATAGAGCACATGTCATTGCATCTTCGTCAATCTCGTCTCACCACCCTCCCTGGCAGTCTCATTCTCGTCCTGACACTCGCATTCTCGGCCCTACTCCATTCTCGCATACCTCTCTCTCGCTCTTTGCCGCGTCTCTTCCAAAAACCCACCGTAATCGCCTTTGGTATTTCGCTCTGCTTCAACAATAGCATCGCCAAGTTTGCCGCCTTGAGCACCCAGTCCGACTCCAGCAACATAGACATCTTGACTTATCGGCGCCGTCATTCCCTCTCCAGACGCACCAAGGCCTTGTCCGGCGGTATAGCCCATTTTGCTCAACAATGAGGCGCCCTTGGATTGAATAGGTGGCTGGGATCCTTCGTCATCCGATGACGCGCGTGATGACCTCGGTGCGTTTCCAACTTGTTCGCCTTTTTTATTGACCACACCATAGATCTTGCGTCTCTCTTTTGCTCGATCGCGATATTCATGCACAGGTTTCGCCGCGGCCATGACAGGCTGCAGTTGAATCCCGTGTTTCGCCAATTTCGCCTCTGCCTTTTTGACCTTGATTTCATCTTGTAAATTCGAGCGGTGTAGGTCGCTCAGACGCTCGTGCTTGTTGACTTCTGCCGCATTGTTGAATTGACGCATACAGAGATAGCAGCAGTGTCGAGTTGGGTCGGCATAAGACTGCGATGGCGGTGCGTCCGTACTTTCATTCCCGTCCGTTGATCTCGAGTCGTCCCTAGCCTGGGATTTTTTGGAGATGCCATGCAGTTCAGCATGACGATTACTCCAGAACTGGAGGTGCGATGGCACCGTCTTCTTGACTCCGATCGTCTCCGCCTCTGTTTGAGCCTTTCGCTTCTTCGCCTTCTCTGTGTCTTTGGCCGGTTTGCTGCCTGCCTCTGTGCGTGTGGTAGCGCCATTCTTGGGCTCCAGTGAGCTCGTGTTTGGCATCGATACGGCCAGTTCCTTCACATACGCCCCCTCGTCCCAATATGCCAGCTTCATAGCGGGATTGCCCACGGGGCTGAAGCAAAAGCGTTCAGTGTCAGGAGTAGAGTTCAATACGGGAACGAAGACGCCAGCATGGATATAGCTGACAAGCACCTGCTTCGATGCGATCGTGAATCGCTCAAAAGAATTGTATCGAGTCAGTGCAGCTTGTGCGTCCTCGATCGAGGCATACTCCGCAAAGCCATACCGCCAACTCTCGTTGGTTTTTCGATCGCGGACAAGCAGCACTCGGCGCAATGTACCTTCTTTGGCTCCAAGATTGGCGTCACCAGTGGTGGACGCAACTTTGGCACCTTTTTTGGCAGACAATTCATCTCTTTGAGTTGATGAGCTTGGTTTGTTGAGCTTTGATACGCCTTTAACGAGCAACTCTTCCGACACAGAAGGCTCTAACCCACGTAACAGAAGGAATTGAGAGGGACGGTTGTCTGGGGAAGCATCGTTATCGCCAACATTGGGCGGCTTCGTCGGAATCGCGTAGGTTGGATGCTCTATAAACCGTGAGCAACGTGCCGATACTTGGCTCCATCAGACGTACCTGGTTTCTCAGCTTGGCATCGGAAACATCGATCTCGAGTTGCAAAGTTGTTGATGAGGCACTATCAAGCCATCAGCTTTGTAGCTCCATGGCCATGCATTTCTCACGACATACCGAATCGCAAATCCAATCTGGTTCCTCAGTCCTGCGCGGGTCTTTCCGTTCTCGACTGAATGTGATCCGAACTTTGGCTGCGCTTCCGTTGGACTTATTGCTGTCCCCATACAAGTAGAGAATGGGGTAATTGCGATCCATGAAAGCTTCCGCTTCTTGTACTGCGCCGAAGCGGATAAAGCCAAATCTCCTAGACTGTTCTGCCAACCATGTGAGAAGAATATCCCCCAAAATGTCCGTAAGTTTTTCCTCCCAAGCTTACTGGTTTGCTTGTCGCGAATGACTCGAACATCCTCGAGGTCTTCGGCATGATAGTATTGTTTGAGTTCCGAGGAGATCTGTTCCGCAAAGTCGAGAAAAACCTTAGCCATATATTCCGGAGGAAACAGAGCAAAGTCACCGTGGACAACCAGATGATTTTGCGTGTGGTCAGGGAAATTCGGGCAGGAGTATTCGAACATCGTTTTCAGTCAGATGAGGAGCTAGTCCATCCATCATAATTTCCCTGCTCGGAGCGCCTCGACTCGGTGGTCTCTCGTCTGAGGGGGTCCGATATCTGCTTCGACTTCGACTGCGGTAGTCTCGTGAGTTGGAGCGAGGGTCGTCTCGATCATAATACGCTGATCTGCCTCGGCGAGGAGAGGGCGAGCTGCGTTCATCATCATAATACCGGTTGCGCCTGTCATAGCTGCGGTCACGTCTTCGATCTGGACTCCGGGCCCGACCACGAAAATGGAATTCTCCCTGAGACGGTCCGGTTGGTGGTCGGCTTATGTCTTTGAGTGTTTACATATCAGTATAATGGCCTCAATTTCCCGCCCCATTCTGAACTATGGTTTACCGTGTGGAGGACTTCGTTTCTGAGGGGAGCTGTGTCTGCGTTCACGAGATCGTGACCTCGACCGGTCATCGTAGAAATCATCTTGTTGTGAGGCATGATATGGTCTGTACGGCTGCTGAGGGCCGTTGTGCCCACTGCGCCGGCGATAAGACGACATGAGTTTACGAAGGTAGAAGGTGTACGTTGTGAAGCAAGTCGGGATGAGTGTCACTGCGAGTGTCGTGTCGCAGTCAACATTCGTGAACGGTTCGGCAAAGTTTCCTGAATCGATGCTTGGAGACAAGGCTGCAACTCCGTACTGATGTCATCACCAGGCATACTCGGTACACAGCTATCTCACAATCCGATTCTCTGCTAGGCTCACAGACGTCCAAGTGTCGTTGCCAGATGTATGCAAACGATGCAGGATACGAATCTGCACTATAAGCAGACAGTCTTAGGCACTCTTCTCGTTCGCGATTCTCCTCCCCAGAAACCCCATCAGTCTCTTCCCTCCCCGCTCCTCTGTTGTTGTTCTGAAACCGCATCTCTCACTTTTTGTCTCCGTTTCTGGCCGGCTCTTTTGCAGCTTGGGTCTGACTTCTTCTTCGACTGTCGGCCCAAATTCTGTGACAGTGGCTGGAGCCGTCTGCGGCACGCACGCATTCCTAAGCATTCCACCACTATTGAAAGGACTTAGTGGTCGTCGTTTTCTGTCTACTTCAAAGTTTGCCCCATTGATAGTCACCGTGAGCTTCTTTTTCAAGCGTTGTCGAGGTGATTTGGTCGATGGGGTTGGTGATGGTGGTATTTCAGCATTTCTCTTTGTTCGTTCATCCTCTGTGCTTTTCTCGCGCCGGCTGGGCGATCTGGGAGACCTTGGAGACCTTGGAACCCTTGATGATAAGTCCTCGATACTATCTTTGGTTCTGACACTAAGCGAACCATCGGAGTCGCTGAGCGGGATATTGATGGAGCTTGCGGAAGACTTGGTCTTTTTCGATGTCGGTCTTTCTGTTATCGAGGTAATCTGTCCGACTTTGGTGGGTGATGTCAATGTGGAAGATTGACGAGGAGAAATTCCAAGCGGTGAGCCATCATCCCAATGTTCGTGTGCAGTGTCGTACGCGGATTCGTTCACCAGCTGAACATTTCCTGAACCTTCCGATATGATTGAGGATCTAGTGCTGCATGTGGAAGGGCAAACTTGCAACTGGACAATGCCGTGCTCCTCGAGATATTCTGAAGAGACAGTCAGTAAATCCATCAGTGCAGAAGAGTAGCGTGTTGACCATAAGGGCGAAAATGGAATTGAAATGCCGCGTAAGGCAAATCAACCGGGTCAAGGAGTTGATACTTGTATCGTCGAGGACGAATACATGGCTCAAGATAACCACTGTTGGTCCACCTGCACACTGTGAGACTTCTGCGGATAAGTAGAAGAGAAGAGAAAGACACTAACCGCAGCCCTTCAGCCTTATCACTGACACTGCCAGTCTCCCCCAGGCCTGGCTCAAGGTCTCGAAGTCGCTTCCTATGTTCGATACGATGCACGTTGATCTGGACCATATCCTCGTCGTGCCCACCTCTTTCGCCGTCTTCCAGTCCATCTCCAAATCTCAGTGCCTGTGTCTTGACCACGGCGCGACCACTGTCTGGATCCAAGCCTTCGCTAACCAGGTTGTACATCATTTTGCCATGGAAACCATGCTTTACCGTGCAATCCCACGATGTGACGACCTTGCCGTTGATGAGGAGTTTGAAGAACCAGGCGGCTTCCGGAGGATGTGGGCCGTCGACGGTGTATTCGAACCAAATCTGGCTGCCGGGATAGATTGGGACGAAGCAAGCAACATGCGGATAAGGCGAGGAGGGCGGATTCTCGTGCTGGTAGTTGAGTTGGAAAGGATCCTTCGGTCGAGAAGAAGGCTTGCGGTACTGAAACTCTGGTAGCTTGCAGATGTCGAACTGTGATATGATACAAATCTCAATCCCTCGTAGCTTGACCATGGTGGATGGGTATCTGATCGTGCATCAGGACGTCAGAGAGAATGAAGGGCGTAGATGGCTATCAGGTCTGTTTTCGAGGACTCGGTGCAAAGGTCGCAATCTTGCGATTGGGCTCGTGGTAGCTCAACCTGGTCAGTTTCAGTCGAAAGGAAGGAGTGAAGGAGGTGGGTGTGGCAGAAAGAGTCCTGGCATAAGGTAGAACTACAAGATCCGAGAATGTTTATGCCTCTCCTGTCACCTCTAACCTTTACGGGAGCAACGACGTCGCCAATGCCATAACATTTTGGTTCTCATTCCAGGAAGATGCTGTTGTTCAACTCCATGACCAGAACCCCTTGGTTTCATTACAACATCAAGTCCAGCTTCAGCAACTTCCTTGGGCGCCAGGCTGGACCGCTCATATTTCCCATCTACGCCGCTTCTTACATTCGACTCCTTTTTAGCCGATCCGTGTATTTCTTATCCTTTCACGGTTCAATGCACAACTCACTCCCTCACGGTCCCCAGGCCCAATGGCTACCAACCGAGCTTCACTTCTTCATCTTCCTTCACCACCACAAACTCAACTTCCTCATGTTCCGGATTCAGGTACAGCATATTGAACCAGTCCAGCATATGCCTCCAGCATCTCGCTATCGCATTCTCCGCATACGCGTGCTCTCCACTAGCGTAGCAGTTGCAGCCGAACTCCTCACGACCAGCTATCGGTGTCTCAATGGCCGAGTGGGAGACGAAATAAGCTCGACACCGCTTGCTCATGAAGGTGACAAAGTCGTCCGACGCACCATTGTTGATGAGATCTGCTACCTTGTGTTGAGGTGTGACCAGAGTAATGCCGTTTATGCGCCCTGACCATGTATCCCCTGCCGAGAAGTGTCAGTCCGTCCTAGATTTTAGCCAATGCCACACATACAATGCTCAGCAAGATATTCCAGCACAGCTGTCCCAGTGTACTCCAGCCCGACAAGATCCAGCTTTGCTTCCTTGTCGACCAAAGTTGGAATCACCTTTTCAAACATGTAAGATACGTGCTCCACGTAGTCAAAATTGCCAGGAATTCTATTCTTGACGTTGTCCACTCGTGGAGCATCGTGCACAGCACTCGGTCTCGGCAGCCAAAGCCATTCATGTGGCGACACAGCGCGTCCACCGCCTCGATACCAGAGCAGCTGACATGGATTTGCAACGATGAGACCAGGCGCAGACGCAGACGTAGACGTTGACGTTGACATAGGTGAAGTCTCGAGCACAGGGACAGATAGGAGAGCTTTGGTAAACTCTACCAGCGAGCCGTGCTTGATGCCCTCTTCCCCGATGATGCGCCAGCTCAAGACTCCTGGTTCCAGATTCCTCTCGCCAAAGAAGACGGTCACGCGGCTCTTGGTTGTGCAGTCCTTGGACACGAGGATAGGGACGTGATTGTCTGACTCGGCTGCACCAAGTGGTAGTCGGACAGTTTCGCAGCCCAGATCGGCCAACCGGTCGTTGATGATATGACGGATCGCAGCTAGAACGAATCAGTTGAGCAATCAAAACACCCAACCCATACCACACGGTTCTGGAAATCGAAGAGCGAGGGAAAACTCACTGTTATTTGCCCCTACCAGACCCCAACCCCACCCCTTGAGCATTAGCCTTTTATGTCCAACAGTGTTCCTGGGAGGAGGAGCTCCATGTAGCGTCGATAGAGAGAGAGATACCAACGAAACAAAACACCAAACACCAACACCAAACTCCTTACTCCAGATCGGTAGGGGTGGCAAACAACTCACATTTATGCACCTCATTCCACCGATCATTCCGATTAATCTTGTACTGAAACTTGCGATCGGGGCTCCGAACCGAGCGGACTTTATCGTCTTCGTTGACGAAGAACCCCAACTTGGCGAGGTCCGGTTCGAAGACGGCGTCAGCGGGGAGCGTGTGAGCGAGACGGCGAAACATGGCGGTGACGTGTGACGCGTGTGAAGGGTGGGTGGTGGACAGTGGATCTAAAAATGCACACGCGCTCTAGGGGGTTAACGCGGCTGGGCTGTGTATATGTCTGTGATCTGTGTATGCAGTGAGTGTGGTTTGATCGGGGTTGGTTTCTTTTGACAGAGAATCGGCGAGATGAGCTTGATGGAGAACAGAAGCTAAGAGAGTTTTCGAGTCTCGAAATGTCAATCGTGGAACTTTGAATTGCAAATCGCGAGTCGCAAGAATGAATCAACGAGGAGGACAAGGCCTCAGTGAGAGTGAGTAGAGGAAGAGGCGTTGGTGAGGCCCCGGTGCGCGAGGCTTTCAATCAAGTGAAGACCTGAACCACCGCACCACCACCACCACCACCAATTAAATCACCGTCTCCTTCGTAAGGCAATAAGGAAACTGATAAACCCCTTCTCTCTGAAACGCCCGGAAACTCCACAAGCCCACGCGCAGACGGTGAAATAAACTAATACCTAACAACGTGCCTAGGTTGAAAGGGAATTACGAATATGCGCAGAAGAGGAAAAAGTGATGCGAGATTCCGTTCGGCTCGAGTTTGAAAAGTCATGTCTTGATGGTACAAACAACTGTTCCAATTTGGCCTGATTTGGGGCAATCAACCATCACCTCATCCTTGAGATCCATCCTTGTGATGCATCAAAATGAGCGTCATGATACGCTTCATGTCATCTCCAAACTCCCATGCATGCATTTTACTCTCCGAAACAAAATCCCAACCAGTGCATTGCCCAGCCCATTATGTCCACAACCTCATCAAAGTCCGCCCGTAGCATCCATTTTGAACATCAAACATGTCCCATAAAGGCATAGCACATGATCCCCCGTTGTTCTTAGTCGTACATATTCAGTAGACTCCTGCCCCAATTGACAATGCCTCCACCCGAGACATGACAACAGAAACCGTATCTCATCAATCTTGGGCGTGGCAGCTCATGATCCAGCTCTGGCAACCCCAAGGCTACCACTTCTTTGCGAATGGAAGCTCCCACTTGCAATTGGTGCAAATCCTTTGGCCAAGTCGAATCCGCCGTCACCATCCTCGTCGTCAGCATCGTGATTCGAAGTCGTATCCGCATTGTTCGCCGAAAGATGTGTACCGAACCTGCTGGGTCCCAGCTGACCGTTCACTCCACTCGCGCTATTCCCGTTGCTTGAGAAACTGCGTGCGAATCTACCGTTGTCGTCAGATGCCGCCCCGTTCAAGTTCTGCGGGTTTGCAGGACTGTCACCCCTCTTCTTGGCTGAACTTGAGCTATTAGGAGCCTGACTACCTCTGGCTGGTTTGCTGGGACTGCCCATGCTGGCATCCATAGGCGGCGGGCTCGAACTCATTACACTTCTGTCAATTCCATTTGCTCGCTGGTCTTCATCCTTCACAGGTGACATGTCAGGCAGTGGTTGGCCGGGAGTTGCACCCATGATACCCTTCCAGAAGAGCCCTTGAGGCCCCGCGGGCGAGGACTCTGGCATAAACTTGCTAGGAGCAACCAGAGTACTTGGAGGAGCTAATCGAGGGTTCTGTCGCAATGGCGCAGGCGTAATTATGCTATGTTGAGAAGGATGGAAAGGGGTATCCAGGTAGGAGGATGACAGTGTGGGATTCGTGGGTGAACGATGGGGAGGCGGAACAGACGACGGAAGCGTATACATGGGCAGGTTTTTCCCTAGCTGTGGTGTTGCTGCTGCATGGCCATGGCGCAAAGGCGATTCTTCCAGGTCGATATCCGGAAGGGTGTTCTGTGTGTCCGTTCTTCGCCTTTGAGGTGTAATAGCCTCTGCGGGATGCGAGACAGGCGGGGCCAGGCTGGGGCTCGGGGGGTATGGTTGTTGCCTTGGGTTGAAGGGAGGAAACGGGAGACTCAGCTTAGCAGAAGAAGGAGGCCCAGATCGGTCGGACAGATCGCGTGCAGAGAACTGGCTAACCATACTAGTATCGTAACCAAGATTCTGACCATTAGGCCCCCGGAAGTTGGGATTGACTTCTTTGCCAGAAGCGGGCGACGACGGAGCCGAGCCTCCACGGCGGGCTTGTTTCTTCCAGTACTCTTGACGAAATTCTGGGGCAATCTGCCATTTCATCCCCTTTCCAGGCTCGTCTGTCCGCCGAGGAACCTTTTGAAATGCTTTGTTCAGTGAAAGATTGTGTCGGATAGAATTCTACTCATGTTAGTATACAAGGAAGTGAACAATTGAGGCGAGAAGACATACCTGCCAGCCACTATTGGAGTGGCGATAGAAGGCATACTTGTCAGCAATGAAGGAATAGATGTTGCTCAAGGTCAACTTCTCCTCTTCGCTCGAGAAAATGGCCTGGGCTATCATCGTCGCGTAACTGAAGGGCGGCTTGAGGTCCTTTGCACTGTCCCGACTGTAGTCGATCTCTTGGGTGCTTTCCATCATCATTCCCCGACCATACATGGGCGACATGGGCATTTTACTGTCGAAGACGCTTCGTTGAGACTTGCCATCGGCGATCTGAGCGGGCGGTGTCGCTTCGCGTTTGAAATCGGGAGGTGCTGGAGCCAGCGATGGGAAATTTTGACCCGATCCCGCGGAAGACTCGTATTTCGCGGTCTCAGGCTGGGGCTGAGCAGGACTGATTTCCTCGCCGGCGGCCAACGCTTTGGCACGTTCGATAAAGTAAGGGTCAATCTCGATCTTGTCACCCGGAGTGACAAACATCATCTGCGTGCCGGCAATCTCCAGGATGTCGCCCGACTTGATCTGTTTCCTCGAGCCCTTTTTGACGAGGACGTTATTGACCCGAACTCCGTTTCGACCATTAACTCGGACATGCCAGCCACCTTCATCCACCGGATAATCCGCGTCATAGTAGATCGAAGCATGGTGTCGCGAAACAATCTTGCTCGGACCGAGATCGATATGGACGGGCAAGACGTCCTTCAGGTCGGCGATGGGGCTCGAAGCGCCGTTCAAGTTGGGCCGGTCATCTGGCGGCCTGCCAAAGTTGATGGATTGTTCGCGCACAAAGTATGTCCAGTCTCGACCGGCAATCTTCGCATATGCCGACACCTTCTGCGGACTATTGCTCTGAACCTTATCGTTGGAATACTCGGTTCTGGCGACAATGGGTTCTTTAGAAACTTGAAGGTAGGAGACTACCGAGTCGATAAGGTCGCTTTGTGAGATTTCTTCCGTGTCGTCGCCCGAGTCCAGCGCATGTGTGAGTTCAGGTTCAGGATCGGGAGTAACGGACTTCCTTCTGGCAGGCGCAGTACGAGAATTGTGCACCTGTTTTTTTGCAAGCATGTTAGCTTCTGCGTCGCTCTTTGAGTTGGGAAAGGCGCAGGGAAAGAAAGACTACCTTGCGCTTCTTTGCCGAAGTACGTGACGGCGACGAGTCTGGAAGATCGAGCTCCGAGGACTCTGCAAGGTCGGCGGGTTTGCGGCGTGCTTTCCTCTTAGATGGCGGCATGTTGGTCCACGTCTACCGGATCACGGCGCAGAGGTTCGCAGGAAGCAAAGACAACCTAGCAGCAACAGATACTGGGAGTTTACAAGGATAGAGGGCGCCGGTGCGCTAGTTGGACTTTGCGACGTCAATAGTTGTTTTGGTTCTGACGCAGGGATTTTGGCGGAAGCGACTCGGCGAGTGAGGCATGGAATGGAATCCCAGCCTGAGAGGATAATGATAGATTGTTGGTGTGGATGGGACAAGTGGACGATGAATGCGCAAGGCAGTGTGGCGTGGATGGAGGAGAACTTCAGTGGCTTGATAGAGGACAAGCGCAGGTTCCGATCGGTGCAGGGTGTTTAAGGTGTTTTGTTACCCTGTTAGTGTTTGCGAGAAGTTTGTAGGTAGGGCGAAAAGAGGGATGAGAAAATAGACGGCTTGGTTTGACTGGCTTCCGGCAAAAGAGCGCACAGTCAAGGCCAGAGCGTGACTGGTCACGACCCAGTGAATCGCGTAATATCGTGCCGTATCACAACGCGTTTGAGTCGTGGGGTTCCTTTTTTTTATTGTTTAGTCGGGGGATAATAGAGGGAAGAGCCTGTCACTACCACCAGCCACTTTGTCACTTTTTGAGAGGATTTTTGGGGGTTTCCCTTTAGTAGTGCCTAATCATCATCACTACTTAACTTGGTGCCTAGACAGCTTGGATTCCTTTCACAAAGAAATATTTACTTGGTCACCCACCTTCCATAGGCACCCATTAATCTCCTCTATCTACGACTTTAGGGGACTTCCAGGGCCAAGAGCTAGCAAAGGCACATGGCTCCCACGCTCTTGGGCAGCCCTAAGCAAGTCAGTCATCGCTTTTTCCGGATGGGTAAACAATCAAAAGCGCCAGGGTGTGGGAATCTGCAGGGTGACAATGTCTTGTTTTAGAGCATTTTCATTCTCTCCGGCTGGGCCATTTTGATAATCCTTCGGTGTCTCTGTCTCTCTCCTTTTTCTCTTCCATCCCAAGGACAATATTCCTCCTCTCAGCCAATATCCTGTTTCTGTTCCCTTATCGAAGAATGTCGCATAACGCATAACAAGGGAACCAGATTCGCTTAACGCGCCTTGCCGATTGGCCCCAGCTCTGCCTCCGCGTAAACACAATGACGTCCTTCGTGTTGCCACGATCTTGATCTTACCCGCCATTGCCGCTGTAATAATCAATACCGTATCTCATACTTAGTTAGCTACTCATGTATATCGAAGTCATGTGTCATTCATTCCTCATTGGCACAGTACAAAATACTACTTGGGTCATATATTGTAGTCACAACCACTACTTGCAGACACACCTCAATCTTTGACCGTCTCCCTCCATCCTTCTTCTAGACTATGCATTACTCGCTGTCCATTCCAATCTTGCATTCTTGAGACACCTACCTCCTTTTTCCGCATCTCTCCCTGCATTAGGGCCCACCCCGTGGTGCCCCTGAAACTTCGCATCTCCGCTGTCAGCCTTCCCGAGCACCACAGATGGCGCATAACAAAAATACAAAACACAAATGAACATGAAAAAAAAAAGGATGATCCATCCAACTAGGAAATGTCTCGGAGCCCCTGTCCATCATTCTCTTTTGCATATTCTCCGCCAACACCTTGCTGCTCAGAAAGGCACAAGAAACTGCTTTTGAACCCCCTCCACCCCATATCAAAATAGACCCGGTAATGTTGCTTTTTCAAACTCGCAGCAATGTCCCGTCTTCCGAGTCATGAACGTCGTTATATGATGAAACCGATGCGAATTATGTCGTGTCAAATTTGAACCTACGCCAATTTGGAATCATGACTCGACCAATTCAACTCCGTCAATGCCGTACCCAAAGTCAATGATAACCACCCGTGCATCTTGGCTCGTGCAGACAATCTTGCGGTAATCGCTCTTCGCCGCCAGTATCCAACTTGACGACCACCCCTCAAAATTGATCTTGAGCCCGCCGTCCTCGGCCGACTCACCCTTCTCTGCATCCCACACCTTGATCGAATGGTCGTAGCTGCCGCTGATGATGCGCGAGTTGGCCGAGTCGAGATGGAGCGACCGCACCAGATCTTTGTGCCCTTTCATCTCGCGGATCCGTTGGCCAGTGACTGTGTCGTACTCGTAGATGACCCGGTCATTGCCGCCCGCAAAGATCGTTCGACCATTCTCTGAGAATTCCACGCAAGCAAGGCCTCGATCTTTAGACTGGAACTCCTTGATGCAGACCCCGTCTTCCAGACGCCACAACTTGGACATGCCGTCGCCGCTAGCGCTAGCCAAAAAATTCCCTCGGACTTGGACGGCATTGACAGGCCCACGATGTCCGAGAAGCGTTTTGACCAGTTTACCAGTCGAACGCTCCCAGATTTTGATCGTAGTGTCCTTGGAGCAAGTCACAATCCGCTCCTTGTCAATACAAACATCAAGGACCCCAGCGTGGTGGCCGATCAGTCGGAACATCGGTTTATAGTCCTCCTTGATCGACCACACTAGGCAGGAGAAATCCGAAGACCCTGTCACAAGGATCTCGTCGTCGTACTGCAGGCATAGCACCGATGCCTGGTGGTACATGGGAATCTCCGGTGAGGGTGGCGCCGGTGAGGAAACGTAAGCTTTGAAGAACGGAACGACCCCTTCTGGTTCCGCTGGGGGGCTCTGGACCGACTGTCGTTCTCGGGGATTGTTTGGAGGCCCTAATTTGCGGATACACTGGTAGGTATGGGCATCCCATACACGAATCGTGTTATCGCGCGACCCGGTGATGATCTTCTGTTCATCGAATTGCGCGCAATAAACACTGTCTTTATGGCCGTTCAAATAGATTGCGGCGGCTTCTCCGTTGCGCCACCGCTTGTCAATCAGAGTCCGCACCTCGAGGAGCTTCCTGTAATCTTGCCCGGGCTTGTTTTTACCGATTCCGGCAAGACGTACGCCAGCGCCTGGCAACTCGTTTTTGGGCCCATACTCTTGCAGAAAGACTCCCCTCCAGACAGCTTGTGACTGACAAAGGTCGTGCCATTTGTGGGAAACGAGTGAAGCCTGGACAAGCGACTCCACATCAAGGAATGAGAGGATCGATTCCACCAACTCCGTCGCAAGAACAGAGGCAGGGTCTCTGCAAATGACATGGACATTTGCGGGCGAAGACCCGCGCCGGGCGCGGCTGTCCAACACAATACCAATCCCACTTTCTGCGTCGGGCTCAGGCTTTTCAAGTTCTGACTCAGGAGGCTCATATGGAGGTAGAGGGGGGGTCCTCGTGGCATGGAACAACTCGTTCTGAGCTGCAGCTGAAGCACGAGCTTCTGCGCCTCCGTGCACTAGATCCGACAGGACGGGCGGTCCTCGGAATCGCACAGATATTGGGTTTTCCAGGTCTGCTTGAAGCTCGGGGGAAGTGTAGAGGTTCAATAACGGCAGAGAGGGTCTCCTCCGAGCACTAGGGTTTCGCAACAAGCGTCCACGAGACCTTGGTCTGGTGGGAATGGCCTCGACCAAATCCATCATGCCCACGCCTGGCTTCAGTGGCAACACTTGTGGTCCCTTATTCTCTGCCACTTCCTCCTTTTGCTTAGAACTCCTCCCCCGAACTGTAAGCGACATTCGTCTCGTGAGAGAACGGATCTCGGAGATGCTGTGCTTAACGGACTGAGTAAAAGTCGAGTATCGTCGCGGCCGTGAGGGCTCGAGAGTATGAGGTTCTCCAGAGAACTTTGCAAACGGATCGATAAACTCAGGACTATTGTTTCCTTCGCCAGCTTCCTCTTGATTCCGATTGAAAGAACCCCAATCCAGCACATCGTGGGTCGCCGAGGTCATCATGAAAGACCTCCGAGTGGCAGGCCTTCGGAGAGATTCCTCAACCCCTGTTGAGCCCTCATAAGCCGTTTTCGGTCGACTTGGAATGAAGAGAGACGTCCTGCGCTGAGGAGCTATCGAAGCGGAAGCCCCATGGTAGGGCATGGCGGCGGTCAAACTGGAAGGTGGGAAGCGACAAACTCTGCGGAGGCGCCTGCCCAAAAGTGAGGGCGGTATATGTTGCCAGAGATGAAGGAATATTCCTCGTAGATAGTATTACAGGTTGGTCGGAAGTGAGCGAGCGATCTCATATATTCTGGTGTTGAGGACGGTGGCGAAAGGAGCGAACGAGGACAGACTGAACGGTAAAGCTCTCTGCTGACGGCAGACGCATGAAGCAGTCATATGGAATAGACCAGAAATAGCAGTGAGTGTTGAGTATGAAGTACAAGGAAGAAAGAGCGTGGATATGATCAGTGAGTGGAATGGCTGGCCGAAAGACACAAGGCACAGGTAACAGATTTTAATTTTTGTTGATCCATCTAGACAATGGTCTGGGGGAGACAAGTGATGGCTTCACAGTGTTTTTGGCTTGGACGAGTGGATAATTTTTCAAGGGCTCGGGGGGCGCTGTGGAGCAAACTCCGGGTGATGGATTCAGTCAATAGGATGCGCGACAATGACAGACAGACCCAGCGAATGCCTGGGATCGAAGCAGGGCGAGTGAGCCCCGTACCCCTGCCGAACCGTTGCATGCAGGGCACAATCCGGCCACCATTGGGCCATCGCGTTGCCCCCGGAAACGTACCTAGATAGCTTAGCGGCACATGTGCGCTGCAGCCGGCTCAGCAAGCTCTCCTTGTAGGTGACTGAATTGCCCCCTGGACCGCCTGGAGCAGCTGGTCCAGGTCAGCCTTCAGCCCCAACTTCAGCAACCTCTGATCTCACACCGGTGTTTCAACCCTGGAACAGATGAAATTTCTTAGAGTTCCATCACACACATGGGTCTCGAGCGCTTACTTGCAATCTTTTCCACATCCACCAGCCTCCCCTCTTCTCCTCTCCTCACTCGTCCCCGTGATTCGTCTCGCCAGCAGACTCCGCCTGGTGCCGCTGCCGAGGGTGCCATGCTGCTGCATGGCGAGTTGGCGATCCAGCTTTTTCATCTGTGGAGAGCTTCTCGCCCACTAATCATGCTTGCATTTCGATCGTCAATGACATCTCGACTCGTATCCTGGACGACTTAGGACATCAAAGAAGAGAAGGACAATCACTGGTCGTCTTCATCTTACAAGAACGCCTGGCTATATTCGGGAGAGATATCTCTACCTTAAGTCGTTTCTCGCGCTACTATTCTTTGACCAAGGAGCTCTTCCGCAGTTTCGCTGGCACTTGAGACAAAACGTCACACGCGACACAACCACAACAGCAACAATGGGGACCATTCCTTTGCCATATATCATCTTTTTCCTATGGATCGAACCTGTTGCAACACTAGCCGGAGCATACTATGCTTGGCTACTACCACAGGCCTATCTCGATATGACTGACGTTGCCTCCGCTCCTGGGGTTCTGGGTCTGCCTACGGCCACCCATGTCGTACTTCGACAACTCGGCAATCTGTATGTCGCATTTGCCATCAATGAAGCCTTTGTCTTGCGCGCAACAAACGACCTGAAAGTCTGGCGTACACTATTGATAGGCCTTCTTATCGCGGATTTTGGTCACTTGTACAGCTGTTTCCCGCTTGGAGTCAAGTCATACTACGATGTCGCGAACTGGAATGCCATGGCCTATGGGAACTACCTGTTTGTCTATTGCGGGGCAGCGACGAGAATTTGCTTTCTCTTGGGTGTCGGCATGGGAGGGCCCAAGCGAGCGAAAAGCAAGGTTAAGAAGTCTGTCAGGCTGGCCCTTGAAGAAGCTCCTCCCGTCACGCCTACGCAGATGAACAAAACCCCTGCTCAGAGCACGAGGAGGAGGAAAAACAAGTCTAGCTAGGGTGGAACGCGATACCCGGGCTTTTCCCCGCAATACGACACCACGACAGTGTTAGGGTTGTCAATTCCGATGGCGAATCCAACTATTGCCGGCCGCGACATATGATAGCAAAGTTTTGTTCTTGCTACTGCCATCCTCCTGCTTCTCGCGCGATAAGTGGCTATGTAGCTGGGAAAATAACGCATGGCCACAGGATCAGCGGAACACGGCAGAAATCCACGACACGTCACTGGACTGCTGCTCCAGGCACATCGCCGAGTTTGCATTTCGGCCGACGGGCTGCTACCTCGCTTCTCGGTGTCCCTAATGATGTCTATTGTTCCAATTGCGGCTATATAATCGCGATGCTGGACAATGCATGTCCAAATCAAGGCTGAAGGGCTCAGGGACGAACAGGAATGACAAGGGTATTGATTACATCGGAGGATCCTGCATGGTTGGAATTGGGGTCGAGGTCCAGCATCTGCTTGAGCCTCCTACCCAACGTACTGAGCTCTCAGATCACTGGTCAACGGAATTGGATCTGCGTAGCGCCGGGAGGCTTGAAGCAACGAACGGAAGCAACGAACGGTCTTGGGGATGTGTGGAGACGGATGGGTCAACACGAAGTCGATGGGCGCACAGAGAGGGTAAATACAGGCAATCCAGTGCTAGGCATGGGACAGATCACCAAAACAGAGACGATGAGAAGGGACACATGAAAAACAAACCACGAGCGGGACAGGGAAAGAGAATCTCAATTCGGTTCTGCAAGAAGGAGGTTATCGGAATGTTCTTGGTCGCACAGGCACAACCGACAAACGGACTCTGGGATGAAATTGGAAAATAAGTCAGGGCCGAGATTTGGGAAAGTGGGGTATGTACCTCGTATGTATGTATGGATGTATGTACGAGGTATGTATTGTAGAAAAGCCTCATCGACGTCTATAGGACGCATTGAATAAATTCAGCCAGGCAATTTACCCACATGGCAACGGTTAGCTCAAATACTACCAACATGCCTACTCGACAAGTCCCTCTCCTTGTACCTCGTCCAGAGGAAACCGAATGAATGAATAAATAAATATACTCCGAATACCGAGTCTATGTACACCATGGTGCCAATCAAGAACACGAACACGAACAACAACAAAAGATAGAAGGCAAGAAGGGGCGGGAATAGCGTCCTCCTTGTACAAAACCGAAGCGCATTTTTGACTTTGCTAATTGCTAATACAAGTATCTGCATGGAAAGGTGATTGACTGGCTCGCTGGCTGTAGATCGAAAAGCGCATCATCCTGAGCCTGACTCTGAAAAAATAACTACTGTTGCCTAGTGTGATTGTACGTATGTACTCACTCTCCGTGATCACAATCATCGATACTGGTGGTACTGGTGGCACGCTGCATTGCGCATTCGATTACCTCGTCCATCCGTTTCCTTCTTTCCCTCCTATTTGTCTTAAAGAACCATTATTCGACACCATCCCAGCCGTTTTGCCATCGATTCCTCCCTCTTCACACACACATGGCACATGGTACGGGGAGCTGCTATGCAGCGGCCACTGCCACCACGGCCAAGTGCTTTCCTCCCGTTTTCTCCACAGGCACGTCCCATATGCCTTGCGGACGGGCCCCGAGGTCGGGATCCTCCCTCTTCCCGTGACAGGCGCAACCTCTCACACTCTCGTACAGATCTGTCAATTCGCGGTCCTGCTCGCCGCCCATGATCTCTCTGACATCGACGTCGGCCGGCAACTGAGGCGGCGTCACTGGCTCCACCTTGGCCTCATCCTCTTCGTCGGACGAGGAGTCGGAGTGGACCATCCGTGGCGGGTGTGCCGTGGCGGAACCGAAGCGCGTCAGGGACAAGTCGTTCATTTCGTCGTCGAGTTCATCGTCGGCGAGCTCGAGTGCCGCGTCTTCCTCGTCTGAATATGCGTCGTGCACCGGTCTATGTTTCGGCCCCGGCTTTTCTGGCTCTGTCTCCGGGGCAGCCGCGGTACAGTCATAGTGGTACGATTCGGGATCGTCGTAGTCGTCCGAGGACGTGTCATCGTCGTCCTGCTCTTCATCGAGATACTTATGCTGCGCAAAGGTGGGCGGCGGAGATCGCTTGCGTGCCGGTGAAGGAGTGCCACTGGCCCGGTTGCTAGATGCCACACCTACTGTGCTGGATGGTCGGGCGTTGTTATCGTGAAAACTAACCCTGCGACCCCTCGCCTCGGGCTCTGGCGATGCTGGCTTCGCCGCTGTGCAGTCGTAATGAGGGTCAGGTTCCGGGGCTATTGGCTGTGATGCTGTGCAGTCATAGTGTTCCCCTCCATGGTCGTTCGGTGGCTTCCCTTCCTGGAAAATGGATTTGGCATTCTGATTCTCGATCTCGACTATCCGCACCATAAGATTGTCCAGTGTGAAGGCATGGCCAAGGACAAATCGCAAGTTCCGGTCAGGACGGTTTGCAGCGAGTTTCAGCTTGCACTGGGCGGTGTGGGCGAGGGTGTAGGTGGTGCTTGTGGCCAGCTGCCGCGGTGACATTGTCGTTGGTATCCAAATAGCTTGGAGCGAGCCTGAGGTTCGTGAGAGCGACAAAGAGGTACCGCCCAGGTGATCGAGAGATAATGAGAGACAGCACCGAGTCTCAAACAAGGCTGACGGGAGCCAGGTGAAGGTCTGATTTCCAATTCGACCGAATGACTCGTTTGTTCTGGGTTCACTAATCGATAAGAGGGATTTTCAGTTTCTGGAATGCGCGCCGAAGTTGCAGATGGTTCGCCTCCCGACGTCAGAGACAATCACTGATAAAAGTCGAGGTCACAACTCATCCGACGTATAGTGTCTGTCGAGTCACAGAATCAATATATCAGGGACGTTGTCTCCGGAATACGCGATAGTGACAATGTATTTTGCTGATCGTCGGTTGGGTTGACAATCAGGACGAGGGGACGCAGGCAATGGTAGAGGGTGGAGCGGGTTGGCGGGGTCCTGCTGACAAACGGGAGCGGGAGTCGCTGGTGCCGCTGACGAATTGGCAGCCCAGCCAGACACGTTTTGGCCTTGGCATCGTAGCTCGTCTTTCCTCTTTCAGCAAATCCGCAGGTGACTTCAGCTGGCCGGTCACATGCCTAGCATCTTGGTCCGCAGTAGTGGTGGAAGCATCCAAAATATCACAAATCCTGGTGCATGGAGTTGAGAAACCTTGATTGGAGATCTAACTGTCATCTACTCTATGCTCCGTTCATCGTACTTGCAGGTACCTCCTCAGCCCAGCCATGCTCCATGCCCGGGTAGGGATACCCAGTCCTATCTGCTGTTACATTAAACACATTTTCCCTCTATTCAGCCGCCACACGGCTGAACAGGGCCCAAGACGAAATGCATACATCCCGTATCTTCGTATTGTACAGATGGATCGCAGGGAATTTTCGCCGCGTAAAAGGATTGCGAAATGCAGTCGTAGACAAACGGTAGTATGAAACTGCCGTGATGTAAGATATGCTTTGAATCTCCTCGTATCCAAATAGGAGGGGATTCTCGAACCAAAAAAATCCCTGCACAGCCTCCGTAAGACAAAACTCCATGTTCAGACCACTATGGCTTTTCTGGACGCTCGTGCCTTTGGATTGAGCGACTTCTTCTTTTGTTTGGGCTTGACCTCACCGCCCTCAATGTATCTCAGAAGCTCGTCGATGCTTCTTGTGTCAAAAGCAGGATCACCCGTTCCAGTGCGTACACTCGGCTGTGCTGTACTCGCCCTAGAGCTCGTATTCAGCGCGGCTGTGCTCGCGTTCTGCGGCTGGAGCCTTGTGCCCATGCCCATCCTCGGCAGGTGTCGGATGCCTGCCAGACGGCGGTTCTGCAGCAACTTGGCCTGTTTGGCAATGGACACTGCATTCTGCGTCAATTGTTCTAGCCAGCTCTCGGCCTCTTTGGTGTTGCGGTCATTTGCACCGAGTTCTGCCAAAAAGATGCTATATGCATCTCGCATCTTGTTAACAGCGCCATGCGGGTCTCCATCCAGAGCCAAGGCCTGTGCCAACTGGAACAGTATGGTTGCCGCGTTGATAGATTGGCGTCCAAATAAACCCTCGCAGACGACGAAGCAAGCTTCAAACCACTTGCGGGACTCGGAATACTCTTTGATCGATTGGAGCATGACAGCCGCGTTATTCATTGTCGTGATGGAGTCTGGATGATTCGGTCCGAAGATAATCCTCCAAATATCCAGTGCATGCCGGACATATTTCAAGGCTTGTCTCGTGTTGCCGGTGTGATGCTCGAAAAGGGAGAGATTGAGATATGCCAAGATGGTGTCGTGAGAGTCTACGCCCAATGTCCGTTCAGTGACAATCACTGCTTTGCGCGCGAGCTCTACGGCCGCGTCCTTCTCGTCTGTTTGATAGTAGATTGTCGACAGTGAGTTGTACATCTTGGCCACCTCAGGGTGAAGAATGCCGTAAATTTGCTCATGCAGCGAGAGAGACTCGAGGACAAGCTCTTGCCCAAGTTGCTTCTGGCCCTGTGCTAGCGAAAGCTTGCCGGCTTCCAAAGCTTCTTCGGCCAAAGCACTCCTTGGAGCGGCGTCTTTGACAATGGGGGCCATGTTGAGGATATCTTCGGCAGTGAATGTTGTGGAAGGTTTGGCAACACCACCATTCGATTGGGCTTGTTCACCGCCCTTCTTTTTCTTCTTTTTGCTGCCCTCATCTGTCTGGGCACCATTGTTGGAGTGCGAGTCACTGCCACTTCTAGCAGGCGATGGGTCCACGAGCATTTGCACCTCTTTGCTGAAGGAGTATTCCCGTGCAGCCAGCTGGAGGCCAAGTCTTAATGAAATTTCTCGAAGCATCGGCAACGGTCGGATTGATGTTGACCAATCCTCCTTCAATGCATACCTATACCGAATTCTGACCTGTTTTTGGATGGCCGCCTTCAGCTTCGTGGGATTGATCTCCTCAAATGAAAAGTCACCCTCCGGATATAGACCTCGCAGGTCTTCGTCAATTTCGGCGCGCGGATTCGAATTGACCTCCGCACCGAGCAGGCAGTTCAACAGATGCGCGATGCAGGTGCCGGCGAAGATGACGGGAAGATGGCGCAAGTAGCGGTTCGCAATGTGTTTGAATGCTCGAGCCACCATTTCCTGCAACACCACAGTCGAAAATGCCTGCAGCCGTTGTCCCTTTTCTTCGGCAGCTTTTGCCAGTCGTCCCAAGTATCTGATGTTGATACCCCGTTTGTGGATAAGCTGACAGAGAGAGTACCCATCCATTGGAAAGCCAACGTCGCCGTCGTGGAGGTCATTGATGAGGTCTGGAATGACTTTGGACCGAAGAAAGTCACACACCGCCCGAACCTCCTTTTCATCAGCAGCGTATTCCTGCTTTTCTTCCTCGGTCTGGGGTACCTGACCGGTACAGGCGTCGGGATTCAGAGCCAGGGTGAAGTTCGAAATGTCAACACGTTCCTGCTCCAGCGCCGGAGCAGCTTTGCCAGCTTCATCTTGAGCCTCACCGGACTTATCATCACCGCCTTCTCCTGTAGGGCTGCCTTTATCGTTTTGGCCTTCTTCATCCTTTTTGGACTCCTCAGAATGTCCGTTGCTCTGCTTTGAGCGCCGTTTTTCCACTTCGGCCCTCACGAACTCCTGCATCTTCATGTGCCAATAGGTTTCCACAAGCTCTAGTCGCAGGACAGACATCCGATGTGGATACTTTTCGTCCCCTGTGTCAGCTTCAATCTCCTCCGCCCAAGCCACATCCAGAGGAGTGATGCGGTAGAGATCAAGCACATATTTTCGGCCGTCCGTACCCAACAATCCTTTGGTTTCAACACTCCCTTCCAGGTCGTGTCGACCGCCTTCCTTGTCCCAGACAGGATGCTTCTTGACATGTAATGCCTTGGAGAGCTTCTGGAAGACCGGAACAAATGCCTCATTTTCAGTCACAATGTCTCGGCCCTCGACACCCCCGTAGTCAATTTGATGTTCTCCGGGTTCCCGTTGCTTGAAAATCCCTGGAACAATGCTCTGGCCAACAATGCGCTTGCCAAGGTAATCCACGATGACCGTCCCTGGAGTGAATAGGCCGTCGATATCCAGCTGATTCACCGCTTTGACACCCGCAACATCTTTCCCAACTGCCACTCTGGCAGCCTCGTCTCCACCCTCACTTGCGAATGTCTGCACTCCGTCGGCCCCAAAAGAGTAGAATATGTTGTTGTAGATGAAAATCTGGGCATCCCTGCCTTCAGTTGGATTCAGCGGAGCAACTTCGCCTCGGGCGACGAGTACGGCGCCTCTTGCTGCGGCTTCATTGTAGTCGGCAAACAGTTTCGAGGTCAATCGCTCGCGGAAGACTCGGTCTTGTAACGTCTCTCTGGGTAGCTCACGGGTGGTCTGAAACTCTTCATTCCAATCCCGAAGGTTCTCCGCTCCATCCGCTCCTCCAATCAGATAGGCCTCCTGGGCTCTGGTGGGATCTGCTTGATGTTGAGCTCCCTGACCATAAGAAGACGGAACAATCCAGGGATTCGCGGGTATTGCGTTCTGGAAGGGGAACGTCGTGAGAAGGTCCTTGCTGCCGGTTATCTTGTGGAGTTCAGTAAAGGTCTCCGTGAAAGACGGTGACAGGGCCGATATCAGGGTCAGCAAAGAGTGTGCACTGTGATTCTTAGGGGCAGGCCTCGGGAAAGGATCAAATTTGTTGCTGGAGGACTTGTTCACATAGAAGCCAGAGACAGTACAAGTAATCTGGTGCTGCTCGCCTTCGTTGGTGGTCAGCAGTAAGTAGAGCAAGTGGCCTCGCTGGCGGAGGTGATATGGCGGAGGGTTCCATGGTGAGACCGAGAGAGACTTGATGGTCTTCGGCAAGGTGTCCTGGTGAGGCGGTAAGATCGCATCAAGGGACGCCCGTCCATCCAGCTCATAACCCGCCAAGGGATTGTCTTCGGTTTTCTGAGCAGGAGCATTGGCCGAGCCAAACTTTTCATCGTGGAGAGACAATCCGGCGCAGATACCATGAAGCTGGTCGGAACGGTCACCAGTGGCGCCAATGAGCTCCCGTATGCGGACTACGTGCAACCTCGCCTCTTTCTCGGTATAAGGATCTTCGACCAGCACAATTTCATCGTCTGGCTTGAGGTCCTTCACCTCCGAGAGCTCGACAAAATCATTTATCCTCTGGCCATTGTGCTCGAGATGGAAACAGGTGTATTGGAAGGTATCTAGAGTCTCGACGATGGACTGACGAACATCCTGCACCTGCTCTTGACTCGTCACCGTTATCGTCTGCTTGTAAGGCTTGTGCGGCAGCTTAACGGTGACTTGGAACAGTGCACCGGCATTGGCATCATCGTGACGAGAGTGGTCGTGGTCATGGTCATGGGGGTGTGTATGGTTGTGTGCGTGATCGTGCGAGTCACCATTGACCCCGTTGACTCCGTTTGTGAGGGCAGAAGCTGTTTCAGCTTTGGTCGGGACCTCTGTTACAGCTGTTAGTTAATTGACCAGAATGTCGATGATCAACCAAGCCACAGCATACCTTGTGTTGTCCTCACGTCACCATTGGAATCGTCCATTAGGAATCACCTTGGGGGCGAATGCAACACCACGGGTACTGTACAGTCAAGAGCAATGCTAAGGAGTGTAAAGTCAGATATGGAAGATCTGACGAAGAAAGAATGAAGGAATATATTTTACAAGAAAGGTGATGCCAGGTGAAAAATTAATGTACAGCAAAGAAACTGTGACGGGTGCAGAAGGTCTGTCTGGGGAGAAGATGGACAATAAATTTTTTGAAATGAGTATCGACACCACAATTAATCGCCGCGATGCCGGTGTTCCAATTGGATGGCGAGGACAGTCAAGGGCTCGGAGGACAGGAAGCTGCCCCGGGCATTTGCTCGAGCTGCTCGGGTTACGCCGGGTGTTGATGGTTGGTTGGTAGCTTAAGCCGCGGCGCCTTGTTTAGCATTAGGGGTGGTTAGGAGTACTAGGAAAGGCCGGGAGCACCCAGGCTTACCAGGCTCGGGGTCATGTTCGGCTGCCAGAGAAGCCCTCCTGGCCCTCCAAAGGTGAAAAGGCCGCATGTTGCAGGGGGGGGCCACTAAGGCCACTACCTACCTACTTGTGCCTAGGTCCCGGACCTTCAGGGCCCCACTAGGCTTCCTAGCGCATTCCGAGTCCATGCAGCCCGGTACGATGCGAATTTGGCCGTCACGCGACTTGGGCATGTTTTACTGGCACGTTGAGTAACCCTTTTAATTGTTGGAGAAGATGATGACAACCCTGGAAGTTCATCTAGTCCTTGTTCCGGTAAGGGTACAAGTCCTACCTAATATGAGTGACATATAAAAAGGGGGGTTGCGGAGAAAAACAAAACAGCAACAACATCGAGCAACAGTATATCTATTCCACCCAAGTCAAAGAGCAAGATAGCTATGCATGCACAAGCATTCACCCCGAGTATGTGCGAGGTATCTCCTTGTACCTTGTACTGTACCTAATAGGACCTAGGTAGGTACCAAGAACAAGGTCAGGATGAAGATCAACACAACCCCAATCAAACGAACTTGTCCATCCTGCTGAGCACGTGCGTGGAAAGTCTGGCATCAAGCCACAGCCACTCACTCTCTGCCACTACGATATCGCCCCCTTAAACTTTCTTGCTCTGTACTTGTCCTTTGCTCTCTGATACTTTGTTTGGCTCTTCAAAGTCACTCTTTACCAATTCATTTCTATCGCTCATTCATCAAGTTTTTGCGGTGCGCCTGGGGTTTTTATCCATTGCGCGTGGTCGTTTAATTTCCCTTCCCCACCACAGACGCGAGATCAGACGCGTACGAGAGTATTGCTTGTATGACCTTGGATGCGCCGCGGCCCCGGTCCCTAGAAATCCTGCTGGTTCAGGCGCATAGCTCCCCATCATGAGGAACTTACAAAGATTGGTGGTCGCCAGACCTGTGCATGTCTCTTCATCTTTCAGACGTCGTATTCTCGCTTCTAGGCGGGCGACTTCGCGCGCCTTTGCCCAACAATTCGGCCCGACGGGCAACTTCCCAGGTACCGACCAAGATGACGAAGAACGACCAAAGACGTCGAAATCGGGACCAGAACCGAAAAGTCGTCTAGGACCTACCGCGTCCAGGGCTTTTGAGGCGGCGATGACCACCTTTGCATCGATCGCCGTTCTTGGTCTCGCGGGTTACTCGTATCACGTCTACTACAAAGCTCTAGTGCTGCGCAAGATAGAAAAGGCCTTTGCGCCTGGCGACCCGATGCTCGAACTTGCATCACCAGCCGATTCCCGCACTCCTCCCCCAGAGCAGTCGGCCGACGAAACGGATCACTGGATCCCCCGGCCCGAGCAGGCGAGGATCAATGCCATCATTAACGGGGAATCAAAAGGCAGATATTATCTCCTTGTTGGTGAGAAGGGCACGGGAAAGTCATCGATGCTGCTGGAAGCAATGAAGGAGAGGAACGGGGAGGGTGTCTCAATGTTTGAAGCTCACGCCGATCCTGAAATCTTCCGCATCAGACTGGGGAAGGCCTTGAACTATGAGTTTCACGAAGACTATATCGGGTCCTTGTTTTCGATCCGCGGTCCACGAGACACCACCGCGCTGCTTGACATTGAACGAGCCTTCAACAAGCTTGAGAAGGTTGCTTTGGCAAACAGGAACCGAACCAGCAAGCCAGGCCGGACAGGACCTCTCATTCTGATCGTCAACTGCGCGCACTTGATCCGCGACAATGACGTCGGGAACGATCTGATCGAATTGATGCAGCAGCGAGCGGAACAGTGGGCTGCAGCAAATCTCATCACCATGATCTTCAACTCTGACGATTACTGGGTCTATGAACGTCTCCGCCGGTATGCCACAAGAATGGAGGTGATCCCCATTCTGGATCTCCCCAAGGATCGCGCCATCGCCGCCCTGGAAAGATATCGCGGCAAATACTTTCCAGAGCAGAAACGGGATCCCGAGATTCTCAAGCAAGTCTACGAACTGGTGGGCGGGCGGCTCAATTTCCTGAATCGGGTCGCCAAAAGCACCGACATGTTGAAAATGTGTCGACAGATCAACGAAGCGGAGAAGACGTGGTTTTTGAACAAATGTGGTATTCTGGGTGAGGAAATGGACGACGACGTAATGGACCAACAGAAATATGCCAGCGCAGCCATGGTCCTGGCAAAGGCGCTGGTGGATCGAGAAAAGGACATGGAATCGAGCTACGATGAAGAACATGGCCATATTCTGCCACAGATTCCTCTCTATATTGCTCGTCAGATCATGACCCGGGCGGACTTCATTCAAACCTACGACCACGACAACATCTTCACCATCGACAGCAGTGCCATGGTCCGCGCAGACAGCGTGCCTATGATGAACGCATTCAAAGAAATTTGTGCAGAACCTGGATTTGACGACTACCTGGAGGCCACCCTTGACCGGATCTCGGCGATTGAAAGCATCAACAGGACCAAGGAACTAACCTTTAAAGATTTATGGATTGAACAAAAAGGAGAACAAAGGGGCAAATACTCGTTTGTGACAAAAGATGCTCGGGGCCGGGAGACCGGCACCATTGAGATGAGAGTGCATCCAGATAACCCACCTGAAGAAGACGATGATTAAGAGTATGAAAGAGTTGAATCATGCACCCTGACCTATTACCTTACCTTCCTCTCCTGGCCTCGAGGAACTCTGACACCTACCACTCGTCATTTCAGGTCCAGGCATGTCATGCACTGTCGAACCATACCTCGAGGCCAATTCCCAGAGTCATCGTAGTCCTGGCCATCCCAGGTTTGAACTAGCCTGGTGTAGTGCATACCGCAACCTGGGCAGTTATTCCTGTTTTCGTGGTTATGGTCAACCCACCTTTTCAATCCTCCAGAGTTCGCATCTTGGCTGCGATCGCGCGCGAAGACTCGCCCCTGGGCTTCCAGAGTTATCAAGTTGTCGCGGGCAGACAGGGCGCATGTTTCCAGCAGTGTTTTTCTGCAACTTGCACACTGCCATTCGGAATCTGGTTGATCAAGAACATCCTCGTAAGATCTGTGACTACATTGACATCGCGACCCAGCTGGGACTCTGTGGGTTCGATGGAAGTTTTGGCTGCAGGGCTGGCAGTAATAGAGTTCATTGACAGCATTTCTGTCCGGACCATGGGCCGATTGGGCGAACATGGCACAGTACATACAAATGAGCTTGTCACAGCCAGAGAAACGGCCTGCTCTTCGGGAACCCATGCCATGGCAGGGCTTGACAACCAGCCTGCTCGAAGGGATGCCGCAATCGTCGCACGGAATTGCCTGCAAACTTGCGAAATAGCGCTCTTTGGTATCTGGTTCGAGACGGTCATAGGGATATGGTTTGAACACTTGGGCAATGGTCGTGGAAACCATGCGGAGTCGGGTGTAGTCGTATCTGTCAAGAACACCGGCTTCGCGCAAACCGTCTGCAAATGGTCCGACTTGAGTGAAGACGCTGAGGAAGTTTAGCTTCGGTCTCACATAACTTGGGTACTCACCTGGTTTGTTGGGTTGGATCCTCGATGCTTTGAACCGGTCTTCAGTGTAATCGAGCATTGTGATATCACTGTCACAGTCAGCCATATTCGGTATATTCCTTTTCTTTCCCGTTTCTTCCAAATTGGTCGAAAATGGGACTATGAGGCAATGATTGAGACGAGATAGACCTCCTCGGAGAATATGTACGTCTGCTAGGAACATTATCGATTGTCTGTCAGACAATGTAACCGGCGACCAAAGGCACAATGGTATTGTACGTGGCTCTCTCGACACAAAACCACGGTAGAGGCACAAAGGGTCTCTTGGTATGCCATAGTCTCGGTTGGGAGCCAGATGTGGCCGATGATGGTAAAACGTTTTTGTTTGGTAGAGTAGAACAAGGTGTTTTCTTAGAGCAATGCGATATTCGAGAACAAAGTCTTCTTTGTTCGCCCTCTGGAGCTCTCCGCCGGGATCGTCCGGTGGATAAAGGTCTCCTGTTGATTCTTTGAGTCAAGTTGCTTGGTTGCTTGGTTGCTTTGGAGCTGACGCTGTGCGGCTTCGATTTCCGCAGGTGCAGGTGTCGAGGTGCGTTGGTGACGTTTGGCGCAGTTTCAACCCTTGAACCAATCACGTCACGATCGCGAAACTGGGTTGTTTTGTTCCGTCTTCTCACCACACACCACCACCACAAGCACCATCGCCTTCTCCAGCCACTGATTTTCTCAATTCTCGATTCCAAGACAGTCCTCTCCTTCCACGGACAAGAGTCATATTCCAGATCTCCTAATTCTTTCGTGTCGCTGTCTGGCAAGACCATCTTGATGCTGGGGGATCTTCTCGAACTGACCACCACTCTCGTGCATCCAGAGCACGAGCCAAACCTTTCCAGCCTCGCCGGTCGCAGCGCAGCCAGCTCGACCATGGCCCCTCCACGAAGCCGCCATGCGAAATCATCGAGTGTCGGGTCCACGAGCAGCGCGGCCGATGTCGCAAACGGTATTGCCACAACTCCAAGCTCCAAATCCGACCCTTCCACCATCGTGGCGCGCAAACGACGTCCCTCCCGCCCGACCGTGTCGTCTGATGGCTCACCTGTCGTGATCATCCCCAAACCCTCACCGAGAAGGGATCTTGACAGCACTTCAAAGTCCAATCTCTCACAACGCAAAGAATTTGAGCCATTGAAACTGGCTGCCACTGTGGTGTTGAGCACCGTCTTGGAGTCAGGGTTACAGAGCGCGGCTTCAATGGTCGGAGTGGGCGACCTTGCAGCAGTTTCAAGACGGCCCGATACATGGATTGAGATTCTGGGATTGCTGGGCTGGAAAATAACCAAATTGGGCGTATATTGGGTTGGCGACTTTGACGGTAAGTCCTCGCATCATATTCTTATCCTCCTCAAGTCTGCGGTCAAATTGATTAATCACGTCGATCTCCAGCGTACGATGTCGCGTCCCTTTCCCTCTTGCTCAACACCCCGCCCGCCATTCTTTTGGGCCTCTTTTACGAGATATCTCCCATAACGCTGGCGTCTACGACTCTCTCTTCGATGATCGGCAATGCCCTTCCATACTATCTACTCCGCCCTTTGGCTCCCTCACACCACCCGAACAGCGCACCAAAATCCAGCATTCGAAACCGTCCGATCCTAACCGATCCATACACCACCGTTGCGACATCTCTTCTTGCGACAGCCATCTTTGCGGTGCTACTTGAAGCCAGTTTCGCAACTTTCCTCCCCACTTGGCTCGTTGTCTATTTCACGGGACTGAGGACGCTGGAACCTGCACACTTGGGTCCTGCTGGACTCCCTACGCTCCTGCTTGCCCTGATTCCGGCTGGGTGGGCGTGCATGGAGTTCCTCTTCGCGCCATCGACAGCTGCAGACACGGTTGTGAACGCAGGACCAGCTTTTGATCCGTCCACTGCAACTTTCTGGGAGCACGCCTACCACAACGCATGGGGATGGTATTCGGCACGTCAGAAGGAGCTGATTGGTCGCACCGGGTTGTTGACCGGATTGATGATTGCGGAGATCGTATTGACACTGTGGGGGACATTGGCGGGAGTAGAAGTCACAGGGGCGCTGGGCTATGCTGGCATTTGGGGTCTGGGGTGTGTGGTTATAGGAGGTGTATTGGATTGGGTCGGAGGGCCAAGTGATTGATTTTTCAGGGAGTTTTGCCCGCTGCCTGGTCAGCGAGGCTGTGTTGGCGCTCCGGGGGTGGGGGTTGACTTGTCTCGAGTTTGCCCTCTTTTCGAAAGCAGGGTTGTTGTCCTTGGTACAACTTTCTGGTGCGGTCGACCACCAACAAACATAAGCAGAGAATCCGACGAGGGATATATAATTTTCTATTCCATCAAACACGTGCCAATCTCGACCCATGTAACGAGTGATAGGTGGGTCTGAGAAGATCCTTGGAGAAGAAACACTGGCCCTATCCATCGTGGCCTTTTCTTCGGAATATTAACACGTACATTTGGAATACCTCGTATTGCAGAGGTCAAGTACCTGTACCTGAACTCGGTACGTATATCAGTATATACAAAGATACAGTACCTCTTCCTTGTACGAAGTGATATGATATAAGAGCAGTTTTGATGGGTACCCACCTACCTATGTACCTACCTCAATTACTCGAGAGCGAAAAACCTAACTGCCGTTTGCGGTTTGATCCTAGAGGGTGAGCGAAGGCCGCTTTAACCTGAGCCTCAATTGAGCCCTTACCTGAGCTTCCCTGAGTAGTCAAAAGGGGGATCGACTCGAGCCTCCTATGATCGGTTATAATACCTGTCTCTCAGCTAGTCGCCCGTTTTAGTCAAGCCAAGACAAGCCTCTGGTATTACCTCAGTGAACCTAGCAAATCCCTGCAACCCAGTTGCGTATTAGCTCATTGGCGACAGCTTGAGACCAGGAGGCTCGAGCACCCAAGACCTGAGCGACGGCAATTGAAATCTTGTTCACCGTCTTTGAATGGTATTGTGAAGATGAAGTCTGTAATCGAGCTCCCACTCACGAAGGTCGCACCAAAGTTCAATGTGTGAATTCGGGATGGCTCTTTCGACTTGAAACGAGACCAGCAGCTAGGCAGCAACGCAAGGCTGCGAGGAAGGCTTTCCGCTGCCTTGTCAACTGCAACATTTCCTCGAGGGGCTCGTTTGACTCTTGCACTTTTTTAACTCTGGTCTATTTTCTGAATGGATGTGGAGGATATCGTGTCGTCATAGACTCCTCATTCTTGGTATGCCTTAAACAATATCAAGCGCACCAACATGCGAAAAGGTCAAATTGAGTCACGAAAGGGGCGCCCAAAAAAAGGTCGACACCAGTGGGTGTCCAATCAACAGGGCTCTGCTCTCAAGGACGATGAATACGAATACAAACCCTTCACAAATGACACGTCTATTAGGATCCTAAAGCTTCAACCTGGCAGAGGCAGAGAACGAATCAAATGCCAGCTGTCAACGGCAGAACTAGATCGTCTTCCACCATATCAGGCCTTATCCTACGCATGGGGGAATCCAACAGACACAAGAATCATAATATGTGACGACAGAAAATTAAAAATTCCCACCAACCTTCGCGACGCGCTTCATCAGATGCGGGAACCTCACAAAGGACTCTTGATCTGGGCGGATGCTGCGTGCATTAATCAAAGCGATCAAACGGAGCGAGCGCATCAGGTTAAAAGGATGGGTCTAATCTATTCAAGGGCAGAACGTGTAGTCATATGGCTCGGGCTAGACCATGCATTCGACTCTCTCGGTATATCGCGGAATTTTCTCGCCAGGCAGATTTTCAGCAAGATTGAGGATATTGTCGGTTGGCATGGAGAGGAAAAGTCCGCTACAACAGTGTACTCGAACACACAACAAGTTCGACAAGCACTGGATGATAACACACACTTTGCGTTGACCACGTTCGGAAAATTGCTGGATCGTCCCTGGTTTCGACGCCTTTGGGTGATCCAGGAGGCTGGCCTAGGAAAGTCCGTGGCTATTTTCATTGGAGATGCTGTGGTCGACTTCGACTATTTGATGCAACTGGCAGCCTCGCTCTATGAGCACGATGCTTTGATTCTCCATTTCTCCATCCGCGCACATCGTCCTTTCACATTTTCCAAGTTTCCTCTTCGATTTGAGGCGCTCGCGGGTTCGCCTTATCCTGCCGACTTTGACTTTCTAGAACTTCTTTGTTCAACTTCAGCGCAACTGGCATCGGATCCGCACGACTTTATTTATGCCTTACTAGGACACCCAGCAGCATCGATAGGCGGTTCACTTATAGTGGAACCCGATTACAGGAAATCGACAACTGACTTATTTCTAGAGGTTGCGGTTAAGTTGATTGAGACCACGAAGTCTCTCCGGGTCTTATCTGCTACTAGCCATCTGGATGAAAATGAACTCGAAAATGACCACCCGTCTTGGGTTCCAAATTGGAACCGAGACGCCGCACCGGACGTCATTGGAGTTGCAAGGAATCTGAATGTTTATCGGGACCCATCCTCCATTCCGCCAGACTTCTGGTACTCAATAAGCAACCAAACAGTCTTACTTGTTCGTGGCTTGGTCCTTGACGTTGTTGACGAATGCAGCGAGGTCATAACGTTCGGTTCTCAAAGCAATCGAGTGGAGGATCAAAATCCTAATTGCCTGCCAATTAGAGCTGCAATGGCTTTTGCATCCCTGTCATCATACTCTGTCGGTCAAAGACTCTCGAACTTGGCACAAGCACTGAAGCAAGGGCGTATGGATAACAGCACCTGGTTGAGCGACTTCGCTGCTTTCCGTCTCCAATTGTTTCGGCTGACATCCCTTGAAGATGACAACGTACAACGCGATTTGGCACCAGAGGGATTAACAGCTCTTGAATTGTCTGCAAAATGTGGAAGCGCACCTAGATTTTTCTTACCTACCCTTTCTTTCTGTGCTTCTAGAAAGCTTTATTCGACAGGTGGTTCTATGCTTGGGTTGGGTCCTTCATTGTTACGACCAGGTGACCTTTGTTGCATCCTTTTTGGTGCGACCGTTCCATTTATACTACGGCCCGTCGGGCAACGATATAGACTGGTAGGGGAGGCTAATATGCCTAATTTCTTGGATGGAAAGGCAGATTTTCGTATCTTAGCTGAGGGATGTCGACACCAAATGTTCAAGATCTTCTGAAGTTTCACTGCATCACAGCTTTATATGTGAGCCTGGCAATACGTTGAAGCTCAAACAACTATGACGATCCAAACCCCCTTCTTTTTATTTCAACCAGCGCGTCAGTGAGCATACTAAATATCAGTACCTAAAACACTGTCAGGCAAGTGTCTGTGAGCAAGGAGATGTATCAGGCTGAGACTGAGGCTGCTAACAACCCTTCAAGCCGAGTCCCAGATTGTATAGCCACAGCTCAAAAATAGCTTAATGATCCTCTTAGGCGAAATGGAAGATGCTCACAGGTCTAAAAACGGGAAGATAAACTTGGACAGACCAAGATTCGCGGAGGCAAGTGTCTCTACGGGTGACATTCCTAGGTAACATGGGGTCGCACGTACCGACCTCTCAACCACTCTTTTGGAGAGATAACTAACTAATAGTCCAGGCATACTCCGTAGGTGGTAACTTGAGGGAAGTGTTTGCATATTCGACGTTTAGCCTACAGTAAGGGTGGACGAGCATGTTTCTAGGCCTTTTTGAGCCTCGGCTAGGGAGCCTAATCTGGCTCCTTCCACCTGACTACCTAGGTATGTAGGTAGGATTCATTCATGGGTAACAAACACGTCGTATTAAGACAGCTAACAATCTCATTTCCAAACGAGCGACCGAGCGACCGAGCAATAACTGGATTCATGCATCGGACGACTCTTAACGATAATGGTTTGGCTTCCCCTTTGGTACACTTCACTCGCTCTGCCCTGATATCCTCCGTTCCGTTGGCGCCTCAGGTTTAACAAGGGCTGGAGCACAGGTCGATGAGTCTCGAGACTTCAATGGACCTGTCCCTTTCATTTCACCTTGCACAAATAGGATTTCGTCTCGCGGGCATTGATAAGGACACCAGGTTTGCTTCCCACCGATTGTCACCACTGGGGAAGGTATCGCCATCTGACGAGCCGAAACCAGCGTCCCCCTCTCCAATTTTTCCTTGACTCTAGATATTGCCGAGCTTAGAGGCCGCGATTCCACGTTTCCTAGGTTTGTGCCTCTTGTGCATTGGTCATATCATCATGTTTCATTTTCATGCAAGATCCTCAGCACGTTGAAATGCTCCCTAAATAAGCTCGTGAGTCTCCCCGACGCCGAAATCTTGCCCTGATGTGATTCCGTTCCTTGACCGTACCCTGCCAATGCAACCGGTTTTCCAAGAAAAAGGAGCCCCCCAACGATCACTCTGCCGTTCCGCAAACATGAAGAAAAAATAATAACAGGAGACGGTGAGATCATGTAGATGCCTCGGTATTTCTCCTCTCGCGTGTCCTGCTTCGTCCTCCTTTGATACTCTTGACTCGACTGAGGAACCCAGCAGCGGCAGACTTGGTTTCTTCAGGCGGCGGACCGTTGCTCTCAGAGGTCAATTTTCTTTCGAGGGTTAGTGCACCTCGTTTCGGGCTCGACGGTGCTCGAGCACGCCCAGTGTTCTTTGCTTGTTCTTCGGCAAACGCGATTTGAGCACCTTTCTTCTCATGTTCTTTGTCATAGTCCTTGAAGAACGGATTCCCGCCGTTCTGCTCCGATTTGCTCGTCCCCATTGGAGAAGTCGGGGTTGCTGCCGGCTCAGGCGAAGTCATGCGACCCCCATCGGCGATTTTAGGACGCACGGATTTGATTCTTTGCGCCAGACTCTTTTTACGCGATAGTCCCGCGGCGTTTGCCTGTTCTGCAGCTTCTTGCTCGCTTTCGCGGCGCTGGATTGCTGCTCGACTAGCAGGCGCACCTTCTAGGAATGTGCTCGTTCCAAGACCAGCCGTCTCGCTGCCATGCAAAGGTTCGGCTTTGGCGGTGGGATTGAAGCTGGCACTTCTCTCTGGTTGTGGTCTTCGAAAATAGTCTGCGTCCTCTTCATAAATTGCCGCATCGTTGTAATCAAGATTTGCCTCTCGTCCTGTACCGTGGTACTGGTCCAGGTTGAGTTTGGTATTGACCGGGCCAGAGCCACCAAGTTGCATGTTCAATGAG